GTGCCATTCGTGCCATTCGTGCCATTCGTGCCATTCGTGCCATTCGTGCCATTCGTGCCATTCGTGCCGTTCGCGCCATTCGTGCCGTTGGAATGATCATCCCGACAGAGGGTCTGCGTAATCGCCGTATCAGGCCACGACAGCGGCATCTGGTGACTAACTCCCAGAAGTCCGGCTGCCAGGGTCGCCGCCAGCATCAGGTACATATTGGCAGTGGCATCGACACAGCGTATCTCCCAATGACCGGGGCGAATCTTGCGGACGGGGACCTCCCGGTTATGAGAGCCCCACGCGACCTGGTCGCCGCCAAGATAGGGCTGCACTCGTTCGTACGACAAGTCGTAGGGCAGGCATACGGCGCAGAGGGCTGGGAGACGGTGCAGAATCCCAGCGAGGAACTGGTCCTGGACCTCGGGCCGCGAGATGGAAATGTGCGTGTGCTGGCCAGTAGCCTGGCGGCGGCCGGCGACGGGCTTTGGCGACATGGTGGCGATGAGGCCGTGGCGGGCCATGGTTGTCTTGAGGGTATCGTGGACGAGGATGAGCTCGTCGACTGCCTCGAGAGGGGTGCGCGGGGCGAGCGACAGCTCGTACTGGCCGCGGCGGCCTTCGGTCTGCACGGCCTGAATGTCCACCCCAGCATCGAGAAGCTGATGGATGGTTGATTCAACGAGGTTGAAGTGGGGATGCCGTAGCCCGTCGACGGCGTAGCGGCCCAGTCCATTGGTGGCGGGCACGAGAGCGTGGCCGTCGCCGTCATCGCCCAGCTCGGAGGTCCGCTGCATGAGCTCGAATTCAACTTCAAAGCCGACCAGGAAATCCAGAGAAAAGACCTCCTTGGCGCGACCTACGATACTCGCGAGTGCGCGGCGAGGACAGAGGTCGTGGTTGGGGATGGGCTGAGCGGGTGTGGAAGCAAGGACGCCGCACATCACCATTGCGGTTTGAGGGCATGCGGGCAGCATCCGTAGGGAGGACCAGTCGGGAACGAGGAAATGGTTCCCAGAGGGATCAAGGCCAGAGACAAGAGTATTGTCGGCCACACAATGAAAGGCGATGGGCGGTGCGTGAATGGGCTTCTGGGCCGCAGTCATCCGCAGGAGTTGCTTGGGAACAACCATACGCGAGCGCAGTATCCCTGAGTGGTCCTGCCATTGCAGACGGATGAAGCGCAAAGTGGGATGCTGAATGAGGAAGTCATGTAGGGCGGATTCCCAATCCCGTTGGACACTTTGCGAGGTGAAAAGGGGCTTGTATTGCCCAAGGTGAGGAGGTTCCATGGTTCGCTTCACAATTAGAATCCCTGTAAATGCTTTTCACAGATAAGCTTGACCTGAAAACATGGAAATTGAGATTGTGCCCCACCTCTTTAACTGAGACTTCAGAGTACTATCACAGCTGCAGGACGCAAGGCACAGTCAGAAAGGTTCTCAATGGATGTGAACTATTATACCACACGATGGAAAGGCACAAGAGATTTGGAAATTTTTCCTTAAATAGAGTTCTTCAGGTACATGCAGAAACCTTAACAGGCTTAACTGCAGTACCAGCAGCTTCCAGGAACACGGTCACACCGCATCATCCAGAACCACATAGATCTTGCCGATCTCGCCGATCTCGCCGATCTTGTCCCGATAGTTGCGCCTCACATCGACCTCCTGCGCTGGTTCGTATTTTTCATTCGCAGAAACCTGGAAATTCAGCTAGCCACATATATAGAGCATTTACGGAGAGAAGGCTATAGTTTGTCATTCACTTCCTATGATATAACGCCAGCCACTGCTCCTTTCAGTTCGTCATTTTTTCTTTCCTATTCGCCAGACTAAGAGTCGCCCATTGCCGCCATGGAACCTGGCGGAGTTCATGTGGACTGTCGCCATTTTACCAACGTACCCATACTGGACTATGGCCAGACAACGCGACCGGACACTAGGCAGGAATTTCTCGCCCAGCTCCGAGATGCCTTGATAAATGTGGGGTTCATGTATCTCAAGAACCCTCCAGTACCAATGACTGTGCAAGAGACGCTGGTCGAGAAGGCGAAGGAGATGTTTGACTTGCCTCTGGAAAAGAAGGAGCAGCTCGCAATGGTCAACAGCAAACATTTCCTGGGATATACTCGTCTCGGGGATGAGAGAACGACCGGCAAGACTGACCACCGCGAGTCATTTGATGTAAGTACATTAGACGCTTCCAGTTGGCGGTATGAAACAGACACGTGCTGAGGACAAATGACAAACCATTAGTTTAGCACTGAATGCTTACCCCCGGGGCCCGAGGAGCCGCTATATCGTAACCTTCGTGGACCTAATCAGGTTCGTCGATAAACTCACCTCCTAAGAAGCAGCGCCCAAAGACTGATTCATATTATGCAAGTAGTGGCCCAACGAATCTGACGTCCCTGGTGGCCGAGACGCCATTGAAACCTATCTCAATGCCATTGGCCATCTGGCGGATGACTTCAAGATCCTTATCGCTGAAGCTCTAGATATGCCATCCGCAAGCTTTCTGGGCTTTTTCGACAATCTCGCCCAGAACAAACTTAAGCTCGTGAAATACCCTCCTCCTGAGCCGTCTATTTGCGAGAGCTCTGAATCTACACGTCAGGGTGTTGGGATCCATAAAGACGCAAGCTTCTTGACCTTTCTGCTGCAGGGGACTTCCCATTTAGGACTAGAGGTTCAGAACAAAGGCGGCACATGGATTCCTGTCCCCCCAATCCCCGGCACGTTGGTGATCAACATCGGTCGATCTCTCGAAGCCCTCACGGGCGGAGTGTGCACGGCCACCACTCATCGCGTCAACCTGCGACCCGAGAATTTCCTCGACTCCATCACAAAGCAACCGCTCGGGCCCCGGTACTCCTTTCCAGTCTTCCAAGGCTTAGCGCTAGATCTTACCCGAGACCAGATGAATCTGGACATTCCACCGCATATCCGCGAATTGGTTAAGGATATCCAGGTCAAGTCGGATGCGGAGAAGTATTTAAATCATATTTTCCGGGGATGTATTGGGGAGGGCAGCTTCATGGCGCGGCTAGCCGCCCATCCAGATGTCGGCCGTCGGTGGTACCCGGCTATGCTGGAGCGAGTTTTGGAGGATCAGAGAAGAATTACCAACTGATCTACTAACTACGGGGATTTGGAATAAATGAAGATTCTAAAGCCCTAGTGGCCTTTCCCGTAGGTTACAACATCAGGATAGAAGCCCAACTGGCCAAGGACTCCGATCATAGCCAAATTCGATTCCGAAGAATAGTCTTAGTTCTCGTAGCCGTAGGAGGCTAGGATCCTCGCCCGAAGTCCCCACTGTTGATTGCGCCTAGCCACGATAAGCAAGCTGAACGACTGAACTGTGCTGAAGGATGCTGATTTGCTCTGTTTTCGTCTAGTGGCGCTCTGCACGACTTCAAGAGACACTAAGGTAATATCCAGGAGGTTGAAAAAATTTTTCCATCCATTTTCTAAGGAAGCTCTGCTAAATAGGGAGAGGAGCATGTTGGTGTGGTAATTGCAGGTCTTTTAATATCTAATATATATTATTTCACCAATCATTTTACAGTGGATGGATAAATGGATGGCTTTATTTACCCTAATGCCTCACCAGACCCAGGATTGAGGTACAAGTGGGATGATCATTTTCCAACTATACAAGTATATGCAGAGTACTGTAGATTATTTGGAATCATAGCTTCAGCCCACTTATGATTAGATTAGTCCACTTGGTTAGCACTGACGACACACCTCTTCTGCCAAAACTGATTGCTTGTTTTGACTGATTGATCAACACCAGGAGCGGCGCTAGTGCCCACCGTCCCAATTAGTTTTCTCTCCCAATCCTCATTTTTCAGCTCCGTTTCTGTCAGTTTCTGGTAGATCAGAGACGATTGATTGTGGATGATAGTGATTATGTTTATCACACCAAACTTCCTTGCCTGCCATCTCTCCAACATTGTTGCCCTCCGTCCACCACCGCACCCACCTTTCTTCTTCTATTATATTAAATGATCGCGTAAAATACAAAGGGACGACACATATATTGTCCTACATAGCTTCATCTCACGACCTCGAAAACATGGCATTACTTGAGACAAGGCCATTGGGATACAGATGGCGCTCGTCGAAGTTCTTTATCCTGACTTGTATAACATTAGCTTTATTTTCAGAAAACTTTCTATACAGCTTCATCGTCCCAATCCTACAATGCATGATCGAGAATCGTCTTCACCTCGATCCATCCAAAACTCAAAGAATCACATCAGCCGCGCTCTCAATCCACGCTTTGGTGTGCTTCGTATCTGGGCCAGTCATTGGTCACTTGGCAGACAAGGTTTCTTCACGAAAGGGTCCTTTACTGCTCTCTGTAGTGGGTGAGATTATAGGGACAATCCTTGTCGCTGCTGCCCCATCCGGTATGCCATCCTCCCTATCGTTGTTGTGGTTAGGTCTGGCTTATACGCTTCGACAGTGCCAGTGTTCTTTTTCGGACGTGTGGTTCAGGCCTTCGCCGGCAACGCAGCATGGATTGTTGGATTTGCAACAATTGCAGACACCGTCGAGGCCGAGAATAGGTCGCGAACTATCTCAACGATCTCCGTCTTCTTTATCTCTGGAATGTTGTTCGGTCCTATGATGTCGGGCTCGCTAATAGGGGTCGTTGGATACTGGCCGACCTGGCTTGCCGCGATTGCTGTCCTCATCCTTGATGCGATCATGCTATTTCTCATGGTTGAGACGCCCAAATCTCAGAGAAAGGACGTTGAAAGCGCATCGGGAGCTGACACTGGCACTGGCTCACCGGACGAGACGTCCAGTCTTCTTTCCGGACCTGCATCCGCTCAGCGTGACCCAGAACAGAGTCCACAGCAGAATGGTTCCACAAAGCGCGCAGCGGAAAACTTCTACAAGATTATTCTGAGTAATCCTCGCGCCCTCACTTCCATGGTCTGTCATGCAACCATCAGTCTCACCCTCGCCTGTTTCGACACGACCTTGCCTTTGCATGTGTCTCGGGCTTTTGGCTGGGGCCCGTTCCAGACAAGCTTAATGTTTTTACTCCTGCAAGTACCCACGCTATTACTCTCCCCGCTCACCGGATGGATGAAAGACCGCTGGGGAACGAAAATTCCGTCTGGGGTCGGATTCCTCGCTCATGCCCCTCTACTATGGCTCCTGGGTGCTGCCGGTCGCCGCGGTCTGCCGTTGGTGGGCTCAGAGCAGAGAGGGAAAACAAGTTACACAATCACCATTGTCAGTTTGGGTATTGTTCGGACGCTTGTTACTGGTTGTGGCACAATTGAGATGACTAGTAAGTATTCCTTGTCAGCTTTATCTGTCTTTTTATCTGTATATATTCGTATGTTTGTGCTAAATCTTCTAGACGTTGTGACCGAGCTGCAGGAAACGCAACCGGGGATATTCGGTCCCAATGGTGGATATTCAAGGGCGTTTTCCCTCACGAATATGAGCTGGACATTCAGCATGTTCATCGGACCAATTCTGTCGGGTGCTTTGACCGAAACAGTGGGATATTACTATATGAATATCTGGCTTGGTAAGTAGAACTTCCCACCCAACGGACCAGAGCAAATCTGACTGGTAATGGAATTCTTGTAGCAACAATTTGTGCTGGCTGTGGTGCTCTAGCTCTAGTATTTTTTCACATGAAGTGAATCCAGTGGCCGTGAGTCTAATAGCGTGCTTATACACTTTATACCTTTCTATAGTGTATCTTTGCCTCCTATCATAAATAGATATCCTTACAGAGGAAAGTGACGGGATCTTTCTATATAAGAAGCTGATCAACTAATCAGATAAGGCACTACATTAAACTACATCCCCTACATATTAGCATATCTCGCTAGAGGGAGAAGTACTGGGCTGGTGAGCTTGTGCTGGTCCTTAAATAGTTTTCACCTTCGCTTCCCAGCTCCGATCTTATTCATTGCATCCTCTCAACCCATCTTACCCCAACAGCTCCATAATTGCATGAAGTAAATGGCATATAGTGAATTCCACACCTCTCGCTTCGACGCCTGGCCCACACAATCAAGGACCTCCCTCCTTGACACAGACGGCACCCACTCTACGAGACAGATTCCAGGGCCCTTCCGCTCAAAATCATCAAAGTCAATGACATTCCCAGGCTAAACCACTATGTCTCGGTGTACTCCAGAGAAACAGCCCTCGCCCCGGGAGAGGTATACTACTACAATCCAATCTGGATTGCCGCCGAGCACGGCAGCACTGATGCTCTACGCCTCCTCCTGGAAGAATATGCAGATAACAGCGCGGATAGCTATGGGTGGATGGGGCGATCGGATTGTGCGTGGTGAGGAGGTCATGAACCTCCTCCGCTTGTGGTCAGGACGCCACGCTATTCTTCCCGTGATATATGCCTGGCACTTATCATCAGCGGATCCAATGCTTCTAGCACATACGACCACAGGGTGTGGAAAACAGGGCTTCCCGTCCGCTCAGCCGTACTTAAGCCACACGCCGGCCGGTTAGTAGTTGGGTGGGTGACCACCAGCGAATCCCGGCTGTTGTATGTTTTTGTCTCTTGTATTTTAGTTTGCTTAATTTTTCATTCACAAAGGATGCAGGTAGGGCATTTATTTCTTTTATATTCTTCTAAGTCATGCTTAGATATAGTTATTGCCATAGTACTAAGTAGCATTCCTAGGGTATAGCATTTATATACCCTGACCTTATATATCGTTTGTGAAATTCAGATAGTTCTGAATTATTTAGGCAGGCATTAATATATTCCTTAAAATATAGGATAGTAAATAGAATACAATAGAGGCTATTACTTTTAAATCTAGCTATAATAAGCTAGTTATTTTTATATAGGGATACTTTATCTTTAGTAAAGATAGTAGTAATCCCTAGGGCCTTAGATATTCTATCTATACTTATAAGATTAATCCCTAATTTAGGGATATAATAGACATCCTTTATTATATTTATATTCCCTAAGGGAATTTTATAAGGATATCACCCTGATATTTAGCCTTTAGGCTCTTAGCTTTGCCCCATGAAATTATTTTATTTATTCTTTTATATTGGGATAACGTTCATCGCAATGGGAGTAGAGCCTTCGAATCATGTACTAGTGACACCGTGCGCTGCATTCTGGGCTTCCGGCGATTAGAAGAGGACTTTTGTTTACATCTTATTTCTGAACAAGCTCTTAATATTCCAGCATGAGAACTCAGAAGACAGATTTACGTGAAACGCATATAACCCATGAAATACCATTATCTATGGATATTTCGGACAAGACTAATCAAGACAGGCATATATTGGCTGGATGTCAAAGCAGTACTTGATTGGGGGGGCGCGGGCGGGGGTAGTTTGGTCAGTCATGATTAAGGTGGTGACATGTCGCGTCTTGTAGCGGTTCCTTATGGCTGTACTGTGAAAGCGAAGCAGAACGATTGAAACAGGTGACAAATATATTGTCTTGTTCTATTACATAGCATTTCGAAGTCATCCGATTACTATACCCGCTGAGGTGAGGGACCATGTGCTGAATACTCTAGACTAGGACGTGGGGTAGAGGGAAGCAAAAGCCGCAAAGACCGAGACCTCCCCGCGTCGAGTCGAGGAATAGTCACGTTAGGCTAAACGTGTAGTGCGTCATTCCCTTCTGTTTAGCATGAACAACAACGGACTTTCGTCCAGTTGTACGGGGTCTTCAGGAAAACTGTCCTTTTTAGCAGTTTACTTGGTATCTTTTGCCAGGGCTAGAGACAGCTAGTCTGGAGTAATATGTTAATAACATCCAGGGTGGGCCATCCCGAAACAGTGACGCGGACGGCATAAACCTCATCGACAGCGAATGCTAGAGGGATGACTAGAGAGAATGAGAAAAGGGAAACCAAAACCGTTGGAAGTATGATAAGCTTACATTTAAATTCAAGCCCAGTGACTTCCAACACGTAGTTTTTGTCGAGAAAAAAATAATGCAGGGAGTTTTCAGGCATAGTACGGTTGTGTGCTTGATATCTCTACCACGAAGCGATGAACATTACGCCCTTAGTACACTGGACTCAAAAGTCCATCCAGGTTTGCTGAATTACCATTCACCTCGCCCGCTTGCCGTTTATTCCCGGATGCGATGAGAAGGAATATTCACGCCGAGCACTCGGTACACCTAGTTGTCATAGTCGCTCCCAGCGTGGGAGATACGTTAACTTCACCCTTCTACTCTAGACCTCCGACCATAATATCACTATATCTGCCTTCTCCGGCGGAGGTCTCAAAAGGCTTCGCTGAGATTTGCTTTCAAGATTGGCTCGTCTCTCGCCGCTTGCTCGGCTACCAGCGTGCGCATATCAGTCCTCCAAACGGTGATATAGGGTTGGATGAAGTCGTGGAGGGTCTCAAGCGTCGGATTCTGCATCTTGCGTATCAACCAGTCATCGTCGGCCTCAACGGGTTCTTGTTGTAGGCGCAACTTGTTCGCGGTGCTGGTTGGCGAGACGAATGACTGGAATACCTGACGGCGTGCGTCCGAGTAGGTGCTGAGCAGAGAAAGAGGGCCACCCTCATGGAGTATCATCTCAATTGCTGTCGCTAGTGCATCACAGTCAAGAATGCCAGTAGAGAGGCCTAGTGCACCGACGGGCTAGAATATGATGGTTAGCAAACATGTTTTGTGTAGAGATGAGTTGACTGTCTTTGGGTATAGCAGCGGCAAATGGTTCGGGTTGAACTGGGACCTACGTTGTTGAGATGTGCTGCGTCGCCTACCAGTGCGCATCGTCCAATCGCCATCCTATTAGCCAATCGCTGGTGGAGACGATAAACTGTTTTGCTGACCACCTTATATTGCGGGGGCCTAGGTCCAACCATGTAATTCTCGAACAGCCTCGCGAGGTTTTCTTCCCGTACTAATTCCTCTTCAGTCGAGTTGTCCGTGGGATCTGTCGCCATTGAGAAGCGCCATAGAGTCGTTTCTCCTTCAACAGGTCGCTCTAGGGGTATTACCATGGCGAAGTGGACCGGGTGGACAATAAAGTGGAGCTGAGTAAGAGGCGGGACATCGACATTGCGCAGCAGCACGTCAGCCGCGATCATGCGTTCTGGCCAAGTGTGGCCCTGCAGCTTGATGCCAAGCAATTGGCGGGCTTTTGATTTTGCACCGTCCGCGCCGACAAAGAGAATACCTCGAAGTTCGCGCTCAATTCCGGTCTCCGGATTGCGGACTGTTACCGTCACGCCGTGGCCGTCATCATGTACATTGCTGAGCTCCGAATGGAAATGGAATTTGACACTCCCAGGCTGCATGCCGTTGAGTACATGGATCTGCTCTTTCAGAAGCTCGCATAGCTTTGGTTGTGGTAGCAGAAGCATCCCCATTTCTGGCCGTTCCGGGCTCCCTTGGTCAAACGGGATGTTGCATAATAGACGGCCCCATGTCTTGTTCCCGTGACCATCATTCTGCACGGCCGTCCGCCATCCCACTGCCCTGGTCAGATAGCCGCGCTGTGCAGCCAGGTGCAGCAATCCAGCATCCTTCAGCGCAAGCAAGGTCGCGCCGTAGTAGCCCGCTGCTCGGGGTGCATCACTGATATCGGGTAGCCTCTCGACCAAGTCGACCTTGATACCAGATTTCGCGAGCTTGTAGGCTAGGAACAGACCAGTGGGCCCGGCACCAGCGATAATCACGCGGTCAGAGGATGAACTAGATGGCAAAGAAGTAGATTGTTTGGTCTGCAAATTATGGTGGTCATTGGTGACCACCGTTTCTGTAGACGCTGGTCGCATTATTTCAAACACGTTGCTCTCAGTAACGATGACACGGAAAAAGTATTCCAAGCGTTTGCTCTGCTAAGATAAAGCAAAGAAAGACTGAGTCGGGGCATAAGTCAATGCTTAAGTATGAGAACAGCTGGGTCATCCCCGCAAAATATCCTTCTCTTGACCTTTTCTTCGCAAGTCTGGCTTGGGTGGTTTTTCTTCGGTAAATGGAACATTTCCGAAGGACCGAGGTGGAAGCGTACGGTGATCTGGTCCATCATGCCAGGGAAACGTTTAATGCCATAGTGTAGGCCATGGAATGGGAACTTGAAAGTTTGATGTTCGGCGTCGGGGGCGGCGGCGGGGATCTTGGGTATGGGGTCACCCGCTTCTGTGCGGGGTCCAAATCCGCGGATTTCTCCGATATGAGAGAAATTATGCCTTCCCAATGGCAGCAGATTTGGCGGTGCTGTGCTGAACCTTGCATCAAATCCGCGCCGAGCCATAGAGCATCGAAAAACATAGCGAGGAGTGCCCCTACCCGCGAGCCGGAGGTTCCGGCTTATGATGCCTGGATAATGCATTATTTTCAATCTCGGGCTCGGTGCTATACCGCCTTCAATGTAAGGACGAAGTTCGAGCCCTATCTCCATGTTCACTCTTTACTAAAAAGGCTTGGGTAGGATATAAATTCGACGCATACCACTACGATAACCTCCTATCCTTTCCAATCCTGCCCTTTCTTGCGTGCAGTACAATCTTCCCCTTCTACGGGACTCGCAGCAAAGAAGCACCCAGCCAACTCATTGAAAGACTTCAACCACCAGCATGGGAGAACCAGCAAGCAAGATCCTGGATCGTGGCCCTGCCATAACACGGTCCATCAATCTGAACTTTCAAGGCGACTGGGGCCAGGCCAACTTTCACCGCATTATGAGCTGGCTGGTTCAGGAACTTTGTGATCGCTGCGGTCCGCGTAGCCGCGTGGCCATCTTCAGCATGCGCGGTGGCGGATCCGAGGGCGTGACGCTCGTCAACGATGGCGAGATGCATATCGCACTTGGCACGCCCGTCGCGCTGATGGGGGCGGCCCAGACTGGCGAGGCTATTTTCAACGGGCAAAAGTTCCCCCAGTTACGTGCGCTGGCGGTGCTACCACAGGACGACCGAATGATCCTCGGCATTGATCCCAAATATGGTTGCCGAACTTTTGCTGAAATTCGTGAGAAAAAACCGCCCATCAAGCTCGTCATAGGGCCAGATTCGCCAGATTCACCTACGGGCTGGGTGTCTCACCGCTTCCTCGAGGCCCACGGCATTACGCCAGACCTCATTCGCTCCTGGGGCGGCGAGGTGGTTGACACCTGGTGTCGGCCAGAACAATGCCTCATTCCGGTCAAGGAGGCAAGCAGCGACATTACGGCTGCCGTTCACGAGGCCATCATGACCCCTTGGTGGACAAATATCATCGACGGCCCTCGCAAGTTTATCCCAGTTCCCGCAGAGCCCGAGGCCCTGGAGAAATTGCATAAGATGACACTGCTGGAGCCTGCCACTCTGCCAGCAGGTTACTGGGACTCGCTGAAGGACGAGATCCCTACACTCTCTTTCCGAGACTTCCTCCTTTTCTGTCGCGAAGACTTGCCCGATGACATCGCGTATCTGCTGACCTGGTGCCTGGTCGAGACCAAATCGATGATCGAGAGCCAGTATCACCATATTAACCCAAACAAGACCCCTTTAGGCTATCCATTCGATCCAGTCAAAATGGCAAAGACCTCCCTTCCACTACACCCCGCTGCGGAGAGATACTATCGCGAACACGGATACCTTTCATGAGTTGTCTGAGTCTCAAGCGGATAAAGCAGTTGACGCCTTTTTGAGTGGACGCCTTTTTGACTAGTCACATCGCGTTCTCAAATTTCATGACTCATTCCAATGCATACCTTTCGATAATCCTTTGTTGGCTAGGTCTCCGTCAGTGATGTGTTAGATGAATCAAACAAAGTTACTTTCGAGCTGCCCGAGTATAATACGAGATTCGGGGGACCGTCCTGAAATCTAGGGCCATTTAGCATACTGGTTATCCTGTCATGGTACCCAAAGCTGCGCTTTTTCCCCTCTAAAGCCCTCAATTTCCGTTGTTGGAGTTCCAATGAACGATTTCAGTAACGTATATAACTAGCAAGATCTGCCGTTTATCATCAGCATAGTATCCCTCTCTGTCATCTACCTCGTACTGTGAAGTTGCAGCCTACAGTCTGGCACACTTGTGTATATCTCTGACTGAGGATATTGTATCATCTTGAAGTTTTCCAATGTAAGCCAACTTCTGGTGGAAGGTTTGTAGAGGAGCCCAAAGTTTTCTCCCTATGACGAGCCGTCCAGCGTGCCTGGGGTTGAAAGCACGAGATCAGGAAAATACAACAGTAGCGGCACTGCCCCATGTAACGAAGGATGAGGCACGGAATGTTGACTTATCGACATCCCAGGCCCCTATACGCTTACGCCATGACTGAAAGGTACTGCACATGGATATGCCAGGACCTCATTGCTATATTCTCTATCCTATCAGTCACCCTTGACAGGCAGCTAAGCTCTGGTCAGCATTGTGTCTGAATTCTCTCTCCAAGCTTGTCCGACAACTATCCAGCTCACAACTGGCGAAGGTGACGCAAACACCATTCGTACATACCAAGTAGGAACGAAGGGGACAATATCTGCCACACGGGGTGGTCCAAGATATGGTTATCTAATATGATGCAGTGTGCTTGGTTCATGGAACATGTCTCTTTCCAAGAGATATTGCGCGCCGCACTGACTGAAGCCGCACAGCGAACTGAAGGCCAGACGGGTCAATCTTTGTTGTTAATATGGATCCAGTCTCAATGTACAATGCATGATCTATTTCATATGCTCATCAAACCACTCGAGGGCCAGCAGAAAAGCGGCCTCCTTGGCATACTTCTGTCTCTTATCGCTCAGATCGCACCGGACAGCGAAACCATGGCTAACCCCGGAGTACAGGTTGATTTGATACGGAATTCCCACCTTCAGCAGCAGCGCCTCCCAGTCATGTCGGAGGTTAGCCGGGAAGATGTCGTCCACCTCAGCTGCTGCAACAGCAAGCGGACCATTGATCGCCTCTAGCTCCTCTGTGCTTACCATAGCAGGGTGCGCGACGTAGCCGGCGTCGAAGATCCCGGAGCCGAGGCCACGAACTACATACTTGGCGCCGAAGCAGTATCCCACGGCGGCGACCTTCTGGAGCCCTTGTTAGTGCCTTTGTCCCTGAAGGACGGGGAATATTTTACCTTAGGATTATACGTTTCCTTCAAAAACCTGAGCGACCCAGCCACGATAGGGTCAACCATTTCGGGAGTATGAGGGATTTTCTTCGCACTAAGTTTACCCTGTAACCAGTCGGGAAGACTGAAAGTCGCCATGTCGACGTTGAGCGGCACCGGGTCGCCGTGGAAGAGATCCGGAACAACAACAGTGTATCTGAGAAGTGTCAGCGGCGCGAGAAAACTGTGCCAAGTTCAACACACCCGTTCGCAGCGAATTGATCAGCGATTAGCTGGGCGTTGGTGAGCTTGTGTCCGATGATGTCCGTGAGGCTGAAGAGTTAGCAACACCCTCTGCGCGGTCCTGATCAAGATAGAACTCACAAAATCAATCCAACGCCGTTGGAACCCGAGTCGGGCTCAACAACGTACATCTCAATTTCGCCAACGGTGTTGATTCGGCCATGAGGCTGGCCTTCATGTTTCACACCTTGGAAACAGCAACTGCCAATTGTGTTGGATGTCATATTAAGAATCGATCGGGATGAGGTTGAAGATAGAACTAAAGACCGTCTCAAGCTTGACACGAGGGGATTAGGAAGGTTGGGTGGATTTTGTGCGAATGGAATGATTTATCTCGGCCAAATATATCTGGCACCTTACGCTGATGGGGATGCTCGCCCTGGTGCTGCGGCTCCGAATCTGGTCCCGCACACCGGGTTTTGAAAGGATTGCCAAAGCGGAGTCAGCTATGCGCCGACTTCTCCCCGTCGCACACAGTCGGCTCGGCAAGCCAGAATCCCGCGGCATCCGTCTCCATCTTATCCGCAAGGTGTTTTGAGAGAGGGGGACGGGGTGAACGGGCTGCACAGTGTGAGAGTTAAGTTCACAGTAACCAGTGCAGGAAAAAAGCCTGAAGGTCCGGAAGGACGCGGCAACGGTTGAAGAATCAGCCTTATTTACCACTGAGACATAGTATCTCGCTGTATAGCATTGGAGGACTCTTCCATATTGACTTTTGTATGAAAGATAGTCGTATTCATAGAGGGTAGAAAGTACTCCTCTGCTCAAGGGCTCCTTCGAACCTCTTAAATCTCCAGTATATCTCTTTCGGGCTGTCTATCAGGCATATAGCCCTCACATTCGTCTCCTCTCCTTTTCACAGCAAGAATGTCGATGGAATCATAAGTCCAAACAATCGACGATGTAGTTTGCATTTTGTATCTCTTTTTCTTCTGGGCACCATGGCTGTGGCTCTCCACAACTGATGTATGCTTGCTTAGGTGTTGATAACCACTGACAAAGGAAGAGCGAATCCCAAAACACGCCTCATAACTCCGCACACTGGCCCATTCACGGTGTCAAATAATACGAAACGGCTACCGACGTCACCTGAGTGCTAGTATTTAACTCGAGCACAAATATATATGCAGGCTATTGACAAGTAGTTTCACAGCCCTGTAGCCAGCCGATTCGTCAAATGATATCATACGGCAGACCAGTCATATGAGAGCCAGTCCGTTACCAAAAAGTTCTGCGGGATACCCATGCCAAATAAAAAATCGTTGAGGTCAGGGAAGCTCATACTTCCAGATTCAAAGCCAGTCTGTTCCCTTGCAGGATGCCTGCCCAGGTCGACTGAATCGACCTGAGTCGGGAGATTTGATTCCAGGACATCCTTGCCATCGCAGCCTGGCCTCCTAACGGCGCTGTCACTGTTAAGACCATCGTTAAGCTGACCAAGATGTCGGCCAAGGAGCAGCATGTAACGGTGGGCGATGCCACTTTGATGGCTTGCAGAGCGGAGAAACTCCATTCCTTCATCAAGAATTGCCGGGATACGATGATTGCTGCTGGAGTCCCAGCTCGCCAGTATCCCCAACCTTTGGGCTGCTATCAGGACTCCCAGGGATGAGAAGATATCTGCTTGAAATCAGTGTCGGTCTTCTGGGCTGGAATAGCGGGATTCTGACAATGAAGGAGGTACCAAACGGAATGGAGCTGCTGTTCTTCATATTTTCCGTGGATGAGCTGGATCGTTTCCTGCGCCGCCCATACGCAACGCTGTGCACACTCGGTTGCGACTGCACGTAAAAAGCGGTCTTGGAACTTGTCCTTGCCCAGCAGGAGCACCGACGGACGTAACAAGAGCAGCCTCATCTGCACGTATCGGATATAAAGGACATTCCGTTGTCGAGTTAAATCTTTACCTTCTGACGAATCTGAGGACCTGGTTAGATAATCAGGCACGCCGTTCCACCATGACTGGAGCTGTCCGTCTAGCAGCAGCATGTTTCCGAGAAGTTGAAAATCTTCTTGGACCGGCAACGAGGTGCCAGCGCTAGCATCTAGTTTATTGCTTTTGAGATACAGCATACTCATCACGTTGTCGATCACCCGCGAGAGTCCAATGGTTTGGATAAATGCCGTTATCCTGGATGGTTTCCCGTTTGGCTGGCGTGGGATTTGGATGGAGTCCAATATATATTGATCATCTACGTCCGCCGGGAGGTCCACATCGAAAGCATTAGCCAGAATGATTGAGGGTGGTCGTCCAAACTTCATGCTCAACGTACGGTCAAGCACAAAGTACCCCCACCAAATGCGCTTCCTAATCTCACGACTTATCGTCGACGAGATACCACCATCTCTCGGGTTAATATGAAGGCCAATGCTCATTGCGCTTCTAATGGCAAGACCAAAGAAGTTCCAGGCCTCGTTCAACTCGAGGGCACCTTGAAGCCAGTGGCATAGTAGAAGTAGGGCTTGAGTTAGATGCAAGCTTGATGTTTTGAATACTTGACATAGGATGATTTGTTTTGCCTGTTCCACAAATTCGGAGGCTCGCTGGGCCGCGCTGATACCATTCGGGCACGGGCAGAACTCGCAACCGTAGGCAAACACCATGTTGAGTATCGCCAGCCAGGCATTATCCTGCGGCTGCTGGTCGATCCAAATCTGCTCGTAGTGCGAGCGGAAGCTCATCTCGTGCACGAACGGGTAGAGCAGGTGAACACGAGCAAAGTATGCGTCGACGAGCTGATTAGCTTCAGACCTACCAAGCAGCAACTGGAATCGCTGAAGATCTTCGCGAGGCGATGATTCAGCGAGAGTGGCAATGTCCTCCGAGAGATAAAGCTTTCCAGTCTAAGCACGATGCCATGGAAGCTAGAATGGTACGACAATAGCTTACCTCATTCTCATCGCGCGTCAGGGAGTCCTTAACGCAATTTTGGGCCACGGACGCAAATTTAATGGCTGAAGAGTTGCCAAAGTACCCGGTCGGGTTACTCAGTTCGATAGCGGCACCTGCTCGCAACGAACTACTAGCCGGTTCGCGGCTGACGGAACCCTGCCTATCCTCTTGTAGCGAGCTTGCAGAGTGGGTGTGTCGGGCACTTGTGCTTGGCGGGCTGCTGCGTTGAGGGGACAATATAGGGTGAGGCGAGCGATTAGGTGAGACATCAATGATTATAGCATGACCATGATTGAGGCTATCCTCCTGACCCTGAACGACGCCCCTGCATTGTGTATGCGTCAGCGGGATGTGGCAGAACAACCATCCGCAAAGATTCACTTATTAGTAGCTCTAACGGAGTATTCACAAGCGTTGCCTCGACTGCGGCAACCGGAACACTGGGGCTCGAGGGCATCACAACGATGCTTGCGTTTACGGCACGCATTGCAGGCTCGACCAAAGCCGAGGCGCTTGGAATTGGATTGCTTGTGGGTAGTGGCAGACATGGTGCTAACAATTGACGCACTCTTACGACGAGAGCAAGCAACCCCGCGGAGCGGCATTCCCTTATGAACCCCAAAATTACGGGAGACAGTGGGCGGGGACGCGGAAGGGGCGCTCTCGGGCTTATCGGGGTTAATTTGTCATTATCAATCACTACACACACGCATTGGGCGGAGGCGTGGCAGGTCCCATTTGAATTTGGGGCTACCAAACAGCTCATGCGGGGAAAGTTTTTGATTTCCGGCCTCACCATGGCCCGTTGGGGAGAGGGGATATAACTCAACGGCCTGGAACGGTAGTTTTGCGACAAATATACTCGATTTCTTTACTGTCTCCAAGTAATAACCCCGTATTTCTTCTGCCTCCCTCCTAGACAGACACACAACAAACAGCCGGAGATGGTGTTGAAGCTGAGCTTCGCCTGCTGGGACTATGACCGTACTAAGGCCCTGGAAGATGGCCGGGTGCGACTAGAAGGCATCGAGCTCGCCTATCTTAATTATCGCGTGGAGGAAACGTAAGTACCGTGCTTTGCTCTGCTCTCGAAGACGAAGCTGACAGCTCCGCACAGATTTTTCAGGCAGCTGCGCTTTCAGGAATTCGATGTCTCCGAGCTCAGTCTCTCGTCCTATGTCCTAACCCTGAGCCAAGAACCGCCACCGTTCATTGCCATTCCCGTCTTTCCCTCGCGGTTCTTCAGGCACCAATCCATGTACATCAACTTGAACTCGGGCATCAAGAAGCCTTCCGATCTCAAGGGGAAGCGCATTGGCATTCCCGAGTACCAAAGTCAATGCAAGCACCCTAGTCTCATGTCGCTTGAAACTGACTTTTCGACCAGTGACCGCTGCCGTGTGGCAACGAGGGATCTTAGAAGACGAATTTGGTGTTCACCCCACCGAGGTCGAATTCTTCACGGGCGCCATCGAACCTTCGAAGACTGAACGAAAGAGCAAAGTTCCCCACACACTGCCTCCAGGGGTCAAAGTAGTTGCCATTAACAGTGGTAAAAATCTCTCACAGATGCTGGAAGACGGGGAAATCGATGCCATCTTTAGTGCTTCCCGTCCCTCTAGCGTCGGCCGAAGCAGCCACTGCACCTACCTTTTCCCGGACTTCAAAGCTGTGGAGGCCGACTACTTCGAGAGAACAAGAATCTTTCCTATCATGCACGTCATTGCCATCAAGAGGACAGTCTACGAAGCCAACCCTTGGATAGCCAGAGAACTTCAAAAGGGGTTTGCAAAATCGAAAGAGCTGGCCGTTGAGGCCCTGGTTGAGAGAGCGGCGTTACGCTACATGCTGCCCTGGCTGGAGGACCATGTCAGGGAAACACAGTCCATTATGGGTGAAGACTGGTGGAAAGATGGGTTCCATGAGAACAAGCACGTAATTGAGAAATTCCTGTCGTACTCCTATAGTCAAGGGCTGGCTAAGCGGCAGTACAAGGCGGAGGAACTGTTCGCACCTGGAACCCTCGAAGCATTTGTGATTTAGCAGAATAAGTTTCGTCTACAGCAAATGATTGACTTCTGTACCAAGCCCAACATATAGCATAGTTCCACAATTGCTCGCAACTAGAAAGCCCGTGTCTACTCGGCGGGAGTACCATGGCAAGTTACACTGGGAAAAAGAAGATTGTGATCAGAATTTTCCTTTTGGCGACCGTCGGACAACCTCCGCAAATTGACCTCCATTAACAGATTTCCATCATACTGTATCTTCATCTCGTCGACCTCCTACGCATCCAACTTCCAAGGGCATTGGCATCGGCATTCCACCTTCGACGGATCGACTCCATCCTCGGCGTTCTGGAGGTTCGTGTTGGAAAGGTCTTATGCACTCCATTATGGCCACGACGGCGGCATAAAATGCATGTACTCGGAAGATGCCGCGGCTGGTTGTCTGAATTCCGAGCCACCGGCGTTGGGGCGGCAAAATGGGATAACAGACACACGATGGCAGTCTGGAGAACTTCCGAGCAGATCGTGGCCACCACATCGCAGAGTTCCATAGTGCCACTTCGCTACCGAGGAGCTGGCAACAGGATGCCGAGCGCTTGCCTAAACCAAACAAGTTCTAATATGACGCATTCTGGCTTATAAGTTGATTCGCGTATACGAACGGGGTCGAGTTGAATCGATCAACGTCAAAGTTTGTACAGAGAATACCATCACGTTTGCCTAAACACAAGATGATGCCCATGATCCTGCTTGGTCTGATGGGCTGCATGCTCTTTATAGCCCAAGCCATCTTCAGACGACAAAGAAACGAGCACGCTCTCGACCACATTCCCACTCACAGCTTTGCTGATGGCAATAACTCTCGGCAGCGGTACCTGACGAATCTCAGAAACCTTCTCGAATCCGGCTACCGACGTTACAACAAAGCTGACAAAGCCTTCAAAGTTACTATCCCCATTGGCGGCTACGCCATCAAGTACCGCGTCGTGCTCCCCAAATCCCATCTGGAGGAGATTAAGCATCTCTCCAACAATATCTTTAGCTGGCAGCTTGCCTCGCGTATTATTTTCGCGCAGGATTACACCGGCGCTCCTGACCGCGGCCAGTGGTCCGGAAAAGCCTTGCGCGTAGGTATTCACCAGAACTTGGGTGATATCACGAAGCAGCTTAACCTACGCATTTCCCAATACTTCAGCCTGCACCTACCCCAGCAAAAGGGCAGCGTCGGGACGGTCAACCTCATGGAGTTCTTTATTCCCACGATCACGTACGTCACAAACGCGCTGCTCGTCGATGAGCGCCTCTCGTCTGATCCGACGTGGCTCAAGGAGACCGCCGACTTCGCCGTTACCCGCTACGGCGCCGCCGACGACGTACGGCGGTGGCCTCCCTACCTCGCCTCTATCGTCGCCCCTATGATCCCCTCCGTACGCCGCCTGCGCAGGCAGCGCGAATATGTGATGAAGCGATTACAGCCACTGTACAACGAGCTGAAAGCGGCCGGCCAGCTAGATAAGCATAACAAGACCCGGCAGAAGGGAGCTCTAGGCTACGAATGGCTTTGGGGCGGCTCGCCTGACAACGTCACACTGCGCGACTTCTCCGACACGATGATGCGTACTATGATCGCCGCTATCCACACGACAGCTAAGACTATTAGCGTTGCGTTGATTGACCTGCTCACTCAGCCGGAGCTACTAGCGGAGCTAAAGCAAGAGGCCCAGGAGGCCACTTCAGCCGACGCTAGCTGGGTCGATATTGAGCGACTAACAAAGCTCGACTGCTTTCTCAAGGAGTCGCAGCGACTGAGCCCTGTTTTCCTACGTAAGGCACTCCAACTTCCCTGCTGCCCCTATAGTTACTACCGACACCACAACTCACACAAAGGTCTCGTAGTCACTATGAATCGCATCGTTACCCAAGACTACACATTCAAATGCTCGGGGCTTAAGCTCCCCAAGGGCACGATGGTCACAGCACCCGCGGCCGCCATCGCCACTGACCCAGAGACTTTCGCGGATCCGGAAGTCTTTGACGGGCACCGCTACCGCCGGCTGCGCGAGCAGCACAAAGAAGGTGCCAGCTCCCTCGTGCTTGGCATGTCGACCATCGACTCCCTCGGCTTCGGCCTGGGCAACCAGGCCTGCCCCGGCCGCTTCTTGGCCGTCAACAATCTGAAGCTGATGCTCGCCCGCCTGTTAACTGGCTGGGAGCTCAGTCTGGAGAAGAACGGGCAGGAGTACAACGGCAATCGCCCGAACATTGAGTACAACGACTTTTCAGTCGTGCCTCCAAGCGAGTACAGCATGCGTCTCAGGCGGTTATGAGCTGGGTTCCGGTGTTGGTTGCGGGGTAGACTGTGGGTCCCAAATCCTTTCTCTATAGATACGGGAGAGGAATAGGTCATCCATGCCAGAACGTCTGTTGCTAGCATTGTGAGTAGACGAAGAATGTTAGTAAACAGATACAGATGTCGTGACGTTCCCAGCAAGTATGCAGATCTGGAATATTCTTTTTCGATAGTAAGCCCAACTAAATGATTTTTGTCACGGCTGATTGGAACTCATAGTTGTCAACGAAAGTGGAGAGTGACACAGTCTCCTATTATTAGATGCTCCTATGCCCTCATTTCCTATGTTTGGGTATGTAATCTTGGGTTTGTGCTGCAACTTGGACCAGTTTACTCCAAGCACCTTAGCATAACCCATGGGATGCCATATAGGTCAGCAGACAGGACAACATCTATGAAATCAGGGTCCGCTCGCGCCGCTTCCCGTAGTTTCAGCGAAGCTTCATCTCTCTCCATGTTCGAGTAACTCTGCAGCGGCTCCGTAGTCGGGGCACTGCTAGCTGTGACTTGATGGCTGATGCCCGACGAGCCCTCGTCGAAGGAGAAAAGTCTGCCTGAACGGTCCATTTTGTACAGGCCCTACAGTGACGATGCTTGGCCTGGAGGTAGTTTTCAGCACGAAAGGTAACACGCGAGGGAAGGACTCTTTTGGGAAGGAAAGACATGAAAGCACGTTGGAAGAAAGGTAAATACTAATAACTGCGAGGCTGACTTGGCTGGGCGTGACTGAGCTGGAGGGAGACGGGACTGTCGGATTTCCTGCAGTCATACAATCGGTGTGTCGAATGCAAATGATCCTTGATCCTTGATTCATAATTATTGACGGAGAGACTCAGCTGGGGAAGCCCGAGGCTTCTCCCCCGCTTCCGAAAGGATCAGAAGAACCATGCAGGTGCAGGTGATCCTTTGCTCTTCCCACAACCTCCGCAAGGCATTTTGCTTCTCAAACGTAAATGCTTGCATTGCCCCGCTTTGGGCACGAAAGCATCAAATCTTTCTTCGACGACGCACGAGCAGACTGCGGGTATTTGGCACTTAACTACCACATCGAGCAAACGCGTCTCCAGCTCTGGGGTGAACTGTGCAAGGCCAATGATGAGTCCCGCCATCAGATGAATGCACCCCCCGCGACAAACCGGAGTATTTGAAGGCGCTGATTGTCCGGATCCTTGGTGAAACCCGGAAGCTCAACGAGGAGGCCAACAGTCTCATTTTCAAGTCCAACATTGACTTACCAACTCTTCCAGAGCTCGATCTGGATGATAACCTGGCGCCCAACCGAGCCTTGCCGGCGGCATTATCCAAGAAGATCACCAAGCCGAAGTCTAGGCTACGATGGACAGTCAGGGGAAAGTCAGAGTTCCAGGAAGTTGTCACTAAGCTCCGAAAGCTTGTTAGCGACCTGCACGAACTCAATGTACACTCTGGAGAGTCGCAGCTACCAGGAAAAGTGCTTCCGCCTCAGGTTCTCGCGCCTCCCAACAATCCCAAGCTGCTTCAGATACTGTCCAATCCTCAGAACCAGATGGATCGCACCTTGGCTTTGTCTGCCCAAGCTAAGAGCCTCCATCAAAAGCTCGAACATGGGCCTGCGAGTTCAGCCACCACGATCAGTGATCGCCAATTGGAGTTTCGAAAAGGCTCCTCAGTCACTGCCACGTTCTTTCATCCAAACGGACATATACTACCTGTGTGGGTCGAGTGGAATCATTTTGATTCTGGACCTCACTCCGACAGATACTCTGCGCTCATCAAGTCGCTCGGTTACGTCCTAGAGAGAGTGGGCCAGCCTGAGCTTTGCTTGCCCCCTTTCTATGGAGTTTATGACGACCTCAAATTTGAGACAGAGCACGGTTTCAAACGAATGGGCTTCGTATTTGGACTGCCTCAATCAGATCCTTCCGTGCAGCTCTGCTACGAGTCCAACCTCCAGTTATACCCCCCGCGAAGCCTCAAAGCCCTCATCAAGGAAGGAAAGAGCGCCAGAATCCCCCTACTCGGAGATCGCTTTCGCTTGGCATACCGGCTGGCGAATGCCTTTAGCCTATTCCACGCAGCCGGCTGGCTAGATAAAGGCATGCACAGTGACAATATCATGTTTCTCCACCAGGCTAATGGCCTTGGTGTTACTGTCTCAGAGCCATTCATTACTGGATTTCAGTATTCACGACCACAGGGAGTAGTTTCCCTGTGGTGGACACAGTTACGGACCGGCGGAAAAAGCAACTGACTAGTCGGCAAGCATGGCCAGAGTATATGCTCCACCATGTAGTCGAAGATCTAGGGTGGAGGATGGGGAAGCTGTACAGAGACGCTGTGAAGACACTTTTAGATTGCAGCCTCCCAACTGACGATGATGGGGATGCATTCTTTGCCCTGCAGTTCTTGGAAAGAGCGATTCAGCCGTTGAGTATCTGCAGTGCGTGAATAGAGGTCATCAACGTCTTGCTGAAGCTGTGAAAACAGGCAGATTCTTCACCGGCTTGCATTTTATTGTGGGCATGAGCTTGCTAATTGGAAGGGTTTCCACTGCCTCTTCCAGGGCTTTTGTAAAGCCATCGATGCTAAATAGGGACTTACAATGGGAAAATCCGGAGATGGCACTTGAGAAATATAAAATGATGCTTTTTTCACTAAGTTGATGAACCGGGACTAGCCCCATGTTTACCAGCAGAACAACTTATTCGTCTCTTACCTTGAACTCTTATCTATATAATCCACCTCATACCCAGCACATACGACCATAGGGTGTGGAAAACAGGGCTTCCCGTCCGCTCAGCCGTACTTAAGCCACACGCCGGCCGGTTAGTAGTTGGGTGGGTGACCACCAGCGAATCCCGGCTGTTGTATGTTTTTTGTTCACCAGCTTTTTTTGATTTGTTGGGTTTAGCGCCCGTGCTGCTCTACCTTCAGCCCCTTCAGCCCTCCGCCTGAATGTAGCCTGAATCCCGTCTAAAACTCACCCACTGCCCCGCCTGCTGACATGTCCCAAAGAATCAGATTTACAATAGGCCGCTGCCTTCAGCAGCACACTAGTAATTTAATTCTTTGGCAAGCACAACGACATGAGTCTAAGGCCGTCCTTTGTGAATTCGATCCTATTAATGGTATGTATGGATAAGTGGGTTTGGTTATGCCAGCATTAATCCTCAGAACATTAAGATATAACTAAGAGTTTGATATAAAATATTCTTTAGAAGTCAGCCATGTTACTCTGTTCTCTGCGGTGATAGTAAATTACTGCATCCGGTATAGCGCGCCTAATCAGGGAAAGCGCATCGCTGTCGCTTGGCATCGAGGTGCGTGGTCTATATTATAGATAAACTTAGTCTCCTCGCCTGCCTTTCCTCTTGCTTTCCTATTCTTTGACGCCATATCAACTCAGGCTAAATTAAGCCTTTGGAGCTATGTGGCACAGATTATATAGGTAGATCGCGCAGGTTTGGGTCGTGACATATAAGGTTGGCGAGCTGAAATCGCGATACGATGGCAGACTCTTGAGACCCAAGTCGACTGTGCCGACGGTCTTCAAGCCACTGGTCTGGCTGAGCCAAGCCATATTTGACAGCTAGATATCGCTCCATCCGCTGTTTTGCTAATTATGGATGTTGACTAAGAGGTGCTGTGACGCATGGAGCTCAATCGCTGATGTCGCACCATATAATCGTGAGGTTATCGGAGCCACTGGCGAAGCCCCAACATATCCATGGATAGGATGGCAGCACAGCCTAGGGCTGGGCACGGGTAGAGCTATGTGCAGGGAAACCTGTTGTGAGTATAAATAGATTGTATTGGAGTATCCAGCTAATAGTTCCTTCATAATTACACCACCTCCAGAAAGGCCACTATGAGCTGCTTCTTTTCTACGCATCGTGACTCCTCTGGATTAGATATGCTACGGCATTGAATGCGCTGCTTTGCTTGTGGCCACTCATGTATCCAGGCTGAAGACTTCTGGTCGCCTTACTTGACCTGCAAGAGCCGACGCTGCGATATTTTCCACCTCCTTCCCCAGCTATATTAGAAGGCTGATAACCCGATAGGCCTGCCGAGCGTATGGGTCGATTATCAAGGTTACTCGGTTACTTAGAAAGATCCTCTTCACCATTTTCCATACTTATGGAGAATGCGTCGTCGGTAGAACTGCCGGGCCAGTGTGAAGCACCTGGCAGGGTATAGGATGTTCTAATGGTAGGCCAGTCCTCTTAGTTGCTCCAGCCCATCCTGACCCAGGTCCGCTCAACTTGGAGTCGCGGCAGGTATCCTGACTGAGTGTCTAACAGATGACAGCAGTCTACGGGGTTGCTTTATAGGAGCCGCCTTGCTTGCATCTCTACTGGATTATGGACATTAGTAAAGGTAAGCAGCTGAATCAGATTGAGGTCCAACCATCTAGAGATTGATTTTCCATCCACATCGCAGGCGGCTGAACACGTTCCATTCAGGTGAATCCTGTTCACCTGAATGGGGATTCGCATTAAGACCATTGATTACATTGTGGGAGTGTCCCATTAAAGTGCGTTCTTTCCTCTCCTTGAACGTTGGTGGATTTCACTACCTTGCCTTTGCGCCCACACCACCGGTGTTAAAGCGCCGACCGTTCCCCTTCTACAGTACTCATTCACAATTCTCTGTCCCGATGGCGGAAAACATTGTTCTGCCATCACTAAAGGGCAAATGCATCATTATCACAGGGGGAGCCCGTGGTATTGGAGCTGCTGGTGCACGGCTTCTAGCTAGTCAAGGGGCAAAGTTGGCTATTTTCGATATTCGAGATGACCTGGGATACACTGTTGCAAAGGAAATCTCGTCTACGTCGGCTGTCCAGGCGAAGTACTACCATGTCGACGTTTCTAAAAAGGCAGGTATCTCCGACGCAGTATCATCAGCAGTCAGATACCTCGGCGGAGTGCACTGTTTCCTCCATGCGGCCGGAATTGGACACCAGTCGCCATGTGAAGATTTGACCGAGGACGAAGTGAACCGTATGGTTGACGTCAACCTCAAAGGTACAATCTACGCAAACCAAGCCGTCTTTCCTTACATGAAGAAATCAGGCGGCAGCATTCTAAATGTTGGTTCCGACACTGGTTTAGACCCCTTTCCCGGTCTGGCGCATTACTCTGCTTCGAAAGGCGCCGTTCACAGGTTCACACGTACAATTGCGAAAGAATGGGGGAGCTGTAACATTCGGGTCAACGCGCTACTGCCAGCGGCGTGGACAGACCTCGTTGAGGAGCATATGAGCAGAATGTCTCCTGACGAGAGTCATCAGTTGGATAGATATTGTCTAGTCGTTTCTGTGTCGGTGGGAAGCCAGGCAACCTGAGAGTCGATATAGCTCCCATGATCTGTTTCCTCTTGTCTGACTTCTCACATTATATAACAGGCCAATTAATCCCCGTTAACGGTGGATTGAGTTGTGTACGCTGAATATATCTGATTTTGGGCAAATCAGCCGCGGTCCAGCCATCTGTAACGTCCTAATGGGCCTCCTATTGCCTCTAAATCAACACAAGTTCATACTACTTACTTTCTGGCGGGCGTAGATGATTGTCCGTAGTTGGTATTTTAGCCAATATACATATTAAAATTGAGCCCCTTATTCCACCACCGATCTGGGAAGTGATCAGCCAAGATTATTGAAAAGCATATTGTGCATCAATGCATGCAGTCCAATAGGGTGCGAGCGAGTTACATGGATTGGCTGGTTGGCTAATCCTATTCGACAAGAGGGTTATATGGGTCCTGGGACGTTGTTGCATGGTGTCAAGACTCACGATCTACTCTGAGGTACCTCTGGTGCCGTTCTTTTGTGCCAGCAGTGCAATTGCATAAGCTAGCGGTCCATGTTGTGTCGTTATACTACCTGCAACGGCTTCTCACTCCCCACCCCAACCCTTGGATTTCGACTGTGGTGTCTATCAGAGCCTGTATATGTGTGAAGACATTATCCAAACAATTTCAGCCTATGCCATATGCCGCTGTGCATATCAGTACCGAGTGGATGGCTTTGCATAGTGTCAGAAAGCGGATGGTTACATTACATCAATGTAACTTAATGTAAATAACCTCATCACATCTCTTGTTTCCATTTCTTTTACTGTTCATCCGCTACTACATAGCACGAGACCCGTACCTTCGCTTGTGAGGGTCATAAAATACACCTATACCCCGATAGTCTGGGATGCTGCCCCCTATCTTACATGTTCCCACGAAAACACGCTGTCGAAAATTACACGAGAGAGCTTTAGCCCCCATCACCATGACAGCAGGCTGTATCAGAATTGGCTTCGTCCATATCGAAGAGTTCGATAGTGAGGATAGGGTTACCAGGATCTTACATGCACATGAGGCCACCGACATCACCTCGGCTCTTGAAAGTCTGGGACACGAAGTAATCCAAGTCCCTAACATGGATTCTCTTCTCCAGAACACAAAAAGTGGGATCTTGTTTTCAACTCATCTTACGGGTTATATGGGCCAGCAAAGCACGCGCAAGTTCCAGGAATATTGGAAGCATACCAAATTCCAACCACCTTTTCTGATGCTGCGACATTGATGCTATGCCAAGATAAATGGAAGACCAAGGTTTGTGCTGCCAAATAAAGGGGAATTGTCTTTTGTATGTTTGATGACTGACCTCAAGATATGGAATAAGATCATGCTTGAACACTGCAACATCCCGACTCCGCCATTCGCCATTGTTCGAAATGAGGAAATGGCATTAGATCCAGCCCCAGGACAAAAGGCGATCGAGCTATCACCCCATGCCACAGCGTTGTCGTCCTATCCACTGTTCGTCAAGCCCAATGCCGAAGGGGACTCGAAAGGCGTTGTCCCTGCTAGTAAAGTCAGCAACCAGGACGAACTGGAGAGCGCAATCAGAGTCTTGCGGGAGAAGTTTCCGCAGCAGGATATCCTCATTGAGACCTTTTTGCCGGGACAAGAGTTTAGTGTTGGAATCCTAGGGACTGGGCGCGAAGCAAGGGTGATTGGACTGGCAAGTTACAACTTTCGACCACTTAACGACCAAAATTCACCTCGACAAATTGACTTTCACCTGCAGGGGAAAGACAACCTTGAAAGCGGAGCCGTGGAACAAGTTGTCATGCATATGGATCATCCAGGGGTCAGGGAAGTCGGCGAGATGGGCATACGAGCATGGAATGTCTTGGGTTGCCGAGACGGTGGCCGGGTCGACATCAGGCTCGATGCAGAATCCAAACCCCAGGTATTGGAGGTAAGAGCAACAGCGCGCGCATTACTATACAAGACTCACAGTAACATGGCTATTTTACAGGTCAATCCAATTCCTGGCTTGTCGATGAGCTCCTCGATATATCCTGCAATCGCTCGAGGAAATGGGATTCCCTTCCCCCAACTCCTGGAAAGCATAGTGAACAGCGCATTAAAGAGAAAAGAGAACACTGTGCATGCCAATCACTAGGGCTATTCACCATTGCAGATTCTAATTTTATCAATGCTCCTGATTCTCCATAGCGGCAAAGTTTGTAAGGAATGTATGCTAGCCAAGACGTGTCATTACATAGCATCCCAACTTTCAAGCAGTGTAGGTGGAACGTCTATCAAACATAGCCCTGCATAGAGGATAAACTATTGTAACCCAGCGACCATTCTGTTAAATAGTCGCTTCCATTGCTATGATGTCTCTAGGACTCGAGAAGAGAACAGCAAAGTGAGTTAAGAGTTAAGGCCAACATTCCCCTCCCCAGGATCAGTCTATTTCCGGCGCGCCTTGAACTAATTCAGGTATCTTCGACTAAATCGAGCGTTTAGTGCTGGGTTTCAGAATCAATGCCCAAGAAATGGCGGTATACATGTCATAGATGAGGCAGGACTCGCTGCGACCCTGTTGGTAGTGTAACCCTAAACGAATTCCATTCCGGTGAAGTGGATGCGATGGCATGTCGCCTAGGATGAAACATGGGAAGCATACTACGTAGGTACTCTATCATCCACATGCGAACAGATGCGTCCTATCCGCTTCTTCCGGCAACTTTGTACGAACAAGAGTCTCGTCTTTGCCTACTGGCCAGCGCTGATCTCCGGAAAATACAGAGAGCCTCATCCAAGTGAAGCCTAACCACTTCTCAGTTTTCAACTGGGTGCACCTGACATGCTGGCAGATTTGATCCAAGGCAGTGGCCTACTTCCTATCCTGATAGGTGCTGTGGTCACCATCCTCCTATCTTACATTCTCGCCTGGACAATACGAGCATCACCACTGCACCATGTTCCTGGGCCGTGGTTGAATAGATATTTTGGCGTTAGCATCGCCCTTGCTGACATACGGGGGCGCCGTGGCCAGCAGTGCCTTGCATGGCATCAACAATACGGCCCAATCGCCCGTATTGCGCCGAACCAGGTTTCCATTGCCTCGTTGACAGCTATCCACGAGATCTATAGCTCCACCAGTCGCGCCGACAAGAGTGCCTTCTTTAACAACTTCGTCGCATTTGACAGCCGGTCGGTCTTCACGACCCTTTCCTTTCCAGACCACAAGCGCAAACGCGCCGTCGTCTCCGCGTTCTTCCAAGGCTCAAATATCTACGGGCAACCGGCCATTGAGTCCTTCATCCGCAGCCATGCGTTTGCCATCTTGCACCAGATCGAGGGAAGCGTTCAAGGAGAAAAACCGATCGAGTTCTACCCACTTGCCGACTGGTATGCATTCGATAATATCACCATGCTTGTCTTTGGTTCTTTGCATGCATCTGCAGCTACCAAGCGGCCATGCGAAGAGCGCGGGATCTTGCGCAACCTGAAGCGAGCTCAAGCATGGGCCCCCATCCGCCAACGCTTTCCATGGCTAATCCGACTTGTGAAGATCGTCACCAGTGTCTCTGGGGGGGATACGGCCCGATTTGATGCGGAAAGGCATCTGGCTCGATGGACGTATGACCGCACGCTGCGCACGCTACATGATCATCGCTGTCTGGTTGGGTTTGACTGTCTAGTCGTCTATTTGGCTAGAAAGCTGGGACTCGACCTCGGACCAGGCAGTCTGCAGGAGTCCCACGGCAACCCTGCCCATGAATCGATACAGTATATTGCAGCAGAAGCTCTGGACAACATCAACGCAGCAGAGGCATCGGTTGCCGCAACGATTACCTATATGATTTGGTATATCAGTACCCATCCTGAATGGCAGCAGAGACTCCGAACAGAACTTCTGGCACTGTCGGTAAAGGCGGACGGCCTGCCAAGCTTTAGCGATATCGATCGTGCTCCCATCCTTGATGCGTGTCTTAAAGAAGTGTATCGCCTGAAGCCGGCCAGTGGCGGGCGTGCCGAGCGTGTCATCCCCGCTGGCGGCTGCGTTGGATCAAACGTATATCTCCCGGAAAAGGTACTCCCCCCTTCTATACCGCGATGTGGTGCTCGCTAAAGTCTGTTTGTTCCTTGGATAGACGGTTGTTGTCGCTTCGATTGCCGCTGTTCACACCGATCCTAGCTTGTTTCCCGATGCATTCAAATTTTGCCCTTCGCGATGGCTGCAGAAGGATGAGGCTACAAGGGCCCGCCTGAATGCATCCATTATGCCGTTTGGATATGGGGCACGGGTTTGTCTGGGCAAGGTAATGGCGAACATGGAGATCAAACTCCTGCTGGCCGCGATTCTTCTGCGGTACGAAATTGCCCCCGCTGGAGCACAGACGGGCATATGGATGAAGCAGGCTGCTGCACGGGATGGGGTCCGGAGTGGGCTCAAGGGAGAGTTTCATTTCCGACATTTGCCTGCGCAGGGTCGCCAGGTCGCCAAGAATGAGGTGATGTAGATGGGATTAGACAGTACATTTCTTGTAGATAGTCTGATATACAAGGAATGGAGGAGAAGACAGAGAAAGGAGAAGCAACATAGACCAAGCTCGAGCTACAAATTCACGGTTGAAGATCAGCCACGCAACGCCTTGGAGATAGCGACCAGGCCCTGCACAAGGCTATCTGCGCTGGACCAGCCATACCCTAGTCGAAAGTACGAATCGGGCCGCTCAAACCATCGCCCTGGGCCGACGTACGTTTGATGTTCTGTCAACAGACGATCATAGAACGCCGCCGTTCCCCCGGGGGGTTCTCTGGTCATCCGGATAAAGCCCATGACGCCTCCATCCGGGTACACCCACTCGACGAGATCCTCCGACTGGGCCCAAGTCTCCACCAGGTTCCGACGGCGCTCCATCTCCGTGATGATCGGGGGAAGTATCGTATCGCAGCGTTCAAGGATCTGTTCTGCCACGTACTCGTCCAGAACACTCACCGTGATGTTGATCTGTTCCTTGGCAGCGAGGAAGGTCTCATGGAGCTGCTTGTTCTTGGTGGAGATCCAGCCGATGCGGATACCGGGGACACCAAATGCCTTGGACATGGAGCCGACCCCGATAACGTGGGGGCCTAGTGAGGCACATCCTGGCAAACGGTCGAGATACGTGAGTTCCGCGTACGTCTCGTCGACGAGAACGTAGCAGCCATGTTGTTGCGCCAGCTCGGCGATCTGCCCCAGCTCCGCAGCCGACAGACAAGTCCCGGTCGGGTTGTTCGGAGTGGTCAGGCTGATCAGCTTTGTCCCAGGTCGGATGGCCTCGGCAATCCGCTTGATATCGACCCGGAATCCCTGGTCGAACTCTAGATCGATGTAGGTGATCTTGCAACCAATGGCTCGCGGGGTCTCAATGTTGCTGGCATAGTTGGGCCGGGTGACGATGAGATGGTCCGAAGCCTCGAGAAGGGCAGTAGCCACGATAAACAGTGCGGCAGAGGCGCCTGCGACTACAAGGATGTCGCTCGCCTCTAGGCCCGCGCGCTGTGCAATCAGCTCTCGAAAGCGATCGCTCCCGAAATGCTTGCTGTACGCCAGTGCCAGCTCTCTGGGAGCGGGTATGCCCAGATCTTCCAGAGTGCGGTCGCCGACTGCACTGTCACTTAGGTTGTGAAGGATTGGCAGCTCAACCTCTTCGGGGGCTTCAATCTCGATGGGGGAGCGCTGGTAACGCATTTTGCAGGTCGGATCTTGGCTGGCGTAGACTCAGACGGGCAGCGGGGGATGCAAAGATCAAAGTGTTTGCATGCGATAGAGATGTGAGGCCGGAGGTAGAAGACATAGGAGCTAGCACAGCCGTGAATGGAGGATCGCCACTTGAGCCGAAGGTAACTAGACGCTGGGCCCTTGTTTCCCTTCATGACGGATTCGGCGTGCGTTGTAGTAGCATGCACGATGACAACAACAGCAACAGCAACGACTCTGTGGGGCTCGAGATAACTATGCTTATATGCATGCGGACAGTGGGATAGTGGATAGAGAACAGTAAAGTGACATCTGACGTGGAAATGTCATGTCCAGAAACTGTCGTATCCCACGACGAGCTGGCGACAGGTAGTGCGCTCTATATGAGAAGGAGATGGCGTGCCTCATGCTGCCGAATGAGAGCGACTAGAGCAGCAAGATCTTTCAATAAAGCCACAAGAGATACTTTTGCCATGTCCTACACCATAACCAAGCCAACAGAACCAAGCCTGCATCTGCAAAGGGTGGATTTCGAGAGCATCCCTATTATTGATCTCTCCAAATTGCACGACGCCACCTTTCAAGAGCGGCAGAAATTAGCGCAGGAGGTCGACCGAGCTTGCACCCAAGTTGGTTTCTTCTACATCAAGGTACCATCCACTCTGTCCGGGGTATCTGTTGCATGACCTGAGCGCAAGCGCTGAACTCCGTTGTTCATAGAACCATGGCATTTCTGAGGATCTGATCAATGGGGTCCAAGAAGCTGCCCGTCGATTCTTTTCCTTGCCCGAGGAGGAAAAAATGAAGATCTACCTGGGAAACTCGAAGGTACGTAATATTTAATCCAGGTGTGGGTGTTATCATCGTGGAACGCACGCCTCATGACTTGATGCCAGAACTTTCGCGGTTATAGCCCCTTGTACGGCGAGAAATCGTCCAACCCCGACCTGGAAGAAGAGGCTCTGGATAAACCCCCAGGAGCTCTGTCGGAAGCATTCGATATTGGATACGAGCTATCCGGAGACATGCAGAAAGGCCCTGATGATCGGCTTCCTCCCGATACCTTCGGACTTCTGGGGGAGAATCAGTGGCCCGAGGAGAGTATCATCCCCGGTTTTCGCGCAACGTATCTACAGTATTTCGCCGAGGCCCTTGAGCTTTCGCGAGCATTGATGAGGATCTTCGCTCTGGCTCTGGGCCAGAAGGAAGATTTCTTTGACTCAATGATGAGATTCCCAGGGGTGACTTCGAGAATGTTACATTATCCGCCGCAGCCCGTCCAGGGAGAAGAGATCCCGGGGCTGGCGGCACACACGGTGAGCTGCTCGCCGGGGAATATGAGCGAATGCTCTAACGCGGTGGATAATCTCTAGGACTACGAATGCTTTACGATACTGGCTCAGGACAGTGTTGCGGCTTTACAGGTTCTAAACAACAAAGGCGAATGGATCCTCGCACCGCCCATGGCAGGAACCCTGATTGTCAACATCTCGGATACCCTATCGTTTTGGTAAGTAATGTTAACCTGGGGCTCTAGCATAGGCACGGTTCTAATGGCTCTGTAGGAGCAACAAACGGTTCAAGTCGACCATCCATCGGGTCGCCAATCTGTCTGGAGAAGAGCGGTACTCTATACCACTCTTCTTTGGCGTGGATTACGATTCTACTATTTCTGTGCTCGAAAACCAAGTCTCTGAAGATAATCCTCCCTGTAAGCAGCCATTCAAAGCTGGAGAGGTGCGTGAAACAGAGTTCCCACGATACGTTTCTAGCAATGTCATGCTAACCATCTACGTCTACAGTATGTGCGCTGGAAACTTTCCAAAGCGTACATAGGATATGGAGGAGAGCCTGCAGGTAAGGGCAAAAATGCCTAGTTTCGACCTGACGTTTGGGGAATGCGCCGTTTGCAAAAATAGCTAGGTTCTCGGAATGCAGGGATTCACTGTCTTACTCTTCTGCTTTGCACCCGAGCGGTAGATGGCCGTCAACCCCGGGGGATATAAGTACAATTAGTTACTACAAGGTCATTATATCCTCAAGGCAGGATTTTATGAAATAGGCAAACTCAGGAAATTAGCCCAGTAATACGACGTAGGACATAGGCGTAACTGCACCACACAGATCGATTTGGGTTAAACATGCGTCAAGGGATCGATCGATCCATGGTTTCATGTCTTCTTGGGATCTGCTCTAGTTACCGGTAAAGGAACGGTGTAGATTGACTACCTAGTGAGCCAACGCAAATAGTTGGGAAAGGCCCCAGCCTAGAACTACATTCCTTCCTCCTTATTTGGAGAGCTTGGTCGAGGTGGTGGGGTGCCTGGACTGCTTGAACCGCTTGCAATCCGCGAAAGAAAAAAAGGCAGAACCTTTACTGATGACGAATTGATTAACAATCTTCCCTAGTGCTGTTGTGCGCTAACCCTCACCAGGTCCACCGTGGCGCAGTGGAAAGAGCCTCCTATACTGTTGACATGCTTGAACGGACACAGGATGCATTCCATCCCTAGAGATTCGTACCACTTTGCAGTTCGCTGGTCGCTAGCCTCGACCACGACCCGTTTCCCGTCCAACACCAGCGCGTTGAGGCACAACCAAGGGCTCGTCATATAAAGCGGCGGATCTTCCGACTCCTTCGGCGTGAATGGGTAAGGGCGGAGGTCCCAGTCCGCCAGCACCGCGTGTTTGCGCAGCGACTTTTCCGTGACTTTGTTCGGGTTATAGACCAACAACCCTTCACGGAGTGGAAGGATCGTCGCATCAATATGCATAGCATGCGGGTCATCCACCTCGAGTATCTCTATCTTGTATCCCGTGGGCAGACAGCGCTGGACATATTCCACGCCGGCCTGGTTTGTAACGTGACTGAGTTGTCCGAGGATGGTTTTGCCAAACCGCATAAAGTCAGCCGCATCGAACGCGGGGCGACTGTTGTTAATCACCCACGGACTGGAATCCTCATGCCCGTCGAGCAAGGTATCCGCCAAGGTGTGTCCTGGGCGGCGAATCACCTTCACCCGACTGTCCAGGGCCAGTTCGCTTAGGATGGCATCATAAGCGATTTCAATCTCCTGGCTACGGCAGGGCCAGGCGAAGCAGGCTTCGATTAACGTATTTTGGACGCTCATAAGCCCATCGCGGGGCATGGCCCCGGTATATCCGTTGACGTCCAGCCAATTGACTCCCTCGGGTGGCCTGTAAACCTGGACTCCCTCTGCTTGGAGGATCGCTGCGAAGTAGTCCAGTTCAGCGTCAGCTTTGGCAATCAGCTTTGGATCAAAAGGGTGCCGAGGTTTAAATCGGTGAGCGTGCTGCGAAGGCATTGTTGCTTCGATCATGGCTGTAGGAGCGCTGGGGAAGCATGCTTGTCCGGCTCGCCCCACAATCACTGACAGGAGAGGAGACCATTCGTCATCCGCTTGGACGGAGGGACGAGGAGGATTGACCATTGTGGCAGATTTTGACACCCTGCCCGGTAGGAGATATGCGGTGGCTTTCTCTGCTGCTTGTGTCGAGAAGAAAATTCACTGCTCTCAATGGCCGGCCATACTAGGGGCCACGATGCTTGCTTTTATAGCTGCCTGCTATTGGGTATCGGACTATCTGGAGTGACATACAGAGGACCCATAGCCCGAATACTTCCATTATAGTCCTATGAGAACTATGCGAAAGAAAGAGGACACAGCTTACACGTCCGCAGACAGCCACAACGGGTACCGGAGCATTCAGAGCCAACATAATCACATATTTCCGGCGTTATACATAACAGCTATTAGAATACTGAATACTGGGCATAGACCAACAAAGTATGACGACTGACTTGTATAGCTTACCTCCCAACTACTGCTGTGATGAATAGTTGTCCAGATACAGCGTCCTCTGCATCTGAACAGCAGACAGACAGACGAGAGACCATTCTACGTTGCTTCCCAGACAAGCCCAAGCAAGGTGCCAGTGCACTGGCGGTTCCAAAGTCCCGCCAGATGCGACCATTGCGCAAGGGAGCACCCCTTTCCCAGCCAGCTGGACTTACGGAAATGCGCAACCTGCCTAGAGGTAACCCTGAAGAGTGGGCCCGTCAGGTAACCAGAACGTCCACTTAAGACAGTATGGCACCCTATACCATACAGGACTACGGAGCAAGGACGATTCGAAACGTCCATAGTTGATTCACTGCCTCGGGACAGTTAGAATGAGCCTCCCGCGGTTGACAAGACCTTGCTCCATTTTCCTGGAACTTCTGAGTCTGGAATCTGAAGACAGGAATGTCATCCTACTACCTCAGGTCGCATACCTCTCCTCTGCAAACAGAACAGGCGAGCTTGGATGTAGCCAAGACTAATTTTGTAGAACGGTCTCGGTATTTTTCATCAAAAGTAGCCTCGGCTGTATGTAACTCTACCACCAAAGGCCTCAATGAGACAAGATATACAGGTAAAGCTGTGTGGCTTTACGTCGGAACGGTATGCAAATGAGGTTATAGTCTAGGTGACATTCACATATTAACATATGACGGCGAGCTGCTAATATGGACCTGTTACAAGTTACATCGCACCGTGGCGCCGCAGTCCATGGGTGCACCCATCCTATCAGCCACTTGGAGTAGTAGCCATTCACCATCCATAATCAGAGGCAAGACAGAAGTAGTATGTGGATGAAATGCTAGGTTAAGAACGATATGTGTATATAAAGCGTTTCAGGGAGAGTGAGGCGAGCTTGAGAGCATTTTGTCACCTTACACCTTAACAACAATGGCCTCACCGTCTCCTAACATCACCTTCCGCCTTCCTGGCCTAGGATATACCTTTCGGGCGCGACTCCTTGTGAACGAGAACCCCGACGTCGTCCATCAGGTTCTGGGTCAGTTACCCCTCAAAAGCGTCCTGGGCCATGTTGTCATAGCAGGCGAGACCTTCTGGACTCCGACCCGGATCGTGCACCTGGGCCGCAATCACATGGTCCAGCGGCATAGAGGCGCCGTGTATCTCAACGCCCCAGGCCAATCCATCTGCATCACATACGGCAAGATCACAGAGAGTGCCAAGATCAACAAGTTCGCCGAAGTGTTTGAGGAGGATTTGCCCAAGCTGGAGGAAATCGGGAAACTTGTCTACCAGCAGACGGTTGCGTTGCCCCGCCACACGCTCATGGAAGTGCACATCTCCAGCGAATCTTGTCCCCGCCTCAAGGGACCTGAAAGTCACCCGGTGGCAACACTGCCTGCCTCGCCCAACGGCCACTGGCTCGAAGTCAAAGCCCTGATAGAGAAGGAGATCGATCGCGTCTGGCTTGCGGAGCCGATAGAGATCCAGAAAATCCGATGGGGCGTGATCGATAGTGGTGCCGGCAGTGGAGAGCAGTATTTCACGGTCCTCGTCCACTTAGAGGCGTACCTCATGGTGGTGGGCGGGGATGTGATGAGCCGTTTCTTGAAAATCGCTCAGTATGAGGAGATCCAGCTACCGGCTCTGAATCGCATCACGAAGGAGTTCCTAGTTGAGAACTTTGACCTGTTCGAGTTCATGGCGGATCTCGGGCTTGAAAGTATGTTCCAGATCGGCCAGTTGTATTCGAACGCTCTGGATACACTGGCTTCCAAGGAAGAATACATCCAGCTGACCGGTGCGATGCAAACATACATTAATCGGATGCATCGCTGGGCATACTTCATCTTCCCATGGCACCTTGGGGTTGCGTTTCCACACCGCAAGCCGGCTGAGATCCTTTCGTTCTCTAACGCCTTCGGGGTTACCCTTAATTAGTTGCAACAATATGATCGAGATCTGCTAGATTTCAATGAACGAAGCGGTCCACGGTGGGCTTTGATGCTGCAGGTAGATCCGGCCAACAAGTACGGCCTGTTTCCAGGAGAATCACTTAGCGGTATGCATAGAGCGTATTGCTAGGGAAAAGTTCGATTTTTTGGGGATTATAATTTCTGTTTTTCTCTTATCGCTACGTGCTTCTAAGAAAATTATTCTAACTATGAGAGAGGTAGAAATGAGTCCATATTCAACCAAACGTGCATTATCTCAAGAAAATTAGATAGCTTGACTCGGTGCCGGTGATTGGGGATACATTGCTCGAATAACCTAACGTCTACGTTTACCATAGATTGTTTAGCAGCCTAAGAAGTCGACGTCTACGTATCAAGATATGTTAGATACCACTGGGTATCTAGCTGATCTTCTCGTTGACACATAATCCAGCTCGAATTTATTCCCCGTAGTGAACATAAGCCACCTGATGTAAGGGTTGTATCCAGTAGACCTGAGTTAAGTAACCCAGTGTCCGGAAGCAGCTGCCAAAGGTCGCCACTGTGCACTTCATGCCGTTGAGATACAACATCGTGTAACATAACACCCTGGACAAAGTCGCATCCATGCATCTAACACACTGCAATACCTACCCAACTGGACAGAACCTTATATGCTCTTTAGACACGCTGTTTGTCTACCCTTCGTATAAGCGGAGAATATCGGCCTTCAACTTAGTACGTTCTAGCTTGCAACTCAAGATGAGGGCAGTTGCAGATACGGAAGCAACTCAAGGCCAACTACTGCCTACACCTCATGAGGGCTTACCCTCCAGGAAGCCCATGGAGCTCTCTGGCGCTCTGGACCGATTCAGTTATTTCGACGTGACCCCAACCATCGGCAGGGAGTTCCCTGACGTCGATCTGAGAGCATGGCTGGAGTCCCCGGACTCAGATACATTGCTTAGGGACCTTGCAATCACAGGTAACGCCTCTTCTCATCCTCATTCCGCATAGGTATGGCGCTAACACGCGTGCAAGTGTCGCAGCGAGGCGTGGTATTCTTTCGCAAGCAGGACAGGTTGGACGATAGTCTGCAGAAGGAAATCGTCCAGCGGCTGGGAGAGTTATCTGGGAAACCCTCAACATCTGGGTTGCATGTCCATCCTTTTTTTAACGCAGGACTACCGTTTGGAGGTGTCGATAACGAAATCGATGTCGTTAGTACGGAGCAGGATAGGGCGGTGTTTGGAGCCCCCCCTAAGTTCACTAAGAGACAATCCGCTTCCAAGGAGTGGCACACTGACATTGCGCATGAAATTGTTGCAAGTGATTATGCCATGCTGCGCCTCATTGAATTACCAACAAATCCGGGTGGAGGTACGTCTTCCGCTCCTTTCTATGCACCCGAGCACACCTCGCTCTCCTTGCCCGCTAAGGAACGACCAAATCTGACGTGACGAATCCTTAATCAAGATACGCTCTGGGCATCTGGATACGAGCTGTACGATCGTATTTCAAAGCCGTACCAGAAGTTCCTTGAGGGTCTAACCGCTACCTTCGTTCAACCAAGCTATGAGAGAGTCAGAAAACAGTTTAATCATGAGCTCTACACTCGGCCCCGAGGTTCCCCTGACAATGTGGGATCTGAATTTGTGGCGGTTCATCCTGTGATTCGAACAAACCCTGTCACCGGCTGGAAGTCCCTATACGCAGTTGGAAATCACATTCAGCATATCAACGACTTGGAGAAGGATGAGAGCGATGCCATCCTGCAGTGGTTTACCCGGCTGATTACCGCAAACCATGACTTGCAGGTACGGTATAGATGGCAGAACCCGAATGACATCGGTAAGTCTTGAAGGAATCCCATTACAGCAGATCCTTCGCCGCTAACAAGTGATGGGACAGCTCTTTGGGACAATCGATGTGTCTTCCACGCAGCTACTAAAGATGTTGATATCAATGACAAGCGCGTGGGCCATAGGGCTATGGGGGTAGGAGAACGTCCGTACTTGGACCCAAAAAGTACTAGCCGGCGAGAAAGTCTAGGTCTTCTTTGAATTGCGGTATCAAGTACCAACAATGCGTACGAGAAATTTGGTTGTTGCTGCATTGAGGTGATGGCTGTCTATTGATATGCCCTAATATGCCTAACAATATGGAACATCATCAGAGGAATCGAACCGGTCTACTGTAGGCATAGCTGCAAACTGCTACGAAGTAAGAAGCAAGGTGGCAACCATGTCATCCCAACTCTCAGGCTTCCATGGGATTGCTTTGCGTTGCTTGTGAGACTTGACAACAACTTTTCTCACAACAGAGTCAGCAAACACGTCAATAATGTATTCGAATTTTGGATATCTGAAGTGAATATTTTGGTTCTTTCTGCGGTATAGAATCCACAGAAACACCTTTCTGTATTGTTATTATTCAGAGGACGATCGATTGTTACTATTCACATCTGAAAGCATGAGGGTTTATATGCACAGTAGATATTAGATTAGTAGGAAATCAATCTGATTATATTCGGAACAAATTCTGTATACGACAAAGTTCTACTATCATTTTAATCGAGCTTTGATTCACAACATTCCCCTCTTAGGATTGCTGTGCATGTACAGTCATACTATACTGGCGGGAATCGACTAGGGCTTACTTAGTAAAACTACTAAAACCCTACTCGGGGAAGAATAGAAAAAGCATCTCTGCATGATGACTGTTTCTGTTTTAGATCTTTAGCGATATTTCTCGGACCGATTGCGAATTCCTTTTATCCTAGAGATTTAGGGAGTTTATCTGCAGCCTGTACTTGATGGGAGTACCTTATGTTGGATACTGTCTCCCCAGCGTCCAACTCACATGCTTGGGTTCCGCGACAAGGCCATAGCAGATTGAATATCTGCCATAATATGCGTGACCGGTGGCTGTATGCGAGTCTGTTCTGTTCTTCGATGAAACCCTTTGCTAGCGCTGCCCAACAACTGTGTCCAAGAGAACCGGTAAACGCCAGACAGACACATATCCAGGCAACAACTTCACTCGCAGTGGCATGCAGCGCAGCCGGGATAGCTCACAAGCAGCCTTCCAGAAGCCAGGCACCTACTCGGCCACTGCATGATGATGCTTGTTCCCTCGATGGGAAATATCCAACGGGAGCAAACCAAGACCTGACTCCACGACATGGAGATGCGACGCAGGTACGTACTCTTGCATTTGAGACCGAAGTTCTAGTCTCCCAGAAAACCGAGGTAGGTCGATAACGTCATGCGTTGGGGCGGTAGCGTGTCAGCCACAGACCCACGATATACTTCGTACGCCATTTCTCGCACAGTGGCCGACCCCATGCGTAACTGCAGAGGGTCGTCGTCTCCCGGTCAGATGGTAGAGGCCACGCCATGAGCACGTGTTTGGAGTGTAGCGGCTGGGTCACTGCGCCTACCCGCTTGTATCCTTCATAACTGGCCATCTCTTCGGTTGGCAGGAACAGAGTGTCTATACGGCGGAGACGACGGCCTGTTAAAGGATGAAAGTTTGTTGATAGGAGCTTTAGTGTTCCATGTGTTTGGTGATTCCATCGTTGTCCAGTGGCATGTATGTAATTGATCCCGGCCATGGCCATACCTGCCCGGATGATATCGTGCTGATAACTCTGCAAGGATGTCATGCCACAAGTATATCTCTTTTCCCAACCAATGACCACTGGACACTTCGAGCTGGCCTTTGTCGCTAAGGGATTCATCAGGGACGAGCGGAGACAAAGGTTCGACTATGCATCTGTGCAGATCCCTTGCCCTTATTATGGATGGCATGACAGGTTGACATTATTCCACCAAGTCAATGGCAATTGGGCCAAATCAGCCTACAGTTACAGTCATAAACCAGTAAATCATATAGAGATGCACTACCACCGATTGGAACTACAGACATTGTTTGACTTTACACACGCTGGACTAGAGTTGCATTCAGTCCGAGTTCGGGCGAGTTCAAAACCAGTTGGAACCGAACCGCTGCGATTTCGAGTCCAAATCTCAGAAATCGGAACCAAACCTGATCTGTTCTGATTTGGTTCGAGTTTCACCGCAAAATCCGCCACTAGGCCTAGCTAGGCCTAGCTAGGCCTATACTAACTAACCATGGTTAGATTTGGTTCGATTTTGGGCGAGTTAAACCGCTATCATTCGGTGAATTTTTGCTGTTTTGACATTTCAAATGATTATACTATCTATTATACTACTACCATACCTATAGAAATTAATATTCCTATATAAAATATATAGTAATTATTATCATAATAATCTATAACTAAAATATTAATTCAATATCTATAGGGCTGAATGGGTGGTAGTTAAAATCATCCTTAGATCATAGTGATTGTCGAAGGTTGATGTATATATATATATAAACCACCACTACTTTCATACCAACCTGTGACAGAAATGATTATTCTCTTATATCTCAACAACCACTAGGTATTTTGAATTGATATTTATATCATTAGATAGCCTAGATTTAGGGCTATCTAGTGATATCAAAATTATAAGAGATATCTAAGTATTTAGTGATTTCTATCTAAAACGGTGAGGGTTGGTTAGTTAAATCTGATAAAATTTCAAAAATCGAAACCGACAGTTTTAACCGAACTCAAATCAGTTCTAACCTAGGGAAACCGAAACCGGTGCGATTCCATAGGCTTAGAACCAAACCCTCACCGCTGCGAGTTCAGTAGAGGGTCGGATTCGATTTTAGCGGTTTGGTTATGCAACTCTACTGAAGGCTTCAAACTAGGGCTGTAGCAGCTGAACATAAAAAGGAGTATATAAATAGTAGACAAGATCATATAACCAGATAGATTACTATGTTAATTACTACAAGGGTCACATGACTGCTGGTGTCCTCACTGGACAGGAGTTCATTGGTGCCTAAGGCAGGTCGCGAGTGCCTAGTAGGCTTGAGCACTCAGCAGGCCCTGCCCGCTACAAACAAAGCTCTTCGAGGCATAGACTTTGCTTTTAATTATAGATGCGGTGTTGTTGTAGCTGAATCTGCTGCCTCTCCTTAGGACTCTGTAAACTTACTAGTTGTTTGCTGAGTTGCTGCATGGAGTTGTTGAGAGAAATTATGTTGCTCTGCTCTTGGAACTTAAATTTAGCTTTAGCTGGCAAGGATTGCCACAGCTGTGGATGGTGGTATATTCCCATGCTTCATCTATCTTGAATATATTCATGCTGTGTTGAAACTCCCAGATATGTTGCCAGTCCATCAACTTCGCTTAGTGGGTGTGCATATGATCTGCTAAATGTATCTTGATGGATATGACCTGCATATTTCATGGGTGCAGCCACAGAGTGGTGCTTATCTGTACCAGCACTGTTAGCAGGCATTCACACTCACTAGTTGGCATCTGTCCTACCTGCTTCAATCAAAGCCTAGCGCTGACAAGCACAACTAGTAATATTATGAGTATACCCACTCCTGTGGCCTAGTTCTGCAAACTCCTTCCCAAAAGCATCCGCTCCCTGAGACCTCCCTGTGGAGAGCTTGATATCCTATTTATTGTAAGGGCGAAAGACCGGAACATCCAGGACCTCCAGCTTGAATTTGAAAGTTATGATCACCTTTTCTTCAGGCCCACACTCTATAGATTCTACCGCGTTAAGGATCTCCTGAGCTAACTCATAGTCACAAGAATGCCCTGTCAGCAGAAGCCATCGGGATGAAGAACATAAGGAAGTTGAAAAAAAGCGGGAGCTCCTCTTGATAGATCTCATAGAATGCGTGGATCGGAAGCTCCTACCTTTTCTTCTTCCAGTATCCCTTCACATAAACTTAAGAGTATGTTAGAACAAGCATTCTAACACCATCCACCATTTTAATTATGAGGGCAAAGTGCTGCGCAACAATCAGCCTGATATATTCAACTGGTATCTAATACCTTGCCTTATAGCATGCTGCTATTATATATGCTCTGGTATCCTCTTCCTCCCCTTTATCTTTCTGTTTCCTGGATAAGTCTTACTGAGTAGTTGACTTGTGCACTTCTCCAGACCACGCTGACATGAAACAGTAAAGGAGAATTACTGCACTCAGCTGCACCCTTATTCTATCAGGACATGCCTCACTGTACTCTTTGAAATCTTGACACCACAGCTGTGTTAAGAGAATGGTGAGATCATTTAGTGAGAGGCCATCTTTTTCCATTTCCTCCTCACAAAGGCCGACCTTTTCTTTGAGGCCTTTTTATCCACTATGATACCAGTTACTTATGCTCAACAAAGACAAGGGTAAGGATATGCTGACCTCTCGGACGGTCATAGAGATGGTATCTGGCATATTGTAGCCTCGTCGTACTCTGGGCTTTGCTACAATGGTGGATCCCCGATTTACCCCAGTACTGTCATTTTAGCTGTTCATTGGGCTTCAGCTCAATATGAAACAGCTAATGACTGATGCCGATGAGGGCATCTAGACCGAACTCGGTCCAAGTTCACTGACACTGAGCTTCGTCGTTCGACAGCCCTCTGTCTTGTCTATTTCCAGATCTGAGTGAACTGATGTCTGCCTCCTCGGCTTTGTTTACCGCTTCCGATAGCTGCCCAATGCCGATGCATGGACTAGACTTTCTCAAGGGGTTATTAGTGAAACTGATTGAGAAAGTGCGATGGTTCATATAGCCGCGACAGTCGTCCATTTTTGAAACAGCCCGCTGGCACGGGTTATGGACTGGTGGCGCGTCAGAGCAGGATAGAAAAATGGCCAGGGAGGGAGATAATCACTGGGAAGGTTGCCCGGCGCACATATATAATCTCTCTCATTCCTTTTCTCTTTCATTTCAAGCTTCCTTCTCCAGAGTTGAACTCGTTGTCATTCACATTACCTCAACCACTGTTGAATCGCAATGAGGTACATTCCCACGGTAGTTGCCCTGACGGCGGCGCTGGCTCGCCCAGCTACTGCGCACTACATCTTCAGCAAACTCGTGCTGAACGGCCAGGAGTCGCAGGACTGGCAGTACATTCGGCAGACGACTCGGAGTGAATGTTACATGCCCACCAAGTGGACCTCCACTTACGACAATCTGACTCCCAGTGACAGCGATTTCCGCTGTAACCTAGGCTCGTTCAGCAACGCCGCCAAGACCGAGGTTGCAGAGGTCGCGGCCGGCGATACGATAGCGATGAAGCTCTTCTACGATGGTACGATTGCGCATCCCGGACCGGGCCAAGTTTGTAGGGTTACCCTTCCTGCGGATATCATATTGACGAACCCCGGACTGCTAACGAGACTTCCCCACAGATATGTCCAAGGCGCCAACTGGGAATGTCCAGGAGTATGAAGGCGATGGCGAATGGTTCAAGATCTGGGAAAAGACCCTGTGTGATGAGAGTGGCGACCTCACCAAGGGTGCCTGGTGCACCTACGGCATGTCGGAGTTTGAGTTCCAGATCCCCGAAGCGACTCCCCCCGGCGAGTATCTCGTTCGTGCTGAACATGTGGGTCTTCATGGCGCGCAAAACAACGAGGCCGAGTTCTTCTACAGGTGAGCTTGGATGATGGCTCCTCCCCTCCCTCAAACAAGCTTTCTAACGTGACCGGCACAGCTGCGCCCAAGTCAAGGTCACCGGCTCCGGCGGCGGGGCCCCGAGCCGTACGTACCAGATTCCCGGTATTTACAACGACAGCATGACGCTTTTCAACGGTCTCAACCTCTGGACAGACTCTGCGGACAAGGTAGAGACGGATATTCTGGACACGCCTATTGGGGATGACGTGTGGAAGTGAGTCAGACGAGGCACCGCGTCCGTCTGCTGTGAGCTCTGCTGCGGCCTCCTCTACTCTGACTGTGGTGCAGATCACAAGCCAGTGTGTTGCCCAGAACTGAATGGGCGACAGCCTGCTGATGCGAGACTATTCCTCTCATGGAAGGGATGTGGAGCGGAGGCCATGGATGGACAGCGTCTGCTTCGATTCTGCTGGTGATGTATTTATTTTACCGCGTTATCGATCATTTATTAGGAATGGTCCATTTGCAATCTGAATCAGTCGGTCCTTATTTATTTGAAATACAACCTCGATGTGACGTTTGCCAGGAAGTAGAAGCCCCGGAGGGTCCTCTGAATTTACGGCGAGGAAGCAATCCTCCCCCTATGACCCAGCAGGCGTTGGATCACCAACCTTACGGAGGCATCTTTCCCGGGCGCCGCAGAGTTCGCCAATCCTGGATGGATTCGCAGGGGATACTGCGAGACACGCAGCGGCCACATGGCTTGGCCTCGTCGCATTTCAGCTTTGCTACAGCATATGTCGGATAGGCGCGGGAAACTCGACCGTGAAAATGGGCTGAATTGGTTGCAGTGCTTCCGATCCGCTCACCGTCTTTCTGGTGGCATGCATGATGACGCTGGAGAAGATCTCTGGAAGGTTGGCCGTGGGATTTAGTGTCCCAACTTATCTATTGCTGTGACGCATGATGAATGTACCGCCTGGAGAAACCCGGTTGACAGATATCGCACTCGTATGGCTGCTGTGGTAGATCCGCACGGTCTCAGTATGCAGGGCTGGTTTCGTCCAATCAGCCAAGTTGAGTGATAATCAGAGCAGGCCTACGTGAACTGTAAGACAGGCCAAAACGTAATAATCAATGCTGACATGGATTATGCTTGTTTCCGGGTGTTCGTGAGGGCTCTCGGGTTACCGGTACCATGTAACCCTTTCTATACCAGGCTCGTTTAATGAGCAATGACATTGTAACTCGAAAAGGTATAACTCTTGTCATAATCAAGATTACATAAGTATATAATCCTGATATTGAAACACTGGCTTTTGTACATTCATATCTACCAGGGATAAGCTCCAGGAATCAACTATACAACTAGAAGAGTAGATCTAGTGAATGTACCAACTCTCACCGTCCTTTCATCTTAGGATGTCAAACTCTCCCAGAGTCAGAGGTATATGATAACTTAGCAGTAACCAAATAGTATGTCCCTTGCCTGTACTCCCGCTCGTAATTGAGCAGGTTTCTATCTTTGCCCATAAGTGGGAAGTCCAAGGGAGAATATGTCTGAGATAAGACTAGAATACAATTTGAAATAAACCTCTGCATGTTTTAGCTACCACTGTATGACAATATCTTTCCTAACATCTGGTATTTCTCGAAGGCTCGGTCACTCTCAAACAGGTAGAACAACTTTGACGCCCATGTATTCCCTCTGATGCATGACCTTGCCATCAATGAGGACCTGGTCTGCACCGACCCTGTTGCGAACTGTATCGGTCGGATCTGTGCAGGTGGCAATCTGAATCTCGCGCCATTGACGATTGGTAGGGACCAGCTTTCCTTGAGCCGTGAGGTTCCTGAACTCTTTGTAGACGCCTTGCTCTTCGATGCAGCCCTCCCGTTGAATGAGTGGTGACTCTGCTCCAATATCAGCACGACCCGTATACCCAGAAGAGAGTACAGGCACACTCACCATACGCCGGCGCCATCCGCAAATCACCAACCGAACTGTTAAACAACACCAGCGACAAACGCTCTTCATTCAACTGATCCGCTGGCGGCTTGAAAACCCGGTGTCGAGTTGCCTTGAAATGACCTCCCGAGACAATCTCCAGTGTATCTCCGATGTTGATCACCAGGGCGCCAGGCTTATACGGCACATAGTACCACTGTTCATCGCGGCCCCAGATCTGAAGACATGAGATCGGGACAGAGAAGAGCAAAGTCGTCAGTCCAAAGTCGGTGTGGCCGTGCATGCGCAGACCCTTGGATGCCTCTTCGGTTTGTTTCTGGACGGGGCGGAAGAGCGCGTGCCGAAAGTAACCTTCACCCGTTGGGCCGCCGTGGGATTGCACGTTGTCCCAAAGGTAATTGTCAGGTAACTCAAGGACGCGCGAGAAGAGGGTGAGGAGCCGGCGGTTGACAGATTGGGTGAGGTAGTTGCAGAATGCCTCGATCTCGTCCATGAAGGGGTGCAGGCATCGGGGTACGCGGTTAATGTCTTCCCACTCGGGCTTGTACCAGTTGAATTGTTCGATGCCGTCGGGGGTGCCGCGATGGCGCTGACCAAGGAGTTAGTATAATCATAAAGTGCTATCATTACAGCGTAGCGGTCCACCTTGAATCCATAAGGGTGCTTATAACCGGACCAAACACCGGTGTCGGGGTCGAAAAGAAGGCGTTCTTTGTCTTCCTCGCTGATGTTGTTGTAGAGATATTGGGCTAGAGCAAATTGACGATGGAGCTAAGTGCCATGAGGTAGTTGTCAGCCAATTTCTCCCCTCTCCGTCGCCTATAACTGGGAGAGCATCCTACCTGCTCCAAGGAAATTCCGTAGTTCTCCAGGAACAGAAATCCATCATCCCGGATGGCTACCTTGACCTTTTGAATGAGATTCTCAACGACAGTCGGGTCATCAGAGTCCAGCAGCGAGAGGTCAATCGACTTGAGCTGAGCGAAGTTGTGTTTTTCCTTGGTCACTGGAGGAGGGATCCATTCGGGGACAAAAGGTTTACCAGTAGTGGGAGGGGGACTGAACGGAGCAGTAGGTGCCATGACTTCGGTTTTGATTGACTCTGGTTGAATTTGACGGTGTAAGTGTAGTTGATTGTGAAAACCAGTCCGATGAATTTCCAGGCCACTTTATACGATTATTTCGTCGCACGTTTATATTGGCACACTTTCTCCATCTGTTGATCTCCAGATGGACAACTTGATCATATGAGCGGCAGGACAAGTCCCATACCTACCTCTGCACCTCCATCCTCGTGAACAGTCAATCTACTCCATCAGCTGCTTTCTCCCTCTGGAGCTCCTCCCTTGCAACTATTCAGGCGTTATCTTATCAGCTTCGATATAGGGTTTAACCTTGACAGAGAGGACAGCCGTGGTTCGATGAGCACCTGTGGGGCGGAGGAGCTCCTCCCAACTTAGGGCGGAGCGCCCCTTTGGAGGAGTAGAATCGACACGTTATGTAGAAAACGCAAGGACCAGTCTTGAGTTAACCGTATTCATAAGGGGACTGAGGAGTCATTTACGGTCATACTCATCTCACATCCTATTCCAGTCACTGCAAATCCAGATTCTACTCAGTCTGCCACGATGTCCCGTCAATTGATCTCCAGCGAAAAGTACCCTCCCAAGCCACACAACTGTGAGTATAGTATTCAACCTCACCGGTCGATCAAAATCAGCCAGAATGCCTAATCCCTACAGGTCCCGCCGTCAAGGTCCCAGGCCTCGTCTTCTGTGCCGGACAGACTGCTACCGGCGAGATTAAGCAAGCGACAGTGAGTCTTCACATGCAGCAGTATACAACGTCCAACAATCGTCCTGATGCTAAACCATCTTCCGTACAGCGCACGGTATTGCAAAACCTAAAAGAAGTCCTCGAGCTGGCCGGATCATCCCTGGAACAGGTGGTAAAGTACAATGTCTATCTGGCCGATATGAAGGATTTCGCGGCGATGAATGAAGTGTATATTGATTTTCTTCCGAAGCCGATGCCTTCGCGCTCGTGTCTTCAGGCGCTGCCTCCTGGCGACGGGACGGTGATCGAGATAGAATGTATTGCGCAGGTTTAGGCCGTTTGGAATGTTCATTCAAGAGAAGAAGTCAGCTGTTTCCGATGTGCCAAATTGATTGGTAGAAATTCGTATATGAGTTGTTGATAGGATAATGTCATTCGTTCACTATATGGTTAATACCCAGACAACAGCATAAGTGAAGACCAAAAAAGGGCGACTTTGCTGCATGAGGTTACACCTAGCTTGCTTGCCAGGGAAGACCCACATGAGCAGAAAGCTGGATGTGTTCTACATAGTAATACCAGCCTCCAGTATCATGACTATTACATATGCTATATCAACAGATTGGCATCAGAACGACAACACAGAGCAAGAGACTACACAGACAAGTAGCTAATCAGATGGACACATATCGTTCAGCACTTCAATCAATACATCTCGTACCGCCACCCCATTTGCACCATCTCCTCCGTCACACCCCCTTTCACAACCTTGGCAATTTCCTCCGACTTCCCAGAATCCAGCCTCGCATTCTCCCTCCGAACCAACCACCGATAAACAGTTACTGTGCACGCCAGCAAAACAGCCGCGCCCATTAGCGTACCAAACGCCGCATAAAAGTGCGGGGACGAGTAGTACAAATATGACGCCCAGATATTCGACGTGCCGCCGATGGCATTGACCAGTGCCGAGGCAGCCGCACGCTTGGAGATTGGTCGGGCCAGGTGCAGGTTAATAGTCTTGTAGAGGAGGAGTTGCGGGCCGACGGACGCAAATGGTAGAATCATCATGGAGAAGTACCGCGCGCCGACATTGAGAGTGGTCATGGAGATGATGTACATGGTGATAGAAATAGCGACGCAGACGAGGATGACAGGGTACACGGTGTTTTTGCGGTCGGAGTAGAACATTATCCCGTAATAGACGCCGCCGGCGAGGATGTACGGCGGCGCGGTGAGGAGCAGGCTCACCGTGTGCGAGAAGTTGAGCGAGGCGACGAGGGTGGGGAAGTAGTTTGCAATGGAGCCCTGGGTTTGCGACAGCATGTTGGCCAGGATGAGGAGGACGAGCTTCGGGTCGGAGAGGGCATTGGTAAACCCACGGAGGACGCTTTCATGCTCGTTCTCGATACTGCCCTCTGCGGCTCCAGCCTCGGACTCGATACGCCAGACGGCGAGATCACGCTCCAGCGGGGAGAGGATGCGGCTGTTGTGAGGGAACTCGGGCATGATAAGGCTGCAGATGACGCCTACGCCTACCGTCACACTACCCTCTATGATGAAGAGCCACTGCCAGCCGGCGATGTGGTGGATACCGTTGAGCTGGAGGATGGCCGCCGCTAAGAGTCCTCCGAACGCGTTGCCGACTTGTTGTGCGATATATAACCCCGCAATACGCTTTCCAAGCTCTCTTTTCGTATACCACGCTGAGAGGTAGTAGATGGCTCCGGGAAAGAAGACCGCTTCGGCCATGCCCAGGATGGCTCGCACCGCCAGCAACTGGCCGTAGCTCTTGACTGCAGCCGTCGCCGCCGAGATACAGCCCCAGACCGTCACAGCGCAGCATATGTACATGCCTGGACGGGAGATCTTAGTGATGAGGAGGTTGCTCGGGATCTGGAATGGCAAGTAGCCCACGAAGAGAATGGAGACGGCCGTGGCAAACTGTTCAGTGGTCATATGCAGATCTTCGGTGATCCCTTGGAGCTTGGCCGCCGCAAGGTTCTGTCGGTCGATGTAGTTCAGGATGTACAGGATGCCGATAGTCGGGAGGACGAGTAAATCAACCTTGCGCACGACCTTCCGGTTGAGATCACGCAGATCATCCTCGCTGAGGCTGCGAAGGGTCTCAGGCATCCGATGCAGGGGTGATATTTGTCCTTCTGTACATGATGCTTTGTCCGCAATTTGGACAGACGGGGGGCCTTTTTTAGTGTCCATTGTAGCCGTTCAGAGCAAATTGTCTGCATGAGATATGCATCCTCGGACTTCCGTCCGGGGACAGGCAATGACTTATAAGTAGCCAGAGAGCACCCCTTGACGGTCACCTACTACTGCAGTGATAGTCACAAGTTTAAGGGAGGAGCCCCGGCGTTTCTTCAGTGCAGCGGGAGGGGGGGGAGCGAACCCTAAAAGTAGTGCGGAGCTCCTCCCGATAAGCTTTGGCTGTGCTCCATACGGTGATTGGCTGGGGCATGATGAAAGTATGCAGTACATTGACACCAGTTAGAGAGCAAAAGTTCTGGAAATACTATACATAAAGGCATGCCTCACTAGTATTAACATAACGGAAGTTTCTTTCAATCCATCCAGAATAGCAAAACACCGACACAATGACCTATCTAACCGCCCACACGACCACCATCGCCAACCCCCGCCTTCGGCTGCTCAACAAACTCAAAGCCGGCGAATACCCGCTCATGACATTCATGGCCATCCCCTCCGTACGCATGGCGCAAATAATTGCCCTAACCGGCGTGGACGGCATCATCATTGACTGTGAACATGGCCACATCAGCGACGACGCAATGCACAACGCCGTCGCAGCCATCTCCTCCCTCGGCGTCTCCCCGATCATCCGTATCCGCGGCCCAGCGCATGACATCGTCAAGCGCGCGCTCGACACTGGTGCCCACGGGATCATGGTGCCTCAGATCAACACCGCGGATGAAGCGAGACAGGTCGTTGCCTCGTCGAAGTTTCCCCCGCAGGGCGTGCGTGGCCAGGGCTCGGCGTTCCCGGCTATCGGGCACGGGTTGACCACGCCAGAATATATGGTTTCTGCGAACGAGACGATCCTTACAATGATTCAGATCGAGACGAGAGCGGGAGTTGAGAACGTTGATGAGATCTGTGCTGTGCCTGGCGTGGATATGGTCTTTATTGGCCCCAATGACCTGGCGCAGTCGCTTCTGGGATACGTCCCTGCGCGCGGCGACGAGCCAGAGTTTGTGGCTGCCGTCGAGAAGATTATCACGGCGGGGAGGAAGTATGGAAAATGGGTCGGGAGGATGGTGAACAACGGGTCGCTGGCGAAGGACGCAAGGAAGCGGTATGATACTGTTGCCATTACGGGCGATACAAAGGCTATCCAAAACTGGTACATGGCGGAGTTTGATATTGCGAGGTCGTGAGAACCTCGGAATAGAGTCCATTGTACCCGAAATAGTCACATGAAAAGTATATTACGACTTAGATTATATCCCTTAATCCATCCAAGCAGCCGGCAATTAGCTTTCCAATCTGCCATCTCTCTTTCCCTCGAAAGACCTTCCTCGCCCAGTCCAATGCACCCTGCTCATGCCCATCCTCGACTCCAACAGCCTGCATTGCCCCAGGTACCCCGTTTCTCACCAACTGCCAGGCAATCAAAAACGCCCTGTACGCATGCAGTGTGATCCACGGTGCTTCAGATTCCGGCGCCGGCATCGTATCAAGGTACCGCAGGAACCAGTCAACATGCGGCTGAACCGCCTGCGCAGTATCGGCTTCACATAGAACCTCGCAAGATGAAAGCGCCATCTGCGTCGACTGACTCAACCAAGCATCGATGCTGGCTCCGACCACGCCGCCTGTGTGCAGTGGCGACCACATTTGGAGCTCGAGCATGGCGCTTTCCCAGACTGCTGCGTAGGAGGCAGCGGCTGGGGTTGTAGCTGTCGTTGTCGCGGTGGGTTCATCCTCATGACCCCGCTGGCAAAGAAAAGGAGCTAGTGCCATGAGGGAGTTCCGCAACGCTCCAAATCGCTCCATGCTCAGCATCCCCGTCATGGTTGACCAGCCGGAGATTTCGCGTGCACTCGAGATAAGGAAGTGGGCGATGTTGATAGCGCCGAAGGGATCGAAGCGCGGGATGGAAGCGAGGTCTCCGTCCGGGGAGAGGAACCGCCTGACAGCGTCGGCGTACTGGACTGAGCTTCCTGGATGGTATCGCGATATAAGTTGGCGGTGCGCCCATTCCGCGCTTGATGATGCAGTCCAGTGGTCCTCGGGGCAGGGAAGGTCGTGTTTGATTTCTAGGTGGGAGATTGACCGCGGGATGGAGAGCAATTGGTACCAGAGGGCGTCGATCTGGTGGACGGTGAAAAGGGTTCGTTTGCGGGTCTCGCCCTGGATAAATTCGTGCCATAAGGAATCGAGGTCCTCGGTGGCAAGTGATGAGGCAGCGAAGGGTTGCATAAGTCCTGCTGATCGAGCGAGAGAGATCATATTGGAGTGCATTTTTAAACCATTGGCGGAGTGATCGCCGCACATATACATCATCGCGCAGATTTGAAGTAGAAGATATGACTGAACTATTGCAAGGCTTTGTGTTGGATCATTCAGCATATTGTTGTCGAAAGCGATAATAGCACGAGCTTCGTTGAAGCAGCGGGTGGACAGTACCGCGCCGGACCCCACCTGATTGTTGCATTCAGGATCCTCTCCGTGCTGGTAGGCCAGACACAGAATGCTGAGTATCAGGTGGGGGGGCTGTTGTGTTGCCTCGAAAGTGGGTTTGTGAAGGAAAGGGATGAAATACGAAACGTGAGTGAAGAAGAGGTGGCATCCCTGTTTGATTTGTACCGCTGAGGGGGACCAATTGTCCTCTACTCGGGTCATATCATGCGGTAGTGGTTCATCGGCCAGATCCGCATCAAAGAGGAAGCTTGTCGGATTCACATTGGATAAAGGCGACGGGGAATCGGTCTTCTGATTTTGAAGCGCAGGCGCCAGCAATGATGCGCCGAGCAGGATGTCCCAATCAAGCTCGGGTACATCTGGCACAATCTCCCCAGCAGGACCAGTCGCATCGTTGATTGCAGGCCTTTTTGCAGAAGAGCCTGTTTTTCTCTCCCTGTTATTGCTGTTGTCATTGGCACGTTGATCACGTAAATGCCTCGCATGTTTTGTATGCCGTCTCAGCTCGTGCTCCGGGTGTTTCCTCTTAATATGGCGATGGCGTAGATCAGGCCGAGAGAACGTCGTCTTGCAATAATCGCATGGAAGCAAGGCCTGGCCCGGAGACCGAGAATGCAGGGCTGCATGTCGCTTTAGATTCTCGTGCCGGGTAAACCGACTATGACAGACAGCACATTGGAAGGGCTGATACGGCGGTAGTGGTCTTGGGGAATGAGAGACGGACATGATGGAAGTGCTTGATAATAGAGTTTGGAAAATGCGGGGAAGAGCATCTATTTATCTGGCCACGAGCTAGAGTTTCCTAGCCTCATACTCGACACTGCTCCACCCCCAAAATATTGCACCAAGAGCAGAAATGTGGTGGCGATACGACCAGTCACTAAGTGAGCCCTTGGGGTAGGGTACTATGCCAGGGAGTTCCCAAAAAGGAGGCCAATTCAGTTGCTTGCTCTGGTGAAAATATGCGTTTCTCTTTTAAGAAGAGATAATGGAAGTCCTGTACCTTATCTAACAGCCCTGTCTTTTATGTCTGTTCTGTCTCTTATCGTAGTTCCGATGCACTCTCGGCAATCCACCGATGTCCCCTATCTTATCTCTGGCCATTTGGTGATCGTCATCTTTGTCGTGAGACTCTTGATAAGAGGCTCATTCAGGAAATTGCTCGTGGTCCTGTATCCTGTTGAGTCTCCTGCTACTGTTCGAAACTTTGGCCCTGAATCTATGGCTTACAGCAACGAACAAATTTACGTTGTCATCCGAGCTTGATAAAATTTCCTGAGTCTATGTGATGCATCTCTAGCCAATGAGCTTTTCTTTCTCTTTTCTTTTCCAAATTCTCGGCGTCAACTGCTCATTTTAACCCTCCAGCAAGCAGTAAACTCTGGCCTGTCATGTATCCTGTCCTCACCAACATACTCACGACATTTGCTGTCTCTTCCGGTGTCCCCAGCCTACCCAAGGGAATACCTGCTACTACCTCCGGAACAGCTGCAGCATTGGCAATCATCCCCGTATCCCCAATCATTGCAGGAGCAACATCATTCACGCTGATATTATACTCGGCCAGTCGGGTAGCTAGGTTCCTCATCATCCCAGTTAATCCGGCCTTGGAAGCCGCGTAGTCTGGCAAAAGGAGCGTTAATCCACGGCCAGAATAAGGAAACGAGCATACCCACGACATCCATTGATCCCTCCCCCGTATGCAGCGATTGACGAGATGAACACGATACGACCCCATCGCTCGCTCTTCATGTGCTCGACAACGCCTTTTACGAGGATGAACGAAGCACGAAGGTTGATATTCATCATCTTGTCGAATTCCTCCAGACCAATATCCCAGACTTGAGTAATGCGTTTCCCGTATCCGGCATTCGAGATTAGAATGTCCGGTCGGTGGCCGTGGTAGGCATCGATCTGCTCGAACATCGCTTCGATCTGATCTGGACATCCAACATCGACTTGGTGCGTAGAGATGCGAAGCTGCTGGTCCCCGTATCGGGATCGTAGAGACGCTACGAGCTCGTTCATCGCAGTCTGGTTGGTCGAGTAGGTCAGAGCGAGGCGGACTCCATGTTGTGCCAGCTGCTCAGTACACGCGGCGCCGATTCTTGTATCATTACGCCCTTTAGTCTGTTTTCGCTGCTAAGATAGTGTTAAAGGGATGGTGTTTCGATTCCACATACCCTCTTGATGCACCAGTGACAAGAGCGAGTCGGCCGCGGATTTCGCTGAGAGACATTGCTGTAGGGTGAATATGCAAGAAGAGGATTCCAGTCAAGATCAACGTCTGATATGCAAGGATGAACATCCAAAGAGTCATGAAGTATACTCTTGCTGCCAATATGACCTCCTCGGGAACTGAGGGGTCGATAAGAACCTAACGGACGGAGCTCCTCCCAAACCCTAAGAACAACACTCTATCGTGCTCCTCTCGTGTTAAATCAAGCTTTTGGTCTACTAACGATTCTATTATTAGTAGAAACCACTGGCCATGTTCTCACTTTTATCATAAAATATGCAATAACAATCATTACATGATGGAGACTCTACAGGCTTGATCGCCACTGGGTACCCACTCGCAATGTGGGTGGTGACCTGTTATTGCGCCTAGCATTCGTACATTGTATTTTTCTAATCGCTAGAGAATCTGGACTATCTTTGTGATGAGGTGTCTTGAGGAAGCAAGACGCCAGGACGCGTGCCTGTGATGGCGGACCAGAGCTGGACTCTAGCAAACTGAACAATCATGCTCCCGTGACGAAAGAATCTCGAATGGACCCAGTGATGCCGGCAAATCACACCCAGTTAGAGTATGGCTACAATTATCATACACCATCTAAATCTCATGTTAGTTGCCGCAATATTCCAGACCAAATTCAAATCAGCCACAACTGAGCACGTATTTTCAGCATAAAACGCAAATATCTCTCTATGAAACAGTCTATTACCAGAAGGGTATCAACGCATTTATTCTGTCAACACTCGCAGCAACATGCGATAGTGACTATAAACAGATAGAACTGGCAATGGACAAGGATTCAAAGAAGCAAAATATAAGTCTAGAATATAAGTCTAGAGATCTATATAAAGACAGAAATGATTGACTAGCCTAGACATGAAGGTCTGTCAAGCTGGGACATCCCAGGGAGGACTGCATCACGCTTCAGCCTGCACAGCCTTCTTGTACTCAGGGCTAAACTCCCAATCGTTATATCCCTTCGGGTCTTTGGGAACATATAGCACACTCCTATCGTGGGGCATAAGAGCCACATTCTCCTTAATTCGGAACGGCAAGTCTGGGTTTGAGGTAAACGGCCGACCAAACGCAACGATCACGTTGTGGTCCTTGTACTTGTCATCAACTGCCTCCCTCGCCAACCCAGGCTGGTATCCACCAGCGACCACCACAGGCCCAGCACCCTGATACGCATTCAGGAAAAAGTGCAACTCGTCGGTGGTCTCGACGATGTCGAAGCCATCAGCACGACCCTCAACCAGGTGCACATACGCCAGCTTTAATAGAGCTAGCTCGCGCGCCAGATAGGCAAATTGTGGCTGCGGATCCTTCATCTTCATACCCTGGAAGGTATTATAAGGGCTAAAGCGGATAGCCGTACGGTCCGAGCCAACAGCATTCGCGACGGCGCGGGTCACCTCGAGAGCGAAGCGGGCACGGTTCTCGACGCTGCCGCCCCACTGATCAGTTCGCTTGTTGGTGACGTCTTGGATAAACTGATCAATTAGGTAGCCGTTAGCGCCGTGGATCTCAACGCCGTCGAAGCCCGCTGCGATGGCATTGCGCGCGGCCTGCACGAAGTGCTGGATGTATGACTGGATCTCGTCCTCAGTTAAGGGCCTTGGGGCTGGCGCCTCTGCAGTGGCAGGAACATCACTGGCAGAGACAAGGTCGAATCCGGAAACCTTCAGCATGTCTGCGCTTGCCACGCGGCCCAATGCCCACAGCTGCATGTAGATGTAGGAGCCTTTCGCGTGTACGGCATCAGCGACTTCCTTCCAAGCTGCAATCTGGGCATCGTTCCAGATACCGGGCACATTCGGATAACCACCCGCTTGAGGGGTGATGATGGTTCCTTCGGTGATGAGGAGGGTTCCTGGCACGGAAGCGCGCTGGGCGTAATGCTCCTTGACTAGGGGAAGAGGGACATGGGCATCATCAACGCGAAAGCGGGTCATGGGAGCCATTGCTATGCGGTGGGAGAGCTCCATGCGCCCAACACGCAAAGGGGTGAAAAGCTTGGTCATGATGGGGGAAGTAATATTCGAAAGTATTGCTGTCTGGTGATGGGCTAGAGCTACCAAACCCTTAATAAAATGACGAACTGAAGTAAGACTTAAATGAGAAATGCTGTTGACGAAACTCAAGTTAGCACTACAATTGTTATATGGTTCATATTGTCTTGGGCCACCGAGCCCCGAGAGGATGATTTCTAATGGGACAATTTGTCATCTTCTAGACCCAGTCTGACGGAGCCTCTTTCCATGGCCGAGGCCAGTTAAAAAATTAGTTTGCATAGTTAAGACTGTGATTGCTCTGACAAATATGAGGACTGCAACTATGTAAGGAACCCAGATGTCGGATGACAGCATAATTGAATTTCTTTAAGCAGGATCTTAAATCAGAAACAGTCACACTGATTGGCTGGAAATAAGGGATCTCCGCAATCACACACGTTCACCAAATTGTGGTATTTTTCGAGCAGATAAAGGCGACATCGACACAGATTTGGTCGATGCATATGTTAAGATAATTATGCTGGGGTGAGTGTACGAAAAGGACCACCACATTACTTTATCTGTGACCCATGTGTTTCACATGAGTAGCTGCAGCACAAGCAGTGCTACGGAGGTACTATTACTATGCCACTTATCCATGTCCCTAGGGGGGGAGGGGGTTTCAGGGGATCACTAATTTAAAATGAAAAATTCAACTGTCCATTTAATAATTAGTGAACATCCCGAGTGGAGTCATCGTGCAATAGGTCTAGCGTGGGAATTATGCAGACATAAGGTCCACACAGCTGACACATTCGACCCAGTCCCGCATTAGATTTATTGATTAATTGAACGTCCGCCTTGGCGTGAGTATTATTAAGATCTACCTAGAGACCGCTTGTATTCCACCTCTTTCAATCCTTGTTTGTCAGCATTTTCCTCCATTAGACACCATGCGAACTTGCACCAAATGCAACTCTATCCTGCTCTCAGTACTGCATATGAATAGTGAAGCACGCCTGATTCCCACTTCTTCCGCTGCCGATGATATAAGTGAGAGCTCTGGAAGCATACAGTTCTTCCAAAGTCGTGCTTTGATGAAAGTTTAATTGATTGTCCCTGGACAGATAAGCGGATTTAAGCACCGTGCTTGTGCTTGCCCGTGCGCTGTTCTGCTTAGTTTAGAACCTGCAGCTCTCTCTCAGCAAGCCTCGAGCCACAAGGGCAGAAATGACGTTTTGAAGCTCGCGGTAAAAAGACACACTCCAAGGTCAAATCCAAATCCTCAACCAGGAGATGTCACGATTATTGAAGCTCATGGTAGTGGATTTTCAAAGGTTGGTCATAGTCCTCAGATCGGTAACGGGCTGCTTGCCATATAAAATGATTGGAGAAAGAAGCACATATTTCTGATCTATTTCAACAATAGGAACTTTACGAGCCAATCTGGGAAGAGATGCTTTTCAGACTAAGTACCCAGGGTATTCGGATTCGCTCGATCTGGATTGCAGATACTGCGAACCAATCGGCAAGTGGTATGTTAAATGAAGAGTATCTAGAGAATGACCGTGAGTTGGTTTTATATCCATCCCCGATTGAAACGGTCTCCGTTGATTGACCTCTGGTAGCGTCATGGTTTGACCATGCTCGAGATCTCCTCCATATGGTTAATACATTCAAGGCTGAGATGCCGAGGCCGATTGTCGGAATCGGGCACAGCCTCGGGGCTGGACAACTATACGTCATCTGCAAAATAATGATGGTCAATTCAGGGTAGATGATAATGGACCATCGTTGCAGAGTCCTCTACTGCATCCGCGTCTTTTCACTTCCCTAGTCCTTATGGACCATTTGACACGCCGCACAGGGGCAATATTCGTCAACGAGGCTCTGAAGCAGCCAAGTATTTCAAAAAATCCTTTCATAAATGGGATTCAAGGGTACTCAAACACTGGCTAGAGCATAGCCTCAGGGATGTATAAATTGAGATATAGCTAATATACCAGGGGCCCACTGGTCCAGGAACCACAAGTCTATAACCTAAAAGTAGTACTAGTGAATGAATGGCAGTATTAGACTAAAGATCAGCAGTGGTGATTAAATATTAAGTCTGTTAGTGCTTACCCTAAGCTTAATTAGAGATAGGGGAATGTTAGTGCTCCTCTACTATCTATTTATTAATTAAGAAGGGTCCAGCTTAGACTAGATTACCCTGATAATGCAGCTTAGTATTAGCTCCTAACAGTGTTCTCACTTTTATTATAAACTATATAATAATAATCATTATATAATAGAGACTCTATAGGCTTAATTACTGCCAGGTACCTACCTGCAATGTGGGTAGTGACCTATTATTATACCTAGCATTTGTATATTTTATCCTTCTAATCACTAGAGAATCTTTGTTATCTTTTTTCTTTTGTTTTGATTATCTGTCCATTGGAAGGGAACTTATACATAGTGACCTTAATGATTAGGTAGTATAAAAACTTATACAGCATTGCCCTTCCATGATTATAACTAAATAGATATGGAAAGCTATCTCTAGGATGTTCACTGCTGTGATCCTCTATACTGAAGGAGAGAGGGGAGCTTAGGAAATAAGATGTAAAGACAGCAAGATAGTCGGGAATAAAGTATATACCGTATAATACTTAGAGATATATTATTCGCTCAAGTGAGTATATATATTAGACAGCTATAATAATGACTAAGAAAAGGATTAGGATTATCCCTTCCCCTACCTTCACACCCTTTAGTTCTAGTTCCCTTCCTTAAATTATTAGAGTTAACTTCATGTAGCAGGGCCATTAATATAATATACTGTTAGCATACTGTATATGAAGCCTAATACCATGAAGCTCTATAATCTTTTTATATTTTACAAAAAAAGCTGATTCAGCTATCTATTGTCCACCTGATCCAAAGGACTGAATCCCATACGGTGACACTAGACTTAAATCGCGAAACAATCACCAGCACTGGAGGGACCATGTTGCGGTGGGCGCCAACTTGGACTCCTTATCTCACCCAGTTATTGGAAGACGGAATCTTAGCTATCTTCTTGCTCATAAGATGAAATACAATGCATCTGACTGCAGCCAGACTTAAATAGTGCACGTTGCATGCAGAGGTATACTTGGAATGCTGACGACGAAGGTATTACGGTTGTTGAATGTATAAGTGCCATTTCTTAAATGCCTTAATTCGCGTCACCAGGCTGAACAAACACCAGTGTGGCGCTCCCACATACATGCGAGACAGCAGTTCATAGATCTGCAAATCCTACAAGGAAGGCATGTGGTTTAGTAGGGAGACTAGAACCTGCGGATATGGCTGGCTATGGTAGCCCTGTTGGTAGACATTCCTTTGCTTATGGTCTCGACGGTGGCAAAATGGCTGCGTATACAGTACCCTGCTAACGCCTTGTCATAGAATTATGACCACTCGCAAAACAACCAACAACGCTGTAGAGGTTCCTGGTGAAGATTTATCGTTTGAAACTGGTTAATTTGACCGATCATAAAAGTTCGCGCGCCATATTACCCATGTTAGGTGATATCCCCTGCCATGTAAGGGGAGGCACCCTCAGATGGATAATTGATCTGGACTATTATACACCATATTCTAGGTCGGATCGTGGCACGCTACCAGATGTTTACAGACGTTATGGTGTATTATGGTGTACACTCGATGTATATGAGTTTTATACGGAGTGCCGGATCCAGCAGAAGGGCGAGGTAGACGACAGGTACAAGGAGGTTCAGGATACCGACTTGCTTCGTTTCGCCGTCGTTTCGGCCAATCCCAGGAATCAGGTTGCGCGGACAGGACTTTCGCAGCAGAGGGAGCCGTACGAAGCATGCCTTGGCAGAGAAAGGAGACGTCGGCTTGGACATGAAGGATACAGAGATCAGCACTGATCGACAGGCCCACTATTTACAATGTTTCTACCAGTCCTCATGATGGAAACTTTCGGAGATCGCAGCAATCAGAACGTACTACATTCCCAAGAACTCAAGGAGCTTAATTTAAACATACCAGTGGGGATGTGCTAAACTGGAATCAAAGGCACGAATGCAGGGCGCTGCGTAAGAATCCAGAGGCCGGCTGACTTAGGTCAATAAGAGTTAGGGATATGATGTAGTAGAACAGGGCGCGGGGGAAAGTAGGCAGATATAGATTCACCTTACATTTGATGGAAGCCAATTCCGATATATGGAAATCTTGGTTCAGAAAGGCGTTTGTGAAGTGCATGATTTGCTGTTAATAGGCCTTGTCTAATCTCCAACAAAGGCCGGCACTGGGGAGGAAAGAGTAAGTCCCATCCTATATCCCCCTTACCAGACACCAGGCTTCACAAGCACGCCCAAAGAAAGGAAAGAATACTTACGGAGCCTTCACGAACGGAGTTTCCTTGCTTAACTGGACTGGTCAGTTTGGAAAACGCGATGTGGGAAGCTAGGGGCACAGGGGTGTTAACATTCTTGAACTCCCACTGTAGGTAAGTCATTTCCTTGTTGATAGTTAGCAACAAACCTGCTCACTCAGCTCTTTCTTTCAAATCAGGTTAGCAGAAATCTTTGAGAAACTCACAGCCGACTCCATAAATACCCCCGGACATCCCACAGGATGAATATAGCCTCCTTGAGCTCTACAGGTGCTACCGAAATCCACTTCTGGGTTTTGCATTATCACGTCTACTCCACCACACCACCCCTCGTCATTACATCTTGCTCTCTAACTTCAAGAAAGTTCAGTGGCTCATAGTCTCGTGTGCCTTAGGGGTATTCTCGCTTCAGAGAGTCGGCGATTTCACTTGCCCCGAGACAGATATCCAACAAACCCATTGCGCGGGACCAAAAGATTGTCTCTACCCGAACCCCGATGACTGTCACTCGTACATTCGCTGTGAGGTTAACGAAGACGGCATGACTGGGAGACCTACTGTGTACCAATGTCCTACTGGCTTCGAGTGGAACCGTAATACCGCTGAGTGTGACTGGCCTGGTCAACCTGGGACATGCTCGGAAGAGATGAGTTCGAGATAGAGCCGGATGCAGTACCGCAACCCACTGGTCAAGTTGACAACTCGTTTGATTGTGAGGCTGCTGCACAATCCCAGGGTTGCATGGACCACGAAACAAGAGGGCCAATCTGTGTTTTTCCCGACCCTAATTCGACCAAATCTTATATCGAATGCACGAACGGCGTCGCTTATATTGTGCAATGTGAGGGGAATAGTGTTTATTAAGGCGCGATCAAGGCTTGCAAATGAGTCGAGACCATCGAAACTTCGAAGCTTACTGCTGTGAGAGGTTCACAGGCTTATGGTGCGAGGTATTGGATTTGGTCTATGTGATTCTGACTTCTGTGTGCGCTAAAAACAAATGCCAAACCGACTGCTCAATGGATGTCTGTTCGAACATTGCGCCCTTAGCTCGTCCGTACTTTAATATTCCGCAAATGGTGTATTGCTCGAGTTCAGCTAAAACTAGCTTTAACACCTATTTAACCTTGAATCAGTGTAGCAGAGGATATTTAGGCTATTAGCAGTAATACAGGTAGCCTCAGGCATGTTGTTGAGTGGAACCCTATTCACCAGCTTTGTGTTATTAATTGATAACTGATTAACAAAACTTCAAGCATTACAGCCATACACCAAGGTTTCGCATGCCCGTCTTAGGTAAGTCGCTCAACCATGTAGAAGCTGCGTCGGATACACCGTACACAGCACTTCCTAGAACTAGGTACATTATGTGGAATTAATTCTCCCCAACAGTCACCTCGGGAAAATCCATACTGGACATATCCAATAAGTCAACTTTCTTCCCCTTCAAAACAAAGTCAAAGAATCTGCTAGTGTAAGTAGCAATAACCTGAAGGGCTCTTACCCCTTCCATACTCCCCAATAATGCGGCCGTCTGCGTCGGAAATTCCTCTCTCAGACCAATTATATCAGCAGCCTGCGCCAAATCTGTGAATGTACCATGTTTACTCCCATTCAGCATAAATCGTCTCCTGATACCCCTCAACTTTGGCCACAGGGCGCCCCAAGTCACATCAGTTGTCAAGTTCTTCCCTTCATGCGCCATTATCATGAAGGGCTTATCCAATCCCCGGTTGATAACAGAGCCGAAAAATGTACCATCCAGGTTGATACCCCCCTTGAGACGGGAATCAGAAAGCATAGCCTCAGCTGCGGTGGCGCCGCCAAGAGAGTGACCATAGATTCCCACTTTAGAGGTGTCTAATCCACATGTTCGGCCTAGGATGAGCTTCGCGATGATGGATGGACGGTGGAGCTGGTCAAGGACAAAGGATACATCTCTCACGCGGATGTTCAGGTCATCCACAATTTGAGTATCTGTTGTAATGTTTGCAGCGAGGATTGTGGTATTTTTAGGGAATGTTACGATGCCTGCGTCATATGGATGGTCGATGGTTACAACGATGTAACCAGTGCTGGACAGTCTGTTAGGAAGTGAAAGTTAGCCAGACTGATAGATTTGAAGCTCTAGATTAGCAGGTATACATACTGCTGCGCCATAGCACTGTACAAGAGTCGAGTATTTCCCAGGCCAGGTGAGAAGAGAACGAGCGGATATTTTGGGCCCTTGACCCGGCTCGAAGTTGATTTCGTACATGGCTTGCAGGTTTGAAGGTTAAGTGAACCGAAGGCACCTGCTGGGATGCCAGCTTGTGCATACTGTTCATCCTCGAAGGTTGCGGTTATGGGGTCCATGTAGGACGTCAGGGATGGGCAACATGCTGCGGGAGGGACAGGATGAAAGAGAGAGATCATCAGAGTACGCGGCTGCGGTGTTGGGGCGTAGGGATCCAAACGATGATGATCAATGAGCTGGGTTGTTGCGATGCTGGTGTTGTATGGGCCTACTGTGCTGGGGAAGGACACCGCGTTGCTGCTCAGGAGAAGCTGGGAATAAAAAAGAGCAGCGAGCATAAGATGTTTTGCAGAGAGGTTGAACATCATAGCGAGTAGTTAAGGGACAAAAGGGAAGAATTGTGTGTAGGTAAAAAAAGATGAGAATTATCTTGCTGCAGAGAAAACAGGAGGAAGCTCTTCATCTTATATAGGATTCTGGAGTCAATCCCGCAGGCTATGTGGCGTACATCTGGTCCGGTGACTCGGCTCATCTTGACGTTCATACTACCTAACAAGGCAATGATCCAGCGCGTTTGTGGATTCTTTCTGCGGATGTGTGATATGCTCGGCTCTATCTCAGCTTTTGGCTGATGCCTGTGCCAAGAAACTGCGTTCAAATGCTGCCTATTCGGGAAAGGCGGATATAGTTTTGTACGTATATGTCTTGGCATGGGAAGGCTCAAACCTTCCGCTCTGTACAAGTTGGGAGGGGTAACACTTCCTGCACGGAATGCCCGTGAAAGTCTCGGACTGTTACTGTGAGAAATGGCAGTCCTGGGACCACTCGATCGGCGCATTGCCCGTACCAGGTGCGCTGCCTGTGCACGACGCAAAATCAAGGTCAGCAATTCCTCATAGAATCTGTCACCGAAAACTGTTCATTCCCTTTCCTCCGGCTCTATTCTAACCCTCTGCAGTGCGAAGGTGGTCCTCCCTGTCAGTATTGTATAAAAAGAAACCAGCAATGCGTCCCCCAAGCAATTCAGCCAAAGACTAGCGTTGTCTTTGTCAACGTCTCTTCGACATCCAAAAGGTCCGACTGTCTCTCGCCCGCCACTCATCTTCCCCCACTTAGGCTCTGCCCCAAAGTTTCGGAAGAAAGTTCAGCTCTATTTATAAAGCATTTCTTCTCAGACTTTCTGGCAAGAAATGACTTTGGTGTCCCCTTGGACCTCGGCAATATCGTGTCGGAATTCCAGAGGTCTCCCAGCATGTATCACGCATCCATCGCCCTAGGTGCACTTGATCTGAGCAGGAAGACGCTATCAACCCTACCTCTGGAGAGGAGAGATGCGACTGTTGGAGCATTAACTGCCTACCACACGTCGATCGCCCAATTGAAAACCGAAATTCTAAGCAACAGCGTGCCACGAGACGTCAGTTTATGGACTACGTTTTACTTGGGGCTGTTCGAAGTAGGTCAACAGTACCTTGGGCGGAACGTATATCGGAAGCTTGAGGTTAACCCTTTCAATTAGCTGATGCATGATATGACTGGAGAAGGTTGGGTGAAGCATTTTCTGTACGGCACGTCCAATATGCTTCAGCTTCGTGGTCCAGAAGCCCATATATCTGGCTCTGGGCGGTCATTTTTCCTCACAGTGCGAGTCTTTGAGATTTGCCGCGCTCTCATATACCCTGAACCTACCTTTCTCTGCCGGCCGGAATGGATGTCACTCACAACTAATATCTGGAACGAGGATCTCAACAACGACTGGCACCCCAAGGAATCATTGTTTGATCTGATGATCACCTGTTCTTCGATAAGTCACCGGCAAGTACACTCGCAGGCCCTCTACATGTTATTGTATGATTGACCAAGCTCAGGGTCTGGGGTCTGCTCAAACCGGGCTCCAATTATCCGAGCATGCTCCTTCACGAGGCCCTTCTTGAGGTTGCCGCTGAAGGCTTCGTTGTTCGGTCAGCTCTTGGTGATTGGTATGCGACCTTCCAAAAGTGGTCGGCCGATACTGGTACGCCCGCACATAATCCCCAGTCCGTTCTCGCAACAATATATTTTCACAGCATCTCCATCTACCTGTCTGGAATCTTCGACTACCGCGCTCAATTCAACGACATACCCGCACCCACAATCTCACAAGTCGTTGTGCAGAAACACGTCGATGCGATTCTACGGATGACTGAGATCTGTTTGAAGACCACAAATTTGGCGGCTGTGCTGTTTTTCTTCCCATTGAGAGTAGCAGGCGCAAGAGTAACAGCCGCTTCAGAGACAGAGTCAATTCATGCGATGTTTCGAGACATTTCGACAAGGGGTTTCGTCGTTGCAGATGCATTCATGGCAGATCTGAAGTCTCTATGGCGCCGAAAAGGAATATAATACTCATACTGTGGTTTTAGCCTGTGCTTCTTGTTTTACTTTTATCTTCAAGATATTCAAACCTTAACAACTTATCATGTTTTAAAGACCGTCCGGCATTAAGCTGATGGTCTCCGCTAGTGTTAGCAACCATATAGCCATCTCCTGCACAGATACTAGGTGCCCACATTTGGTGGTTACTTGAGGTTATGACTAGCTAGTATTAATAAGATATAGTAAATGACTATTAGTTATTTGTTAGGCTAAGACTAGATCAGGGCTAAAAAGAATTATAATAATATTATATCTTTATAAAACTAGTCTCCTGCTGGAAGGAAACAGCCGTCCCGTCAAGCGATGGCGTCAAGCCGAACACCCTCAGTTACAGATGCCCCCATTTACAAAAGGCTATTCAATGTGGAGAACCTAGCAAGGACATCGATAAACCAGAACCCCGAGGTCCTGACTTCCGCACCCAATGCCTATGAGATCGATTCCCTAGTATTCTAATGACATTTTATAAAGTTATTTCAAATGAAACTAGGTGGTCTATTGACTAAAGCCTTCTCGTTTCCGGTTTCCATTGCATACCACTGTCTCTTATTCTATCCCAAAGTTCTCATACCTTAGGTATACGCTCTATACTTCTGAGCTACAGCTTGCTGACTATTATATTAGTCTCAAAGTCCTCCAAAATGAAGATCTATACTACTTTGGTCATGGTTCAGGCCTGTCTTACCGCGACTGCCCTGGGCCAGCTCCGCTGCTATACGGACGCGGATTGCCCGGATATGCGGAGGTTGTGATTATCCTTTGTGTTTTTGTGCTGCTCTTTAGCTGATAGATGAATAACTAGTGCTGAGGAATTGTGCCCACCCACAAGGACTGTCTGCCTAAGGGGTCCATTTGCTGAGGCGCGGTGGAGCGTACTTGTGAGTTGTTTGGGGTTGTCTGAGGCTTGCATAGGTAGGGGTCGATGTATCCCAGTTGAGATTAGGAAAGACATACTCTTGAATGACTGTCAGCCTTGTTATATGTTTACTCAGACTGTTGAGTTGCATACAGGTAGGCTGCACAAATCGCTGGGCAGCATAGCATTCATGTCACTTCTCTAGGTAATTTCAACCTCTCTAGATGATTCCTAACTAAGAGAAAAATATGAAATACGACCGCAGGGTGTGGAGAACAGGGCTTCACAATGTTAATATTGTACAAATGCCGAGGTGTTGAGCTTAGTAAGTTATATATAATAAGTTAGTGGACATACATTGATACCCCTAAGCTGACTCAATATGACCTTACCTTTAACTATGGTACAGCACTAATTCAGGCGGTAATTTACACTCCCAGTATTAAATACAAACCTAAACTAGTTGTCTTGGAATTGCCTTGGACTACCTAATGTACCTGAGAGTCTAGCCAGTTATAATCCTAAAGTCCCCCAGTTTATTTTCCCTTCACTCACCCACCTTATCACTCCTCCTCACCCATCAACCGTATACTTTTCACACTAATATAAATCATGTACCTCGGACTTGCTCGAGACCAGGTCCAGGCAGACAGGCACCGCTTTTCCCGCCGACTACTTGCTGACGTCCGCGAACGGCGTCAAGACACATGGGGTTGGGTAGTCTACCGCACGACCTACAAATCCGACGCCGCCTTCTCCAGGGCAATCGACGTCCTCAACTCCTGGATCAAGGCAGAAGTCTACCAAGACGCAGACCCGCGCTCCTCCGGCGTCCAAAATCCAGATCCCACGCCTAACAACGAGCTATGGGCGTGCCACCGCCTGACCATCATGGATGACCCGGCAACTCTCGACGGCGCATCCATCGAGGATGTGCGTTCGCATTTCGAGTCGTGGGTAGAAGGCCAGGGGCAGCGCGATCGGTGGAACAAGTATCGCGTGTGCATGGTGCTCGATGACGAGATCCTGTCGCTGCTTGCTCAGGTGCCGACTGCGGAGGAGCATGCGGAGAGGCATGGGCGGTGTGGGGAGGAGATCAACAAGTGGTACGTTAAGGTTGTGGAGGCGTTTCCGGATCCGGATGAGGGGGAAGAGGTGGAGGGGTGGCAGGGGTGGATGTATTGTTCGGTTTTTACACTGGTGAGGCTGTGGGATACGATGGGGGATGGGGTGTTCATGGTGCATTTCTTTTGTGATAATGAGGAGGGGGTTTTTTCGTCGTGAATCATGAGTTTGGTTCTTGCCTTTCCACTTTGATTGTGCTAGTGTGGTGTATATATATGTCTTATGATGAGCTGTTCTTAAGGGATATGCGGTATGGTATTGACTTACTATACTTATTATGTGCTTGTCAACTGCGAAATGAGTTCTCAAGCCAGTGCACTGAGATTTATATGTGTTAATGTGACAATATATAGGAGCTGATGCTGAGCCGCGTTATCGGGGTAATCCAGTCTGAGCTGGAACCTTCTCAGTCAATAAAATAGATAGTGGAGAAGCACTAACATTCCCCCCGTCTCTGATTAAGCTTAGGGTAAGCACTAACGGACTCACTGTTCAACCTCACTGCTGATCTTCAGTGTAACGCTGTCATTCGTCTACTACTACTTTTAGGTTATGGACTTGTGGTTCCTGGACCAGTGCCCCTGGCATATTGGCCATGTCTCACTTCGTACATCCCTGAGACCGTGCTCTAAGCAGCGGTCGAGTACCCTTGAATCCCATTTATGAAAGGATTTTTTGGAATACTTGGCTGCTTCAGAGCGAGATGGCCATGTATCCTTTCTGTCAAGTGATAAATGGATGAATATTGGCCCCTTTGCGGCGTGGTCTTCTCAAGCACGGGCCGTGTTCATATGCGTTGTTATGACTGCTCTCAGCTGCATAAATGGGGTGCAAGCATGCATTGTGTGGGGGGCTGCTAATCGGATTCAAGCCATTGCCCGGGAGCTCTTGCTGCGATAAGTGATTTGGCAACTGCGAAATCCTTGTCAGTCCATTTAATCAAAAGTACCTAATATTTAAGGCACTAATACAGGATTTAATGGCAAGGATAGAGTTATAGCCACTGCATTTCTGCTTGTCGCATATCTTACTTGCCGTACTGAAACTCTTGAGTTTACAGTCCATCTTATCAGAACTTAGAGACCGTTAACTGTTCTAAAAATGAATACGCCGCGCAGAATATGTTATATTCCCTTCGTACCTCTTGACATTTCCGGACTATATTGGTCCGTACGCTTCAAGTGTCTAGTTACGTGCCATAGGTCTCCTGCTGAGCCGGCTTCAGCAGCGGAGATTGTTAGCGTCCAGGGGAAGATCGAGGTGCAGCACAGCGTTAAAACTGGTTTAAAGCCAGTTTAAAGAAAAGGAAAAGAGGAAAAAAAATAAAGACTAAAAACATACAACAGCCGGGATTCGCTGGTGGTCACCCACCCAACTACTAACCGGCCGGCGTGTGGCTTAAGTACGGCTGAGCGGACGGGAAGCCCTGTTTTCCACACCCTATGGTCGTATGTACCAGATCTATCAGAAGAGCTGAATATATAGTGTCCTATCAAAGATCATTTGCCAGTATTAACATCATCCGGATGATGATTGATGGGAGAGTATCATCTATTGCTTGTGAACTTAAGGTTGAATGAACTTGATAGATGCACATAATATGATGGAAATAGGCTTTGATTGTACAGTTGTACTTACATCGTAGACAGACCGTAGAATCTCTAATTCTCCCAGCCTCGGGTATATGCTCATATCTCAATGACATATATAATGGGTTCTATCCAAACACATTCATAGCTTAAGTAGGATTATAGAAAGGGGTTAGAACCCTTTAATACTAATGAGACACGTACGGGGCGGCCACTGGCCTACCCCCTATCCTTGCATGACTTGAAGGCTCTACGCCCATTGCGATGAATGTTATCCCAATAATTAGAAATTAGAGCAAGACATATCAAGTAACTTTTCATCCTTAAGCATGAACTCTTATGATTATAATATTATTTCTTCTGTAATGGAGAGATTAGATCTCTATAAATACAGAATTTTATTACCTAATAAGAGAGACTATAACCATAAAGCAGAAGCTAGGCTGCCTAGAGACCTTCTCGATTCCTCTTGATATGGAAACTAGTAGCATCTATACAGTTTATTAGATGTGGAATAATATATTAGTTAGGGATGGTGGCTTTCTAGTAGAGTCTATCTAATCATATAATAGGTGACTCTACTGATAGATGCAGTTGTATACTACCTGCGTTGATATTAAGTTTATTCTAATAATACTAGCTTTATTAACCTCAGAGAGGAATCTGCAGCCAAGCATATTACTAGAATGATCTGGATTACTGTCACCTTATAGAATATCCCTTGGCTGGGAGTCTTTATATGGCCATGGATTACTCCTAATGGTTCCTATTTTAACCTCATAATTAACTAAGGACTCTGCTCCCTCATTACCTCATATAATGATAATAATATGTACAAGATCCTTAAAGTTATCAAAAGCCATACCATGGTCTCGCTAGTGCGTGCGAGTTATATGTCAAGCACAATCTGTAGGACGTCCCAACTGACAATATTGACAGCTTCCACCGCAGTCGCCACGCCTACGGAACAGGAGCGACTTTCAAGTTCCTGGAATGCCTTGCCGTGGAAGAATACTGAACTTTGCTTCTGTCCCCTAGGAGAGGTCCTCGGCAACTATGTAGCTGAATTAAGTTCGTGCGTATCGTTAGAAAATCTGACATAGACTGAGATCGCTTTAATCTGACGCTATCTCAAGCGGGCTTTCACGAACGCCTGTTAATGATATCTTCGACAAGATAGATACCTGGCACCAAACCTCGCAGAAAATGTATATACATTACCAAAACTTCGTCGCAAAGCAGTGTCTAACACACGGCCTCAAGAGCAAGCCGTCGGCGTCTCGCTCACAGCCTGCAACTCAAATATCCGAAATGCATGCTCCTGGGCCAGACCAAATGAATTATGCACAGTCCGACTCAGGTCTACTTGCAATACATAATCCTCTGCAACCTTGAACAAAATCCTCATCGGGCCCGGATGTTCCTCAGCATGGACCAGCGCTTCCGCAATGCGCTCCTCAGTCGTCAGCCACAGTTCTCCATGCATATACCGCGAAATATAGAGCGCAAAGGTCACATAAAGGGTGTATCCGGTCCACATGCATTGAAAGGGGGGGGCATGCATAGAGTGGAAACGACGAGCCTAACGGGAAGTTAACGCCAAAGACGATGACCACGGCGATCTGGACGAGTTCATTCCAGCGCTGACGCTTCAGATGCTCATAGTGGCGGAAGAATGGGCGGATAATGTGGATTGGTCCCGAGATTATTTGGAGGTGCTGCCCGTTTTCGAGGTAGAAGCTGGCTCTAGGAAGATCTTCCTCGTCTTCCTCTGCGAGCTTCTCAGGAGTGAAGCGTTGCAGGGGAACGGCGAAGCATGCTGCGAGGAGTTTCAGAACCAGGGGCATCAGCTAGAGAACCATCCACACGGATTTCCAGACGGTCGCCACGATGATGGAGACCGGCCTCTGTCCCGATATAACCGATGAGTGCGCTCGCGGCGCTGAGGGCATTAGTGAGGTTGTTGTCGTCCACGTCAGGCATTTTGGGCGCCTTTTTCTCCAAGACAGACTCTGTCAGATCTGTGATCGTATTTAAGACGTATTAGCTGAGTGGTATCATGCTACTCTGCTCATGGTTAGACCTCTAGTCTGGTGTCCTCTCAGCCTCTGACACGAGACTCAACTTGGCTTTGCAGCCCGATGGATCTGCCCTCAACCATCTAGCGCTATCTAGTGATAGTAAATCTATTCGGGAAATCCTGGAAATCATTAATGTTTACCTAAGATAGTATAGATTGGCTAACCTAATCTAATAAACTACAAAAACCATAACGAATAGTTTTAACTAAATCTGAATTAGTTCTACCTAGGGAAACTAAAACTAGTGTAGTTCCCTAGGCTAGGCACTGAATTCAAACCACTGTGGGTTTAGCAAGGGTTTGATATGATCTTAGTAGCTTGGTTATGCAACTCAAAACCCAACCCATGGCAGGTTCAGGCTAGGTTAGGTTTAGGTTTTAGGTTGGGTTTAAGCAGTCTAAGGTTGATTAACCTAATCAATAGACCCATTAAAACTATAACCCAAAGTTTAACCAAACAGTCATCAATTTCAAGGCCATAGGGGTAGGCAAACTGAAGCTGATGCGGCTCCCTAGGCTACGCACTAAACCTGCACCTCTGCGAGTTTGGTGAGGGTTGGATTCGATTTTAGCGGTTCGGTTATGCAACTCTACTTGGGTGAGGGGTCGGGGTACTGGAGACGTTGTGGCCTCGAAAAGAGATGGATATTAAGGTAATTAATATAGTCTGTACGGATGCAAAGGCTGGCCGCCCCCAGAGAAAAGAGACAAGAATATAAGCATGATGTGCCATGCGCGTAGTATATGTGTAAGAATAGTAAATAATGAGTACCTCTCAACAAGAGAAACAGACTAAATCAGCATTACATAATGTAAGGATTGGCAGAGGGTTTGGTACACAGCAATGGATCGCGGGCTGGTCGTGCAGGGTAGTTTACTCCACTCGTTCCTCATTTCAGGATAAAACTTAATTGTACCTACATATGCCGCCGGAAATGCGAGGCCCTTGCATTACTCTAAACTGTTCTCGATTGGCTGCAGAAGGTCAAGAGCGATCTTAAGCCCGGAAAAACCCAGCCAGCACATGTTGTGCAGTCTTCAATGGCTATAGATATACTGGGCTCATGTTCCCGCAACTGAAAGGTAAAAACCATTCCGCTGATGTTCGTCCATTGTGCCCCTAGTAGCCGGGAACGACTGACCAAGTCTCCCCAGTAAATAGAAGTCCTCCATCCAACCTTAGCTGTTCCGGGTCAAGATATACTCTCATTCCAATGTTATCCCCATGTAATTCAAACACGCGTAGAATCATGTATACCTCTGAATGGTCGCTCCTGTTGTGCACGGCCTGCATCTGGGTTTGGTTAGCGGGTATATGTTACCAATGGTTGTCAACGCGCTCACTCTTTCATATTGATGCTTGCTCATGTAGAAAGGTGTTCTCAAAGGCCCTGTAGTCGTCTTGACTTCAATGTAATATTTCGGACGTTTGTCCCACCATTCTTCAGCGTCGAGGTACCCGTGATCAATGAGTAGGGCCGTGAAATCGCCCTCGGTATCGTCATATATAATGTCTGCGGTCTCCCTGCCATACCAAGGTCCCATGTTGGAGTAGTCCGGGTGGATCGTGACATATCTGCGAAGTGTACTCTGCCAATTCAGGTAACTCCAGTCTGTTAGAGCTGGGTCCAGCCGTTTAAGTAATTCGAAAACCTGCGAGAAGGTTGGTCACATGTTAAATCTTTACCCTAAAGAAAATTACGGAAATGCAACGTACATATAGCTCTCCTGCGGCGCCAATCATCTTGTCTCTTTCGAGCTGGCTGTCTGAGCGGAACACATGCCTTATGTCAATGCCATCGAAGGCATCAAATCGATGGAAGATTTCTTCTCCCGATAGTGCTTCATCCAGTTCGCTCATGTTGAACGGTCCACTCGAGGGAAATATGGCTCCTCTCGCAGCCAATACCACCCGATTGAGGAGCGTACAGTACTGCATATTGTCCTCCGATGTATGGTTATGTGGCGAGTACAGCGATGGACGGTTGCGATTGGGGTTGGGCGAATAGTAGGCCATCTGGGTTTGTCGAAAAATTACTTGCTCTGAGGAGTCGTCTGAGAGTCGGCCATTCTGACGGGTACACGGGGTGACAATATCCGTTGAGACTAGTGGAACCTCAGCGGCAGATCGATCCTGACTTCGTGACCGTTGGGATGGTATATAATCATCAATGCTATCATCATCAATGCCGGGGTCTTCGTTCGGCACGTCAATTTCGATAATACCCTGTCGTTCCAAATAAGGTCGGTAGCAGAAGGATCGACACTCAAAATCATGGAAATTATAGCCACTGCATCGCTTTCAACGTTGTCAGGAATTTGTGTGGCCGGATTCCGCATGAGCCAGTCGATCAGGTGCTTAGGTAAAAGGTCACAGAAACAAAGTTCTTGGGCCTTTTTGTCTTTCGGCACATAAACGACGAGACCAGATGGCTCTTCACTGATGTGCAATTTTCCTATCAATTCTTCAACATCCGCCGCTACGCCATCTTGGGAGATTCTCAGAATCGAGGAAACTCCGTCCGTGGCTTCAATCCTGGCCGTCCGAAGTAACTCGTAAAGCCTCGATGGATTCGCATGATACCTCGGGCTATTGAACGTGGCCGCGACTCTGGCACGTAGAAGGGATATGAGCAATCCGACCCAAGCTTATAAATTTATAAAACTCACCGGAGGATTGCATGCGCCTTTCTTTTCAAGTCACGGTGTGGCGCTGAAATTAATTGCGTTGCCTCGCCAGAGAAGGAAGTTAACTCCTTGATGGATGCAGATAAGTAGCGATGTGTGAGATTTGCCCACTCAAAAAAGCCTTTCAGCACGAACTCCGTAGTAGCAGATGCAAGTCTCTTCGTTCCATCTGGGTAAACAACGGGGAACACCGATCTTTGCGACAGTAGACCTGGATCAACATAATCTCCCTCTGTTTGAAGGAGAGCATTGAGAGACCAGATCTTACTTTTTGTCTCGTTGATTGTTGATTCCGAGCTTGTTTCTAGCAGCTCATCATATACCATCTGAAGGGTAAGTGTGTTGACCCCTAAAGTATCAATAAAGAAATCTTTCAGGTCCTCGTAATGGTCATTCAGGGTGACCTTCCCACGTATATTTGTAATACTTGACCACAAACATTCGGAGATTTTGTACCAACCGGGTTCGCCGTTTGTGGTCACGAAGATCAGGCTTTCATCCTCAAATTCGCGCCTAAAAATAGAAGTTTAGTCTTTGATACAGCCCCAACTAAAGAAAAAAGGACGTTGGTACTTGCCGCAAATCATTAGTGACTAAAACTTCCATTTCAGACAAGTACTTGTACATATCGAAGATTTGGTCGAAGTCCACGCAGTGGTTCTGGCTCCGCTCTACCAGTTCCCCTGTCAGATCTGACCATGAGGCATTCGGAATGCTCAATGTGTCCCTGAAGAATCGTGAAAGATGTTCGAATTGACCTTCCTCGACAATTTGCTCGAAGACGTATTTGAGAGAATACTTGGAAATCATATTTGGTGGTGCATCCCATAGGCAGTGCTCAAGGCCGGCCCATGCTGCATCATACGGATCATCCTCTTGGAGTTCAGGAACGTAAATGTAGTCACCGTCTTCAAAAAAAAGCCTCGAGTAGGAGGTTAGTAGACAGTTTTGGAGATTCGCAAGCATTTAACTTACTTGACGGTGTCTCTGGCGACCACTCTGTCCTCGGCAGCAAGGTGCTTTGCGTCAATTGCAATATACAAATCCCATAGTCGCTCATACGAGGTAAGGGTGGATGCATCAGGATTGGCACTCTGTATCCAATACAGCACATCAAGGAGGAATTCCAAGTCGTCGTCCTTCCCGACTGAGAAATCGTTGTGAAGAAAGATCCACTTGGAGTAGAGTTCCTCATCTGAAAGTCCTTCAAGGTATAGAAACGGAAAAGGTTCATCTTCCTCCATAAAACGTTGACAAAGCGCCTGAAGGTCGGATAGAGGCAGATATGTTTCGTCAAGCCGACAGTCATCGGGCAGGTCCATGTTGCAAAGCCTTGTTGCATTCGTGCTTTGAATTTCCTTGATGAGATCAGCACTTTGACGCAGTTCGGGCCTTTGATCCTTCCAGAGGTACTCCAACAAGCCAAGAAGCTTTCCCGGGCGAGAGTCCGCGACATAGGTCCAGCTGTCTGAAAGAGAATCACCATCAGGTGAAACAAGACTCAGTCGTTCCCGAATTCCAAGTGAATTGATTAGCCATTCTCGCCAGGTTGGGTAATTTGAATAAGGCCTTGTTGGAATGTTCTCAAGATATGCTGAATGCATGAGCAATACTTCCATGCCCTGGGAGTACTCCGTCGGCCCTAGGAGGGCCTCTGGCCCATATGGATGGTTGCTTGGCAGATAGATCTCTTCTTCGTGTGGATTATTCATGATTTCATGAACGCAGTAAACACGAACATCGCAAAAATCATCTTCAATTTGACGGCTCCCGTGTGTCAGATAAAGGTAACGCAGATGAGCTCTCGAATCTTCCATGCAAACCTCGCTATACAAGGGACTATAATTCGCCAGTATTGCAGATCGAACTGCGCTAACCGACGGCTCCACAGCTCCCAAGTGTATGAAAAGAGCTCTGCGGTCTTCATTGGCAACCGCTGCTGGATCCAAGATGCGGAAATCCACGGCAGCCGGGATGTCTATTTCACCAGTCTTTGGTAAGTATACGGGGCCGCTGTTAGCAGACACCCATTCACCATTCCGTAGAGGAAGAATAGCAAGATCATTGAGAGTACGCATTTCGTCTTTGTCCTCGTTTTCGATCCTCGACAAAAGTTGTGAAATGCGGGAGTGGAAGTCTGCGCTCGTAACACACGACTTGACTCTAGAGGTAGGACTTTCAAGATCACTTTTCAACATTCTGAGAATTAGGTCAAAAGTCCCCACCCCGAGTCCGTACTCTTTGAGAGTCCCTTCTAGCGCGGCCGGGTAGGCGGTGGATATGAACGGATCCAAGCTTGAGTCGTCCAGCAATGGATTCCCATCGCTATCCATAAAGTCCTCTGGAAGAATCACAAGGGAGCCTATCACACGAAGGCTGTTGCCGTGCCTTGACCTCCAAACCGGGGTCACGCCAATTAAATCCCTGATCAAGCGAGCCAGAGGGGACCAGAAGCTACCCATGTCATCATCTAACGATGGAAGGAAGCTCGGCCATGCGTAGCACAACTCTGAGTCTTCGCAGAATTTCAACACTGCCTTCACAAATGCCGAGGCAATATGAGGTAATAGGCACAGGTTTCTTCTCGAAGTCGTAGAGATATCTTGCCGATTTGCGGTAGTGTCGAAGTCGGATTGTATCAGGAACTGTTCTTCCAGTTAGTACATGTGTACCGGGAGTTGCTATTGCACGGAATGGAAGAAATCTCACTTTGAACCTCGACTCACGGACTGGTAAAAAGGCAAATATCTCCTGTTTCTCAAGCAAAGGTCTTGAATCTACTGTGAGAGGAAACGCCAAGACGACCTCCGCCTCCGAAAATGCCGTATCGGTTTCATGTGTACCCAGGACGTTGCGACTGTCGCTCATCGGAAGCCGGGTGGCAGTGTACCTAGTGACATGGTAGCGTTGTTCAACCGTGGTAAGATTTTCATCTTCATCCACGACAGTAGCCTCGAGGAAGACACTGTGGCCAGGCGCATCGCGAACACGAAAAGTCTTAGATTGCCTCATCCCACCATTGTCATCGCAAAAGAAGATTCCTATCTGCTTGAGGTTCCGCAAGAAAAGTAAACAAGTTTGCTGAAGATCAGCGAGTTGCTGAAAAACGGTTTGGCGAAGGTGCTCAAGTGCTTCCGGCTCTCCTTCTGTGTGGAGATAAAGAGTCATTCGGGTTAAGCGATCAGGAAATTCGTGTTCAGGGTCCTCCCACACTGGTAGAACCATTCCAAGACCAAGATCACCTATGTTATGCTTAAAATGAAAGGAAAAATTCCCCGACTGGATATGAACCTTCCAAGCCGCGATGAAAACGGACTTGAACCCGATGCCTTTCGCCCCAATGTAGCCGTGAGATGCGGCTTTGGTGCTCTCCCCAACAGAGCAGATAGCCGACAGATCTTCAATCGTGAATCCATCCTCATTGCACTCGACAATGATACGATCGGGATAGACCTTAAACAAAATGAAGGGTATCTCGTTGTGTTCCCGTGCGAGCGTAAAGCGATTATCGTCTGCATTTTGCAGAAGTTCGAAGACAAATCGAGCATTGCTGTTATAGAGGTTTTTTGCCAGTCTAAGTAGCTTAAGTTAGCACACAAGACGGAGACTTCGTTGAGCAAGTGACAAACGTCTTGATTGAATGGCCTATTTTCTCGTCCTTCGCACGCAGGCCCTGTTCAATTATGCGTCGCTCCTCAGGAAGCACCTTGCCAATGCGATCCAAGATCGCCGAATCGACATATCCGAACTTCGCAGCAATTTCTTCCACCGCCCTTTTTGCGGTTTCTCTGGTGGACATTCTGAGCTGCTCTGATGTTGCTTCTTGGGTTTAAGCTGGTAGCCGACTTGAATGAGCTGAACTGAAGTGTGCACCCCAGCCCCCGTCCTTGCAGCCAGCACTGGACGGGAGTTGCTTAGGTAGTGGCATTCCAAACCATATTTGTTATTTCTGTCCTACAGCGCTTGGCGACGAATCATTCTATTGAAAAGGTGGTGACTCCAGCTAATCAGAATTATCATGTAAATGCTAGTAATACAAATAGAGAAGGATGAAAGTCTGCCACTTCTAAGTATATCAGCTAGCTAGTGTAAATAGCTGGCAAGAGTGGTTAATTTTGGATGAAAATTAAATCAAAAGTCTAGCTGAATCGGAATGTTGAATTCGATATCAAGTTCCGCGAATTGGTCGAACCAGGCAACTCTCATAGGGACTTGAAACCGATATTCGAAAATGGTCAGACAAATGCGTGCTGATAGTAAGGACGGTTGACAGAAGGTTACAGCTTGGTTAAAAGTCTTATAACACTCACACCCCGCCAACCTTGGCGCCCTTTAGCACAATCCCTTGTAGTGATCCAGTGTTAGAGAGCCCCATGATGGCGGTGCTTACAGCGCAAGGTCGAGCCTGCTTTGAAACAACCCGACGTCTCCTTGCTGAGACGATCAACGAAGGGCTAGCATCAGCGGCAGTGACTGTTTGTCAGGCCACAAAGCAGCAGTGTCTCGTCCTGACTAGCAATTTTGAAAATCGAGCAAATCCTGAGAGCTGGGTTAAGGTGTGCTTATTGCCCGATACGTACCTTGGGCTCAAAGAAGGCAAAGTGATCTCGCTTGTACGACCAGCGAGCCTTCAACCACCAGTAACGATAGGAAGCAATTCAAAGAAGAGGGAGTCGTTGGTCCCTGAAGATATTTTTGACCACATGTGGCCCTAGCTCTCGCGTGATGCTGACCTAGCTCTGCTAAAGGAGATTGGGAGGGAATTGAAAAATTCCAGGAAGAATCAAGATTTGATATCCACTAACCGGCCTGAGGAGATGCTAGTCTAGGGTAAACTAGAAAAATGGCTCGAATACAGTGAACGTAAAGACTTCTGGGCTTTGATTCACCATCTTTGGACTGGGAGAGAGCGTCTCATCCTTAGACACGCAAGTCATCCAGTAGGAAAGTACCCATGAATGAGAGGTCAACACACTGTGTTAACAGTCGTGTCTCGGTTAGTACCACCGGCTTTGCTTTGCGCAAGCATTATTGAGGCCTTACAGTCCTGAAGAATTACCTGGAATGCTTAGTCTATCACTGGCTTTTGTTTCAGTCCCGCACACTCACATGCGTGTCTCAGGTTTGTTTGAAGAAACTCTTAAACCCGCATCTCATAGAGCTTGAAGTTCCAAGCACTAGTCACGACAGGTTGATTGTTCCTTGCCTTGTCCAGTAGCTACCGGCAGTTAAGCAATGTTTTCCTAGCTCTGTTGTTATTAAAACAATTCAACAATGCGCTGACGCACAGGCATCGCTGCGCACATTGACCTTATGCCCCGAGCTGAACTTCACGTATCACATCAAGCTATCACTAGCATCTAACTTCATCTCTGCACTCCGCACCATAACACCATGGACGACAATTGGAGGACCTGTTTTCACAGAATTACTGGAGAGGTTTCTGCCTTCAGACATGTGGGTATTCAGGGAAAGTTGGAGCCATGACTGGGAGTCAGACAGGTTTCAATAAAACAAAGCATTTATCCTGTATCCTTCGAGATGATCTTGAAGTAAGAGCAAGAGCGAATAACGAGAAGTTGATTCTGGCTGCTGCATTGGCGCATCATTCTCCAGATGCCAGCCAGCCATAAGCTTTGCGGATTCCCTTTTCCATTAGTCTCGCAGTGCACGGGATCGTCGACGGAGTTGAGAAGGTTGCCTGCAGAGTACACTGGGAGGCAAAACTGATTGTGTTGAGTACTGACGCTTTCAAACGCAGAAAGCATTCTCATTAGGCCGTACCATGAACGAATCCACTGGCGTATCAGAGATGATGAAGCTATGCCGCTCTCGGAGTCGAGGAGCCTCTTCAGTCCGGCAAGGAGGCTGTGGGCAGTTTCTTTCGCTACATTGCACTTCAGCAGTGAACCACTAATTCCAAGCTGTGGTCCTGACATGGTGTATCAGCCGTGACGCCGGCATTTTGAAGTCGGTCGAATTCGCGATGCATGTTGGTGATCAGCTTGTACCAATTCCTCGTTGAAGTGTTACGTTTTGCCTTGATTACAGAACACATGAATGACATGGAAGGCATTGTGTACACCTTAATAGTTGAACATTACCAGAGACACCCCTCCTAACTGCAACACCTTGCCCTATTACGCAGAAAGAAACAATGAAATGCAATTCACTCTGACTATACCATCACTGCCGAACCTCTCTCACAATCCTTTGGGCATGAACCAACGCATCCTGGATTACTCCCACCCTCCGCTTTAATTCTTCTGCATGTCGGGGATCTTGCCCGGCCTCAGATGTCTCGCCCTCTACCGTGACCGAAGCCCGCACATCCCTTGAAATATTCGAGAGTTCTTCGCGAAGCTTTCGATTGAGCTGATTAAAAGTCCTCTCAATAAGTTCACGATAGTCACCAGTCAGGCTGTTGGCCAGGTCTAAAAATAAAGGTGAGGATGAGAGATGTCGGTTCATGGTTTGCTTGCGTCTGGAGTCGCTGCCCGTTCCTACGGTTCGCAGTCTGTGGTTAGTGAAAAAAGGACGTGTTTGAGAGTAAATGTGCGAAAGTAGAGTTCTCGGTATCGTACCATATTGCTCCCTACAGGTGTTATACACCGGACGCATGACGCCCGCAATATAGGAGCTAGCGTGTCCGCCTATTGCGTCGGCCTTGATTTTTCTGATAGCAGGTCAGTCATCCTCCGCGCCGAATAGAAGCCGTGGACAAGATACTCAGTTGCGTAAAGCAGGTCATCCAAGGAGCTATGGATGGCGTCTACTATACATCTTTGCCGCGTTTCCATGTTCAAGAGCAAATTACCCAGGCTGTCCGGTGCTATGTCGTGGTGTTCTAACAAGCATAGTCAGCCAGACAAATCTTGGGTTTGAAGTCTTCTCTGACGCTAGCTGAGAGGTGGAATTCCTACCTTCAATCGAATCGCAGATGTGCTGAAATATATCAGACACTTCTTCGTCAAGTTCATCTCTTTTCTCTTCAAGCCAACCAAGCATGGTATCCCATCTGATGGATAGTTGATCACTTCCCGGACCGAGGATTTCTTCATTCCAGCAGCGATATGATTGCTTCGCCGTTTGGTGTGTCCCGTAGTTGCGACACCAAGCGGCGTAGGTGGAATGATGCCACTGTGAAACCCCCATCAGATACAAATCTATGTGCCATTTCACTTGTCTGTTTGACTTACGGTTGCCCATTCCCTGCTCGCATCGACTGCATGATTTCTCCAACTGTTCCGGGAGTTGCCTGCGCCGGGGTTACTATGATGTCTCTCGAAGGCTAAAGTGAGGTTCTGGGCGCACGTATGGTTTGTATAATCAAATCACTAAATTGTCGCTCTAGACTGCTCTGCGCAAGCCGGACTCCTGACCGAGGAGAGGCAATGCTCTAGAAGATGTAGAAGACGTCAGCGATCGTGCACCCTTGACCATCACTTCCAAGCTGCCAAAGCACTTCCAATCTTGAAAGGATAAAGAAGGAACCGGTTGCCCGATAAGACAGTCACCGTACCCGTTGAAGAGTCTGTTCGGCTTCGTTCAAGGCATCGCGCAAAACTTCAGCCCGGCCTGCAGTGACGGCATCGGAACCCGCCAACGCCCATTGAGTTAGGGAACCTAGAAGTGCGGGCACTTGATTTTGCAGAAAAGATTCCGTTGCACGAAGCTGTGCATCTGCGGGAACAGACTGGCAATAGCGACGAAGCTCCGTGATACCACTGAGCTCGAGGTATCCGTTGGCTTGCTCGGGATCGTTTGCACGGTGGTCTGCGTAAAGTTTATTGCTCACGCAGAATACCCGGGCTTGATTGCTCCAGGCACGCGATAAAGACTCGGTTACGCCCCTATTCCGTCTTAGAATGAGGAACCGCTTCAGCCTGACCAGCATTCAGTCAGCACAAATATCCAATCCGTGCAGTAAGCAAAAGGGCCACCTACTCGAATTCCAGTGTCTCTTTCTCATCGCTGTTGGTAGTGTCTGGTCATGATACGTCCTAACCGCAATTGATCGGACGAACTTACCTAAGGGCGAGTTCCTCCGCAGCGAGATTTTGACTTCTACTTCCGCTGCCTTGTCGTCTACGAGACCGCATCTGCCTGATTCTTCGTGCGAGGGTCTGAATTCGGCTGTCAAGGTCGAGGATACGTCTGGCGTCACCCGCAGAGCATGTCCGTGCTGTCTCTCTAGCATCCACATCCTGGGATTGTCTCGTTAGCTCCGGTACCCATCGGGTTGGGGAAGAGGAAGCCTGCCTCTGAACGAGTACAAACGATCCGTATCGGTTGGCCTTGTGCACATCGGCGAATGATATCACCAATCGACTGGTCTGTCGTACAACGAATGATCGTACTAACAATGAACACCTCGTCGCAACTGTGGCGAAGATACCTTTCAGTTGCCCGTTCTCGGGCATAGTTCAGATCACGAAAGCCTGAACGTATGTCAATTACTCACTGGTCAAAAAGTACAGAGCCAGAATGCCTTACCAGGGAGGTCAGCCAGCACTAAGCCAGTGCGCAGAATCGGCGATCGCAAATAAACCCTAGTCTCCGTTAGACACGAATCAAAAGAGAGCCTGCAGACTGGATTCTCTCAAACCTGATCAACTTGACAAAAGGCCATAGCGCCGGCCTATCCCCCTCCCTTGCATCAGCCATAAGGTTATCCAGCTGCTCCATACATTCATCAGCGTGGCGAGCTACAGCGGAATACCGAAGACTGTCGCGTCCGCCTGGGCGGTGGTCCAACCCAGCCATTGCCCACTCTTCCAATGTTGTCACAATAGATTCTACCGCATCCTCTCCGTCCCTAGAGAGGAAGTCAAGATCAAGCGCCGGCTGGTTGGGAAAAAGAGAGAGCAATGTGTCCCAGGCTCTCCTGGCAGCCACCTTGATGTCCTCCTGTTCTGTTGCATCACGAACTTCCCGGTAGGCGTCCGTGTAGTATTTCCTGACGTTTGCCAGCAGCTCCTCAAGAAGCTCTCGGATCTCGGCATTATTCATGAAATCTGCCTCTATGGTATAGTTCTGCGGATGCTCCTCGTTCACACTCCGGAACTCTGTGACGACTGTGGTGCAAGCAGCTCCGTCTCCGCTCTGAAGGGATTTCAATGAGTACTTGAGATCATTCACGGGAGCCGAAAACAAATTCGGATCTTTGAACTCACCGACCGAGCCAGACCCTCTTGGTCGAGGATGGAATTGATAAGACTACTTTTTCCTGAGTATTCAATTAGCCCTTCGTCTCCTCGCACCCTAAACCCAGCAAGCTTACCCATTCCCGAGTCACCGATAAATCCAACAGTCCGCGTCGCGGGATAGGCGAACCTGCTCGCCTCGAGCGTCTGTTTATAGAGTTCATGAAAGGCGGTCGTGGGGTCTTGTGCCAGCTCGCGCCGACTCATAACTTGCGCGAGGTCTGCGAGCTCGCCTCTCACATTCCGTAGTGCATCCTGGAGCCGAATGTCGTAGATCGGCACCTGGGGAAGTTCCTCCTGGCGGATATTGTAGAGGTAATCTTCGTCATTGTCATCGTCATCACTGTTATTGTTCTGCTGAGACTCCTCGTCAGACTCAGGATCGTTGTCGCGATCTGAATCCTCGGCTGCCGTATCCCCCGAGTGAGAGCTCACAGAGCCCAGCGGAGACGATGGCGTCTGTGGCCGCCGTTGGCTCGGCTCTGTAGAAGAAGCACCTCCCGGGCTAGGAGTGGCATTGTAGAGGTCCCTGTAGGTTGTATGATGGGAGTTAGGGGTCAACCCAGATTTTCTCGGGCCACTACTGGGATCAGTCTGGGAACTATTATTTGGCTGTCTCATGGCTTCGCTCAGGCGCAAGTTCTGAAAGAGGGACTGGGTGTTGGGTGTGAGGGAGCGTCGTTCGACCTGGTGGTCGAGCGAGTCATCTACGGAGGATATCGGGGTCAATCTACCTGCAGATGAGGGGCTGCAGGAGAAAGTGAACTCGACTGAGGGTAGGACGCGATCTTGGAGAGGGTTGGATGAGGGTCTGGGGCTCTTCAAAGGAGTGCTGGGACTGTCCGCGGAGTCGGCGTTGGCACCGTTGTCGCGCATGCTTCATCGCCTCGCTAGGTATGTGCTCTAGGTAACTCAGTTTGTGATCTGACAGACGGAAGAAAAAGTGCCGCTGGGTTGGCCATTTTATAAGAAGATTGTCTGGAATGACTAGGCTGACACGTGTGGGGCCCTTATATACAGCGCGAGGCTTTTGAGTGGTAAAAGATGCTGCAAGTTGCCTGCGCCGCAAAAAGAACATCGGAAGTAGTCCGCCTCGGTATGATTGCGCCATCAGTTCGGAGTACTCCGTATATCCGTACAAACGGCAATACTAATTATATTTAGACTCTGCTAAAGATTGCCAGATATGGATCCTTGTCAAAACGCCTCAGCGGGAAAGGGTTCGTTATGGTCTGGCTTACCCCATATCCAATAAGATGTACATCGACTTAAAACCAAGCCCCTTTTTCCTACTAGGTTTGCAAGCCAACCTCGAGAAAAGGCCCCTTGGCTGAAACAGCAACAGCATTCCACAACAGGGCCCCCTGCTGAAACGGCATTCCACGACCTTTACAAGCGCCGGTAGTACTTGACCCCGCACACGCGACTCTCCTGCACTTGACTCGTATTGTTCCATCCACGCCCCTGCATAGGGGCGAAGCAGCGGCATCGAACCGTTTGTGTTGCGCAGGCTCGTGTCCTCGAGGGCTGTATTCTGACACGGTTCTGGCATGGCGCTACGCCGTGACGGCGCTATACTGGAGTGCTGCTACTGCAGCAGCGGATCTGGAATTCATACAGTTACCCAAAGGACCGGATAACCTTTGCGCATTGCGAGACTATGAACGGTATACCCGTCATGTGGTATATAGCAGACGGGCTGGCTGTGATGCCCTTCTGCGGATACCAGCTTGGTTAGCTGTCTATGCCTTCTTATATACTATCATCGCCATCCTGGAGCCGGGACAGCCTGGCTAGCGATAGTCCTCTGGTTCTAACTTGTATAGACGCGCATGATAGCAAGACGTTAGACATCCCTCTCAGCCCAGCTTTGGATGAGCCCACTAACAGTAGGTTCATACTCCTTCAAGACGACACTGTCCCCATCTAGAAATGTATTTGCATGGCAAAATGCCAATGGTGGGTCTTTCTTCATGAGTACCACTTTCCTCCATCCCAAAGCCTCTTCATTGACTGTAGTCAGATCTTCATAGAACTCACGGCAGCTGCGTATATCCGCTGTGCAGCGGTAGACATGCAAGCGGAGAAGCATCCGGCCAAGGGAAGCTTTGCCTTCCTGAAGAAGGGATCGATTGACTTGAACTGTCAAATTCTGGCTCTCTTTATCATGAATGATTTTGTAAAGGCCGCTGCTGTCACGAAGCATGTGTTGGAGCATTCCAAAATGTGCCTGAAGTCGTTAGAGATGTTTGCTTCTGCGCCTGATGCTACTTACTCTGCTGTGTGCTTGACCCCATTTCTAGGATAGTGTTAGCTTCAGCTGTTTGTCTTCAAATAGTTGCACCTACCTTGGTGGATGGGTTGTAATTCTCGAGCGCTCGCAGTCCATCAACTCCTAGTTGCTGGTAGAGATTATAGACCACTTGATTACAGAAAAGTCAGGCCAAATCCAACGCACTTAGCGGACTCTTACCATCAGCAGGTTTAATCTCGCTGTCTGCAGTGCATCCGAAGAGCTCCAGAATCTCAGGAACGTCAATCAGGTAAGCACCGACAAGTTCAGCGCGACACTCGTCCACAGTTGTTGATAAATCTGCGAAAACCCCTGTCCAGGTTTCCCCTGGACCGTACCAACTGTCAATTGGTTTTCCAGTGAGTGGGTTCAATGGCGGGTGCTCTCTGTCAAAGTTGAAATACCCCTGGGAGTGCTCTTGAAGGAGCTTGCTTGTGCCATGGCCCAGTATCTCATGAAGAACTACCCAAATGTAGTATGCTGTAAAACGGTGCTCCTGGAAAATTTTGCGCTCTGATTCATAGATCATGTGGATGCCTCTGGCTCGTTTACTCTCCGCTATCATGCGGTTAGCAAAGATGATGTTTTTGAAACCATCTTCTTGTCTGATGTCATTGTACTATTGATTGGAAGTTAATGGAAGACAGTATCTCTTATGCAGGCCGGTCACTTACATTTGGGAGATTGATCCCTGGAAAAACCAGGCTCGAGCAGTAAGCCAGAACTACGGTCTCGTTAGTTCCCTATGATTTGGGGAAAGCCCTACGATGCAACTCACTTTGAACGCTGGCAAAATCAGGAATATCAAAAAGCTCCTTCTCGAATGGGCCTTTGCCGTTATTCTCCTCGTACCCTTGCGCCCAAGGTAGCTGAGGAATAATGTCAGAGGCGATTTCAGCGAGCCTGCGGAGCACCTTTGTTCTTTCTGAATCTGCTATTCCGACGATCCCCTCGAACTCAGCACGAACGCCAAGGGGATCTCTGTACGGCTCGACGAATCCAAAAACAGTCTCTACCTCTGGGGCCTTGTCCTTGACCCAGACCCTTTGTGCTTTCCTGTATGCATTGAGGTCCCCGGAAGAAAAGCTCTCTGCAATGCCTGCCAGAAGTTTCTGCTGTTGCCAATTGGCTGCGTAGTTTACAGCCTCTTCCAGGCTCTGATTGATCTTCTTGAGTTCTTCTTTGTGGTCACCCCGAACCAAGCGAATTCTTGTGCCATTCGGAGAATGATCATCCGGTTCCTGAAGAGTGGCTTCATCTTCTTCTATTGAGGCTTGCAGGATATCATACGTCCGGAGGGTAATTTCACCTTCCGTGGTGACGCTCTTCCTCAATCTAGTATTCTCAGGAAAGATTTTTGATGATTCCATCAACTTGGATATGGCGGAGACCTCCTCCATATCCGTAAGGGTCTCATCTCCAAGATAGTACGTGCTTTGGGAGGTGTCGCTCGGAACACCCAGACTATCGGGCAGTGGTCGAAACAATGCATCCCGAAGTTTTGAAAAAATTTGCGCTGTGGTAGGATCACAGTCCGCAAGCTTCTTCAGCTCATCGGGTGAGATATCAGGGTGAAACTTTTGATCCCCAGAGCCCTACAACAGAATCAAATTATGAAATGCACGAAACATAAGTGCGTAGGTACTCACAAAGTAATTGCCAATATTAGAGAGAAAAACCGCTGCATAATCAAGAAACTTCTCCACTTCAGCCATATCCACTTGCGCTCTTCTCGCTAGCTGTTCCCATTGACCATCACAGCTGTGGTAAAGGGCCATAATGAAGTCGAAAATATCGTTTGCTTCTGGGGACACTTGTCGAAGAATGATTCTTGCCCCATGCCATGCGGCTCTGTCTAACTGTCAGTGTGGCTGTTAACGTCGATGTTTAGGACCTCTTACCTGGCCGTGTGGTGGGCGTAGAGCTTCTCTTTGCTGCTGAGGCCTTTAAAGGCGGCCGCTACCGAAAGCTGAAATATCTCTGGCTTACGCATTATTGTGGTAGTTCCGGATCAGTCGGTTGCAAAAGCTTAGCCGGGGGAATTAGTAGTCAGTACTCCGTAGAAAAGTCAGTAAGAATTGGGAGGATAATTGTAGGGCTCAACAGCAACGGCCCCGCAAACACTGCTCTTCTCAGGTGGGTAAAGCGTGGCGCAGTGCACTATGGGAGGGACAACTGCCACCAAAACAAAGCATATGCAAAACTATTGGATGAGCTGCATTCGATTAAATCTAGAGGCACGGTCGAGCTTATCACGGCTTTATTACTGGCGGCGTCTGCCCTAATTCCCCGCCACGGCGGCTTCTGAAGCGATCCTACTAGCTGTGTTGGAAACTTGGAATATATCCTTGTTGCTACATGAGACTAAGCTCTCCTAATCTTCTGGACCATCAGATTGATGCATCTGCTTTCAATCACTTTCAACAAGGTGATGACACTGCTCTGCAAAGACAGCATTATAAGGGAACTCAGTCACAGCAATAACAATTATATCTCGGCTTCGTATCTAATTCTCTGTATCGTGGGCTGCCAAACGATGCTCTATAAACCCCAGCGCATCGATCATATGCATTTCGAGATCCATGACGAGCAAGAGGGCTACAGGGACGACGCATAGACGTGTTTGAAGATAGAGGTAGCCAGTTGTACGCGAATGCCTCTCAGCGAGTTGCTAATGGGCTTCGGGGTCCTCCTGCCGTCCAAAAACCTCTGTTTAAGCGACGATGAGGCCAGCCGAGAGGCATTCCAGCGAAAGGTCGAGGTCAACGCGAAATGCTTCAATGCACACTTTCTTACTTCCATTGCTGGTGTTCGGTTGAAGTGGGTCGACGCGCTGGCGTGCCACCTGGAGTATAACCCTGCCACTAAGGAACTGTTTCTGTTTCGCTTTCCTTCATTTATCTTGTCTTGCCCTTCGCATTCTTCAGGGACAGGCAAACGAACAGTCTTGCAGGCGTGCGCCACCACGAATAGGTTTCATTGTCAATGGGCAACTGAAAGCGAGGTTGGCTGTTTGCTTAACGAGATTCTACTGTCATATCGTCTCTTGTTCGGACAGACGAAGAGGACACGCGCCTTGTTTCGATCTCTTGATCCCTTCCGTGATGTCCCAAGGGCAGTGGCTGATCCGCTTCTTCCGATTCTCTGTGGGAAGCGGTCTTGTCACGGGTTAGTGCCCTTGGAGACTGCAGAATACTATCTTCCCAGAGACTTTCCGGTCCTCCGGTATCGTCTATCGGTGCTACAGGATCATTTAGCGCGGGCCACGCCCCGTAAATGGGTCCAGCTCTGGCGTGATAATAGAGATTCCGCTCACTGGCTGACGTTCTGGGCTGTCATTGTCTTCGGGGCGCTTGGCACGCTGCTGGCTCTGTTGCAGGTTATTCTGCAGGCTGTTCAGATTGCTTTCCGTTGACGGAGATATAACATCAGAACTTTGTAGTTCTATTGTATCTCGATTCCTACTCTCGTACACTTTATATCCAAGCATGTATCGAGGTATCACTACTGCACATCCCCCAGAGCCACCCTCATCCTCGCACTCCACTCGTCCCGCTTGATCCGCAACAGAATCAGAGGTATCCCACTGAGCAGACAGAAGAGACAGACTACTGTAAAGGACCAGCCAGTACCGATAGCATCGAACAGAGGCTGCGCAATCACCGCACTCACACAGGACAGACTGTTCCGCATGAGATTGTTCACCGCAACGCCCATGGTCGACCTCTTCGGCGTGAACTCGGTCAGCATTGTCATGGTCACATTGGTGAGGATCATTCCCGCAAAGCCGTAGAAGAAGTTACCAACCAACTATATTGTTAGCTTTGCCAGTTACCTAATGCAAGACGTACTTACCGGCACCAGCCAGAATTCATGCTTGTCCGCCGTCCACCCCCACCACAACAATGCTCCCGGGAAGAGCATACCCGCCAGCAGGCAGTTCTCGCCGAGCCGGTCAACAGGATGTAAGATGAGATTGCCCTCGTCGTCAAAGCGCCCCTCTTCCCGCGCTGTTCGTTTCATGATATAATCCTGCCAGCGGCCGCCGATGATCGCGCCAGACAGCAGGCCCAGCCCGGCGGGGATATACGCCACACCGACAATGACCGAGCTCCACAAGTACGGCGGCAGGGCGAAGGTATCTTCGATCGAGACGCAGATGAGGTAGTACGTTGCAAAGACGATGCTGGTGTAATACACGGTGATGAGGATGGGCGGGTACCGCAGCAAGGTAGCTTCCTGGACGGGTTTCAGCAAGAGATTTACAACTCTCGTCGCTCTTGTCGACTTAGCTCGCTCGTTCCGCTGATTCTCTTCGAGATTCGTCGCCGTCTCCGGCATGAAGAATACCATGATGAAAAACACAGCCCACCCATAGATCACCATGAACCACTGCGTGCTGCGCCAGCTCCACCGGGTGACCAGGGCGCCGCCGATAATGGGCGCGAACATGGGCCCGAGCATCGGGCCGAGCATGAACGCACCCATCGCTTTGCCTCGTTCTTGTGCGTCGAACATATCGGAGATGGTACCGGCGCTGACGGCCTGGAGGGATGCGCTGGCGGCGCCGGTGAGGAGGCGCATTGAGATGAACATGCCGATGTTGGGGCTGATCGCGGCTAGGATGCTGAAGAGGTCGAGAAAGAAGAAGGAGAGGAGGTAGACTAGTCGTCGGCCGTAGAGCTCTGCCAGGTGGGACCACCAGAGGGGTGTGATGGCGACGGAGAGAGAGCCAAAGGCGATGGACAGGTTCACCACGGAGACGGTCGTGTGAAGATCCTCGGCGATCATGATGAGGCAGGCTGTCGTTGATATCAATAGCAGTTCCGGCAGCAGTGGTAGTTAGAGAGGACCTACGGAACAAGACACCACTGCTCAGAGGCACAACCAGTCCTCCCCCTGCCACTATGGCCGTCAAGAACCACTTGCGTCCCGCGGGGTATTGTCGCGGGTCTTCGATTGCTGGGACGAAGCACAGAAAGGATAGGAATCCTCGACGAACATGACGAGGGCCATTTCGATTACCTTTCTCCTGCTCATCATTGGCTCTTTCCGTGCGTCTCAGTGACTTTGGATTCTGCTCATCCGCTAGTGATTGGGGTGGTTCGCTTCTGTGTCTGTCGGGCATGTCGATCTGCTTCAACTTAGCGATTTCAAGCCTGATACTGTTATGTGTTTTGATCAGCTCTATATATACTGATCATTCTTCTCTCTATCTGTATCCTTCTTCTTTTATACTTCAGAGTACGCTATAATAGCGTCGCACGAGCTGTGTGTCCCGTCGGCCGAGCCACCCTGGTCTCCTTCAACGAGTCTAAGGCTTCGGAGGATCCGCGACGCTCAGCAGCCCACATCCTCTCCATACGGTATGCCCGTCCGTCGTAGGTGGTATTCTGTATAGAAATGGGTTTTTGAATGGTTCATGAACTTAATTGTGCGTTTCAAGTTTGAACAAATGGACATTCGATGCTACACTGGAAGCACCAAGCCTAGGATCATATCCTGGCCACGGATAGATACGTGAACTCTGAGTTAGATCAGAGTCAGAGTGCTTGCATGAGTCCGGATACAGGTTGTGAAGAGACGCAATCACAAACGTAGTCTCATACAGGCTGTCATCAGACAAGGATTGAGCAACGCAATGTTCAAAGCCCAAACTCAGAGAAATTACAACAGAGCTGCATGAAGTAAGCCCAGCGAATCGATCGAAGATCAGCTCCATTGCGAAGGACAAGAAAACGATGTCGGGTCAAACCCCGCGAGGTCAGGAAAGTCAAAGTTCCCCAGGTTCGTGAATTCCAGAAAATCCGCGGCATCTAATTCAATTCCCATCGAACCCATGCTATCTAACCCTGATCCCGACAACATCGGATTGTCATGTGGCCCCGAGGTGGGATCGACTGTTCGATTATCCTCCGCAAGACCCGGATTCTGGGATCGAATTCGCTCAATCAACCAGATAATGACTGGCCATGCCCCGGTGGTGTGCTGGCCGCGGATTTCATGGATTGCGTTTGCGACCTGCAGACCCCTCTGTCGAAGATCGGCCCACTCCGGGGTTTGAAACACAGGGCTGCGTACCTCAGAAAGGACGTAAAGGATAGGGTAGAAGCCGGCATGTGAGGAAATATGCCATTGGAAGGGTTCACAATCTTTGCTTGAGGCGATTGTACACCAGTTCTCTACGGTTGTGGCGGCATCCACGAATATCCTTCTGTAAGTCAGCAGATGTAAGACATCGTTCGGAACTTGGGGGTTTTTACCTCCTTCGCATGGCCGGGCTGATGATCTTCTCACGGTCCTGGCGAGAAATCTGGATCCAGAATATGACCCAGAATTTGGACTTTAGATGAGCACTGAGCTGTAAGGCCATTGATTGCAAGCTGACCCTCTTGTCGCAGTATTGGACAAGATTATCCAGCGCCTTCCCCAGCTCAGCTGCCATGGCCTCGGCGGTTTTTAACAGGGTTTGAAGTTCAGACAAGTCTTGATCTTCTCCCAAATCTCCCTGGGAACTGGCACGCATTCTCTTTCGCGATGCATGTGTGATCTGGATAATCCGGCCGTAACATTGGGCGGCTGTGACCCGAAGCAGATAGATGGTCATGTCTGTGAATTTGGGGGCATCTAAGAGTCTGACAGAGGGCGCCACTCCTTCTATTAGATCAACATCATCCACATTAAGAGGGAGACGCGTATCAAAATCAGACTCATGGATTGAAGGAGCAAACCCATGTCCCTCCGCAGCTCGAAAATCTAGGTGACAGATCTGTGCCCATAATCGGCGGCGCAGCTCGACTTGCACTATGTCGATCGTGCCCATTGGCAGTGCTAATGGATCACGGTGGAGGCCCTGAATAGTGGCCATGCGAATGGCAAGACCCGTCAAGGGCCACACTTTGCCTATATCGTCTTCCCGATATTGAGCTGTCTGCAATTGTGTATTAGCTATGAATGCAATCTTCCACCAATGCAAGAGCCCACCAGAAAAATGATAAATGCTTGTAGAACCTCAAAGATCCTTGAGGTCATGAAGTGATGTTGTTTCAGGTATACTTCTGTCCCGGCTCGGTACCTCTGCAGGAGACGGGATCTGTCTGTGTTGAAAACCGCAGAAACATCTGTTTCCTTCATGCTATTAATGGCTGCATAGAAAATGGACATGGCCAGCGGCTCAAACGCATTAGATTGATGGGGGTCGAATGCCGTATAGTGACTGCAACTGCCGTCAACTTGAGCCTTGTCTAGGGAATAATGGGTGCGAATGAATCCATCAAAGCGACGAGCTAAACTGGGACGATGCACTATTCGCACTATGGGATCGACATTGGCCAGGAAAACATTCAGCAGTAAATAGCAATCTTCCCGGGTATCGGGATAAAAGCTGTACACATTAGATCGTGAGGTATCAGTTTCCCAGATTAGATGGTCGTCTGGGACCTCTTTGGGCGAGGACTCTTGCAACTCCGTGAGCATAGATTGGATATCTTGAATCTGTTCGGTGAGTGATTAGATATCCATTCATCTTCACATACGTTTCTCTTCCCACAACGGTAGGGATTCATTATTCTGCGCACCTCCTCAGCCATCCAGGCCCAGTGTTTGCCCGAGATAAAGCGAGGTACTCCATTCTCTAAGATGAGCACATCTTCCTGCGATTGGCGCTGCGGGGCTGCCACATCTCCGGGAAGAGCTGAAGATGGGATAGTAGGATATGATTCCGGCAAGGATGAACTCTGCTCGGACGCTTCATATGACTGTGCTTGCGCCAGAATATCCGCCAGACGCTGAAGTCTTGGATTGATCCTGGTTAGCGTGGAAGAGGACATCTTGGTAGCTGTGGACTTGGTCACCCGACTGGGTTCTGAGGCCAGTGCGGATGGCTGATGGGCAGAAACATATGAACAGGCATGATTGCCTCGCTCGCATGTGAAACAAATGGGTTGTCGTCGATCGCATTTGACCTTTCGGCGACGACATGGTAGACAAGAGGTGATGGGACGAAAATAGTTGCCCATGAAGGGAGGGACGTCAGAGGAAGAAGGCGATGTTGAGGGGAGAAGGGAAGCAGGAGTCGATGAGGCATACATTATGGACGCTGTTGGAACAATAACCTAGAAGTCAAAAACTGCACATGATATAAAACGGCAGAATGGAGCCACATTCAGCAGCTGTTTGTTGATTGTCAGTTCGATGATACTGACATAGTGGTCTTCAACCTGTCCGAACGGGCAGATAGTTCAAGGTGCACAGGAATATAAATTATGGAGTACAGCAAGTACGCTGAGAGAGAGGATCCATACCATGGTGGATAATAAAACCCTAACTGCAGGGGTAAGACTGTAGTTATAAGTAACTAAATTAGTTAATAATAATACATCAGTCTAAGATACACCCCTGGCAATAAGTCAAGGCAGTCGTAATTCTTAGAGAATTTACGCCATCCATAAGTCGAGGCCGAACACGACACTTACAAATTCAACAGTGTCCAAGACGGACAAAAAAGAAAAAATATGAATGGATTCCGATGCGGGGAATCGAACCCCGAGCTGCTGTGTGAGAGACAGCGATGTTAGCCATTACACCACATCGGACGCTTGTTGAAAGGATGAGGAGATTTTTGATTGATGAGACTGGACAAAGGGTTTGAACTTCAAGCGTGTCCGGTAAGATCATCGGGAGCAGCGTCAATTTCGCCCCACTTCGAACCACGGACCGGTGGACCCATTACCAGGTACCGAGTGGCACACAAGCAGATTTGGATTATCAAGCGAGAATATTTCCATTCGTACAACAACATCCGATGTGGTGTAATGGCTAACATCGCTGTCTCTCACACAGCAGCTCGGGGTTCGATTCCCCGCATCGGAATTTCTTCTTTCTGTATTTTGTCCTCTTCCTTCTGAAGGACATGCATGTATTTTTCCTAGTTCGCGTACGTCACCATCTTCCTGGTCACTATTGTGTCTGTTAAAGAATCTTTTCAAGTGATGTGACGCTCTATCTCGAAGACCAGTCATGATTACAAAAGCAGTACATAAACACATCATTCCATTAACGCCAAAGACAACCATGAATCGCAACAAATGAACATGATAGAGCCAGCCAAACTGAGCTGCAGATAGCGTAATTCACCATAGAAAAGACCTCCACACTCAGCAACCAGTGGCTCGAGCCAATGCAGGTCGACATCAACTATGCCGACTTGTGTAGTCTCTGCTGAACCTCCTCCAACAAACCCCCCAGTTCCTTGCCACCCTCACCAGTCTTCCCCTCAACGTCCAGCCCGCGCTCGAGAATAGTCTTAGCCTCCTCCCAGCGACCCATCTCAGCCAGGCACTTGCCCGCGCGCCACCAAGCCTTCACATTCGCAACAGGCTTGCAATCACAGCTGGCCTTGGCATCGATCATTCCCTCGGGCCAGGCCTGCTGCGCCATGTACGCCTGCGAGCGGTTGGCGTACAGGCCGGATAACTCGTCGCGGACCAGATTGACGGGTTCCCAGCCGGGGCGGCTCAGGGCCATATCGATGGCGTAGGTGTAGAGCTTGACAGCCTCGGCGTAGTTGGATTTGCGGTAGGCCTGGTTGGCGGTGTCGCGGAGTTTGGTGATCTGGGCGCTGCGCTTGGGGTTGATGGGGAGTGGCGGAGGGGGGATGTTAGGGGCGTCGAGGGCGATTAGTGAGCGGTGCAGGTTGTTGAGGGCTTGTAGCTCTTCGTTGATGGCTGTGGTTTGAGAGCCGGATTGGCTGGATGAGGGCGGGAGGGAGATGGCTTTGGAGGATGGGTCGAGGTGGAGGGGGTACTGGTGGAAGATGTCGATGCTGCTGGCCATTTTGATGGGAATGCTGGCCAACTAATATGCAGGTTTGGAGATTTGCGAAAGATCAGTCTCAGCTGTTACGACTGTGTCAACATGGTTACGTGGTATGGGAGTATGTCCGGTACTGCACTACTTACCAGAGCGTGGGGATTAAAAACGAGCAACAATAACTATCGCTTGCAAAGCCTAAATCTCCTCGTAGCCAAATATGGTGTAAAAGGGTATCTTTGGAATGGTCACTGATTATTTACATTGTCAGGATCGCAAGCTGTCCTGAAGCTATGCGATACGAACGGAAGGCGGTGGCAGAACCCGCATCCATGTCTTTATCGGAGGCATATCACTATCCGCTTAGTTGGCTTCAAGCCAGTATCATAATTTTCAAGGCGCTATGTTGGCTGTCAAGATTATCCTCTAGAAATCTCCCAAATTATGCCAGTAGCATGCCTCATTGGCAGATTGACTCAAAGTAAATGTCAATTTGGAGTATCTATGAATATCCTAAGTCCGCCCCATAAGCTGAACACATGCGACTCCTCTAACGCTGCTCCAAAACAGCTGCAAAACTAGGGTGATCGTAAACATCGTCAAAGGAACAGAAAAATCCAAACAATTTTGGAGAGGCATTGTTTCCCCACGCCGACTGACTGCAACAAATATCATCGCCTAAAGTCAAGATGAGTAAATACTATTGAACAGACCTTGATAGATCAAAGGGCAACACACGTAAGGTCGTTCAAGTATATGCGCCTGCAAAACACCGCTTCAAGATCAATACCAGAATATAAAGACAATGCGCGTGAGTCGAGATCAAAGACCGTCTTTAACGACCATAGCCACTCAGGGTAGAACCGTATTCAGACGGTTGTGCATAGTGTTGCCCGTGCGCGCCGCCGTAACTGGTGGTGTAGTCATGAAGCACACTCCCTGATCCGGTAGTAGCAGTGGGATCATAGGCACCATGCATGGCAGTTCGTCCGTTGCCATTTCCGAGGTCGTCTACCTCGCTTTGATGCAGCAGGGCATAATCCTCGTCCTGGTCGTTACGAACAGAAGCGCCCATTCCAGCACGTCCAGAGCGGAAATCATCCTCCTCTTCTTCAAAGTCATGCGCAGGGTTCGAGGAGAAAGCCGCCTTGCTCTGTGCAGCGAATGTAGGATCGGAAACAGCATCGGGAAGGGTACCAGTTCGGCGAAAATGCATGACATTGCGGAAGGACATCCAAGCGGTCGCAACAAACAGAAGGCTGCAGACAAGCCTCATTAGCAAGGATATCGCGCGAAATATGAAAGTCAGGAGGAAGCCTACAAGATCACCACTCCCAGAATCACAGTTGCCGTACTAATCTTGCATTTGCTGGCGCTTCCGTACTTCCAGGCGTCGCAGCCACTCTTCTTGTCATCTTTATTCTTATCGCTGTCACTGGTGCTCTTGCCCTCGGCCTTTCCCTGCGCGACATAACTTGCGACGCAAATCCACGCAGAGAACCACAGAACGGCGTACAAACAGTCGACCGTAGCGAAAGCATAGACGTTTCCGAATCGTCGAGCGCGGGGCCACATCGGCACTGCGACGAGGTAAATCAAACCTGGGATACTGAGCCAACACTTCATTGGCGCCGTACACATTAGCTTCAAGGTCCACGTAGCTCCAGAATCCATGTTCCTTTTTTTTTGCTGGAAGTACAATCAAAGACTGAGACTCACCAAGGCCCAGTACCAGGCTGACCGCCCATCGATCCCATCACCCTTTGTGAAAACAGCAATGGTCAAAGCCCATGCGAGAAAGATGATGAACCCTTGTACCCCATGAAGGAGGTTTTTCGTTCGTCCGGGGTTGAAGGAAGGTCGTGATACTCGCATGTTTGCGGGTGGAGGAGGGGACTGGGAAGCTGACGCTGGCAGAACTTCCTAAGAGGAAGTAATTCGAGTGAAGGCACCTGAATCCCAGAAATAGATATCTGATATGCTTGACGATCTCTTTCTTACTCCCGATAAAGTATCAAGGCAAAAAGAAGGGAGAAGATCGTTGTGGAATGAAGAGAAAATGCTCAAGTGCGCTTGTTTATGCTCGGATTGCGCAGCGCAACGGGGGCAACCCGACCGATGCCGTGTGGACTGCGGACACTAGGTCGAGACCCAACTGCACTGACGATATCAAGGGGAGAGTGTGCACCAAGTCGCAAACCAGCAATATAGGGATGGTTAATTAACTGATAAAGGATTTGATAGAGGATATGGGTAAGAGATGAAGATGAGCTGGAATTTGGATCTGGTGGATAGCACGTAGTGATATTCTTAGGAATTCTTCTGCCTCGTGCCTCTGTCCAACTATATGTTAATTACCCGACATGCGTCGATCCTGATTCCTGTATTCCACAGATACCTTAGTGGTACTCTCAGTGTGAACATTTATACACTACTACTATACTGAAAGAATCGAATCAACTTTGACTCGATCGTCCACTCTGTACTCTATTCGATATCTCGACAAGAGTAATAATAATGCTGGATTGACCTGCATTTGCTGAGTAGTTCTCTGAGCCACATTAGGTTATATCATATATCTGGCAACACAACTCCGCCGCTCTACGGAGTATTTGTGGAGCCTTCTAATCCTGATTGTCTAGACGGCTTGTCTAAATAATGATGAATTCTCTGATCCGATGTACTGTCGGTCCGTGGCTGCATCCAAAGCCGCAGCTACCTAGGTAGACTAAGTTACGCTCGACTAGATGACGATGCTCTTCACTCCAAGTGGATCTTCAGAGGCGGCGCAGCGAACGGGAAGCGTATGATCGGCCCAGAACCTTGTTCCCAAGTTCTCCTAGGAAACCGTTCTATTCCTGGAAATATAAGTGTCGATTCAGCCACACTTGGCTTCCACATGCAAGATGTGAGTTCTTAGCAGGATGCAATTAACATGTAGATACCTTTTATGCATCCAACTCAAGAGATAACCACTCCAGTGTGAGTACTGGATTATTACTGCTTTGATACCTCTACTGATAAATTCTTATTTACATGAAACAACTATTGCATATTATACTTGAAACCACTTCTGATCTGCAATATATAAGATTCATCAACAGCTCCTGAATACCGCCTAATGGTCCTGTAGGGTCCAACCTGCAAAAATGCTATTAAGAACAAACGAAAGAGATAGGGGCAAAAGGCTCACTTCAAGCTGTTTTGCCATGAGTTTCAGTGAAACTAATGAGTTACTTCAGTCAATTACCCCATTCCCAAGGGTTACTGTAAAAATCCTGATCTAATTCTGAATAAACTTACCCATATCAATGCTATCTCTGCTGGGGATCCTTTTCCATCGCTGTGAAGAAAGTTGATCCAGTTTACTTCAGTTTTTGAGGAATATGAATATTTCACTCAGTTCCATAATATACGAAAAATCACCTTTGATTTCAAATTTCTCTCGTGTTCAAAATGGCATGGGCGATATGGTCGAATTTCCGGCAGAGCTTGACGCCATTTGGGAACACGTTTATTAAAAAGGTGACTACCGCGTGAATGAAAGCCTTGTTTACATTTTTATCATTTCTGGATCCCAATGGTTAGTTCCTCTGCATTTCCCTCCAAAAGGGAGGTGATGCCATGCATGATAGAGTCCATTTTTGGGCTGCACAATAGCTCAGCACCACAGCCGAGATACTGTGCCAACCTGCACCAGCGCTGAGCACAATCAAGGTTCCGCTGTAACCTTTTTCGCTGAGAGAATTGTCTGGTCTATTGCTCGTCCAATCGGGGTGGAAGGGTTCGAGCATAAAACCTATTGCTGCGGATCGGCAGCCCGGACCTCGCCCGATCCGTATTCTTTCATGTTTTTTCGTCGACGTCGTCTTCCATGATGAGAGCAGGGCGACGACAAGGTTGGTTAATCACGTGGTCAGCTTGCATATTCACCCCGAATTGACTGTGACAAGGCTGCAATGCTGACAGCATGATGGCTCAGTCGATGCCCAACCCCCCCGTGGCTCTAATATCCTCCCGGCGTCTCACAATGAGCGAGGCTTGAAGACAATTGTCGAAAAAAACAAACTCAAACAAAATATGAAACGACTGCAACTACCTCGGGGAAATTATGAGAGGTGCTGACTTCTTGCCGTACGCGCTGTGAGCAAACACAGCCCCGTTCTGGCATTGACGTCTTCATGAGCGATGGCCCCGACACACGACGACTACACGGTCGGTTGGATCTGCGCGCTTCCTCGCGAACTGGCCGCAGCGCGGGGAATGTTAGATGATGAACACGAATCGCTCTACGCCGCGGCAGCGGACTGCAATGCTTACACACTTGGACGCATCGGGACGCACAATGTGGTGCTGGCGTGTCTCCCGGTTGGGGAGTATGGGGTGGTTCCAGCTGCGGTGACCGTCATGAGGATGAAGGCGACCTTTCCAAAACTTGAAATTGGGCTACTGGTCGGCGTTGGAGGCGGGATTCCGAGTGACAAGCATGACATTCGACTGGGGGATGTCGTCGTGGGGGACACCGGTGTGATTCACTACGATATGGGCAAGACTGTCCAGGGTGGCCGGTTTATCTGTACTCAAGAGCGCCTTCGGCCGCCGCAAGGCCCGTTGCTCGCGGTTTCCAAACTCCAGGCGGGCCATCAGTTGGGAAAGGAGCGGATAAGTGAATATATCGATGACATGACCCGACGTTACCCGGAATTCTCGTATCCAGGCGTCGACCTTGACGTCCTGTTCGCCTCGGGGTATGACCACCCAGAGCGAAACGCCTCGTGCGCCCAGTGTGACCCGTCCAAACGAGTTTCTCGGAAACCTCGACCATCAATACGACCGGTGGTACATTATGGGTTGATTGCATCGGGGAACCAGGTGATGCGCCACGGAGCCACCCGCGATGAGCTACGGACAGAGCACGATATTTTCTGTTTCGAAATGGAGGCAGCCGGGTTGATGAGGGTATTTCCCTCCCTGGTTGTTCGTGGCATTTGCGATTACTCTGATAGCCATAAGAGTAAAATCTGGCAGGACTATGCTGCGGTGGCGGCAGCGGCTTATGCGAAAGAACTCTTAACCGTCATACCTGGTCCACTGGCACGCCAGGATCGTGCGTGTTTTATGGTCCCGTTTGCATTGAGCCCGAAGTTTGTCGGACGAAAGACGGTCTTGGAGATGATAGACCAGAAGTTGGAGGCAAAGCAGCCAGCGGTCCTCGCAGGAATGGGTGGAGTTGGGTATGAATACAGCTGATACTATGTATTGAATTTGGCTAACCGAGGGCGTAGGAAGACGCAACTAGCCGTGCATTACTGCTATCTTTACCGAGAAAGAATGCCCACAGCTCATGTATTTTGGGTAAACGCTAGCACCATCGCCAATTTCGAGCAAGGATATCGTGATATCGCGCGTGCCCTCCGTCTTCCCGGCCACGAAGATCCTATGATGGACCCGGGGCCGCAAGTTTGCGAATGTCTCTCAAAGAATATTACCGTTCGCTGGCTTATGGTTCTCGACAATCTGGATGACGCGCAGACAATCACGTCCCAGATAGCTTCGATCCCGGGCTTGGGTGGTAGCGGGGGATCAATCATCGTGACAACGCGCGATATGCGAGTGTCGCAGTATCTCCCGGATTGGGATTATGTGGAGGCAGATCCCATCGCCCTGCCGCCGCTCGATGCATCGGATGCCCGTGACTTGATCGTAGAATTGCTAGCTCCCGAACAACGGCGGGACGAAGCGGATCTTCTGGAGCTGATACAGATGCTGGGATGTTTCCCCCTCGCTCTTACGCAGGCCATGGCCTTCATAAAACAGAATCGGACCACCGTGACAAAATACAAGAAACTACTGCTGGAGACCGATGTCCATCGACTGCATGAGAAAGAATATCGCGACACGCGGCGATACAACGATGCGTCGGACTCGGTATATCGCACATGGGAGACATCGTTTCGCAAGATACAGCAGGATGAGCCTTCAGCAGCCGAGCTACTAGCGTGCATGAGCATGGTAGATGCACAACTGGGTGTACCGGAGAGCGTGCTTTGCTCTAGCGACTGGGACCCGTTGGCTTTCACCAAAGCTATAGGCACGCTTCTGTCATTTTCACTGATCACCACCATGCCGGGCGACAGTGTTGTTATGCATCCGATGGTGCAGCGTGCTGTACGTGATTTCCTAACTCAGGAAGGAAGTGGAGAGACATACCAGTGGAAAGTTTTTTCGCGTCTGGCCGCCAGATTTCCGGACGCGCGGGTAGAGTCATGGCGGTACTGCGACGAGCTGGCGCCCCACGCGGAAGAGGTCCTCCGTTACGTATTTAAGGACAGGGATATTTGCGAGATGGCTATGTTGGATCGCGCGACGTTGCTGCATAATGTGGCAGCACACAAGGGTCATCGTGGTCGATACCCGTTGGCGCGTGCCCAGGTCGAGGAGGCATACGAAATCCGCAGGAACAGACTGGGAGATGATAGCCTAGACACACTTGAGAGCCTAGAACTACTTGCTCTTATTCTAGTCAACCAAGGCGAGTATTCGCTGGCGGAGATTAAACAGCGCACTGTCCTCGATAAACGCCAATGTCTAACCGGCGCTGATGACATCCTTACTCTCGAGAGTCAACAAGCCCTGGCGGATATTCTGTTAAGATTGGGGCGACTGGACGAAGCTATTAAACTTTATGAGAAGGCATTGGAAGCGAACCGGGCAGTCCGAGGAGCTCTGTGTCGCACCAGCCTGGAGTTGATGGATCGACTGGGCGAGGCTAATGAGCAGCAGGGCCGACATTCCGAGGCAGAGAAGATATATCGTCAGGCCGTTGAAGGGAAAAAAGTGCTTCTCGGAGACGAGCATGAGTCAACAGTAAAGACACGCATTTCGCTGGACCTGTTGCTAGGTCTGCAAAGCGGGTACGACCGGGCATACGACCTGTATTCCAACGCAATCGCGCTGAGTACAAGAACCTTTGGCGAGGAGCACCCAGATACGATACGACTTCATTGCAATCTCGCGAGCTTGTATTTGACGCAGGGAAACTGGGAGGCGGCGGAGGAGGTCCAGCACCAGGCCCACCGCACCTTTGCTAGAGTTCTCGGGGAACATCACCCATCGACACTGGTGTGCTTGTCTAATCTGGCCGTCTTTAAACAGCGGAAGGGCGAGTATTCCCAGGCGGAGGAGCTTCACCGGAGCTTGTACGATCGGCGTTCCGCCATACTTGGAGTGCACCATCCATATACGCTGACGAGCATGTTCCATCTGGCGGAAGTACTTGTGGAGCTCGACCAACACGCAGAGGCGAGTGATTTGTTTGAAGAAGTACTTACCGGTAGACAGGGCGCCCTGGGAGCGAAGCACCCGGATACACTTCGCTGCATGAGCTCGTTGGCCGGTGTCCTGGATGATCTCGACCAGTCCGAGGACGCAGAGCGCATGTATCTCGAATGCTTGCGGTTGAAGCGGGAGATTTTCCCTCCCGACCACCCCGAGATCCTAACCGACCTGAACAATCTCGCCGAAGTTTTACGGCAAAGCGGCGAACTTTCGCAGGCGGAGTCTATGCATCGGGAAGCGCTGCGCCTGCACGGCAATCGGGACGCCGGGTTGGGGAGCGTGAGCCGGGCAAACCTTGGAAGGGTCCTCTATCTACAGGGCCGGTATGACGAGGCAGTTGATATGTTTCAACAGGCTCTGGCGAGCGCCGGAGAAGCAGCAACGGAGCAGAGCCCGTTCGTGGAAATGGTATCTGACCGTCTAGAAGCCGCCCTTCGTGATCAGAAAGAAATGCGCAAGAAGAACGGCGTGTATGAATGGCTACAATGGGTGGTGACGGGTCCACTTATGGGACGAGTATGGGGCAAGGGCTAGGACTAAAATTGCGGAATGCATTCTGGTCCGTCTATCATTTTGCTCCCTTGACCTTGGGAGGAGCCTTTATCTCGAGGAGTAAACGGTCTGCCTGGGCATCGTTGTCCCTTATGAACTCCCCGTTCACAATCGTCGCGATCTTCACGGCTTCCCCATTAACAAGGAGGTAAACATTGCCGTCGGGATCATTGAATTGCAAGCGATAACCGGTCCCCTCCGCTTCGGCGTAGATATCGCTGACGGGGAAGCTCTGAGCGGACCCGGGGATACTTTCGTCTGTCCTAACTTTAGTAGATCGGGGTTGGTTACAGTATAAGGGCCATACCTTTCCATGCCACACCATCAAATACTAGAGCATGAATGGAATTACTCTCGTGCGAGTAGAACAGATATTCGCGCTCTGCAGCCTGCAAGAAACGGAGACTGGCGCCGATGGTAGGGCAGGTTGCTGGGAATGCGCCTGACACTTCCCATGTCTGGCCATCCCTGGAGAAAACCGACTCAACCTGTCCTGAACGATTCTGGAAGAAAACCTCCCGACGCGTTCCGGCGCGGACAACGGCCTCAATGTGCGTTTCTGGCGCTGCGGTAACGCCGTGGTCTTCCAGTCTCCCTTCATCCCATTGCCATGTCTCGGGGTCAAACTCGAAGTCTTTCAGAGTATCACCCTCACTCAGGCAGTAGACCGCTCTCTAGACGACAGGATTTAGACCGTTGCCATTTGTGTGACGAGGTGGAACTAACCGTATCGTTGACGAGGAGATAAGTAGCATTTGTCTCTAGCCTTGCAACGCCGAGGTCGACAGGAACCTCGAAACCTCCGGTGTATTTCTCTTCATAAAGTTCCTCACCTGATTGACATAGATAATAGGTGGTCCGTCCATCCTCGGAGTTTGCAACTGCGATGGTGTTGTCCGGCGTGTCCGGCATGGTGTGAAATGTGGTTGGACGCAGCAGTGGGATTTTTCAATGTCGGAAAATGCAAATTGTGTGCCGTTCCAGCAAGATAAATCCTCTCTCTCGAAGGGAGTCCGAAGGAATCTATTTGTCGGCCAGGGTCGGCTGAAAATGCCTGGGATACGAGCTGCTGCAGTCAGACGAACGGCTGCAAATCATCTCCATCCACATTGCAGCCAACCCCTGCTTGTATTTTCCGAGCTGACGACAGAAGTATTTCATTACCGTTACCTGTCATGACTGGTATTCCATGGTCAGAGGAATCGCTCGCACAGCCTCATGCTGTCTGGCTTCGGGGTCAACACGACTCCCCGTCGAGCCGCTCTCATTCTGTAATCAACTGCCTGTCAAGATGTCCATGGACCCGGTCGACGAGCCATCCAGATGGGTGTGTCGACTCACGAGTTTCTTCGCGGCCAAGGACGCAGGCACAGACGTCAAATCATCCGGGACTGGGTTCATGGTGAATATCCCAGGCTCGGCCAACTTCAGTATCCTGACAGCTGCTCACAATCTCCTTGATGCCACACTTGGTAGCCCTAAAAGGGTCGAAGTCGTGTTTACCAATGGGCTGGAATTCCCTGTCTTTCCTGGCGAGTGGCACATCTCGCACGTTTATTCAAAAGATCCCACAACTTCGGCCACTCACTCGTCCTCGCATTTCGACTATGGACTAATTGTGACCGACCGCCAGAAGCATCTCGATGCGAATCCCGATTTCGGGGATCCCGGCGCCTGTGGGATTGATATCCTAATGCGCGAAATCGACCTCCTCCACAAGGAGGTTGCTGTACATGGGTATCCCCTGGGTACGCATACGCAGCGGATGAACTTGTCCTCGCTGGATACATTAGACGACCTCTCCCTTCACTACGACAAGGATACGATGGGTGGGGTGAGTGGCGGGCCTATCTTCATCTCAAAGGATGGTCCCCATACGGCGATTGGGATTCAGTATGTTGGCCCGACTTTATGAACTCCTCGCAGCTAACAATACAAGCAACTATTACCGCCGAGCCACGCGTATCACCCCGCGTGTCATGCTCGAGATACTTAGCTGGATAGGTGACTATCCTTTACACAGAACATTCCGAGTTGACGGTCGAAAGGGTCTAGAGATATACCTCCAAGCAACCACCGGTTCTCGACCCAATATCATTGCACGGCCGGGACTGTCATTCTTCAAGGTAGTCCTCGCTTCGGCACCCAAGCCGGAATCCGACCAGCATTGCCACTACCTTATCCTCCCACCACAGAGTTCGCCCCGACAATTGAAGCCACTGCTGTTCCTAACTCTCCGCGCGGATGAAACGCCACCCCGCCTCGTTTTCCAAGAACAGCCCCTAGACGCCCCGTCGCAGATTCGGATTGATCTTCTTCCCAATGGGCCGAAGAGTCAGTGGACCGCGCCCTCCTGGCCGGATGCAAGCCGGTTGTTTTTGAAGGTCAATCCCAAACGGCGGAAGGTATACTGCAAGTATGGCTGCATTACCCCGGACGATGAGGTCGTACCCCACGCAAGGCCCACGAATTTGTGCATGAATCCATATCGTCCACCAAGTCAAAACGATCCGAGTGTCAGCGAAATTCCGGACCTGGAAGGACTGCCGCCGCTATACCGTGCTGTGAGACGTCGGGACGGGGTGGAGGTAACCAAGCTGTTAGGGGAGGGCGCAGATGCTAGATTCATTTGCGAATGCGGCACGTCCGTCCTCTCCAAGGCTGCGGAGAATGGCGACGTGAATATTTTGAATGCTCTCGAATCTTATGGAGCGGCAATCGACACTATGAACCATGACGGGGAGTCCCCTGAGATGCTCGCGCAGCGAAACGGACATGTGGGAGTCCTCGATCGACTGGAGTTCCTCCGGTGCGAACAACTCGAAAAGCTTCTTATGGCCGCTAGAAAGGGTGACCGCGACGAAATAGGGGCCCTCATAGAACGTGGGGTGCCACCAGATAGGCGAAATATCTCGTCAGTCCATGGGAGCCTGTTTCAGGGCTGGTCAGCTCTGGAGCTGGCTGCACGATACGGTCACTATGACTCTGTTCGCTTCCTTCTTCAAAATGCAAAGGTGTCTGCGACGGAGGTCAATTCAGCGGGAGTAACAGCGTTGCATTATGCTGCGCAAAACGGGCATGAGTCGGTGGTTGAATGTCTCTTGGAATTTGGAGCAGATGGAAATGCTGCGGACGAAAACGACATGACTCCGTTGCATCATGCAGCCGCTGAAGGGCACGTGGGTGTTATTACACTACTCTGCTCCTGGAGTGGTATTGATATTAATGTACCCGGCCCAAATAGAGCGACCCCCCTGATGTTGGCAGCGGAGAATGACAACAAGGAGGCGGTGCAACGATTACTTGAGCAGTCTGCGGATGCAACTCCCGTTGATGGTGATGGGCAAACAGCGTGGGACATTGCAGATAGTATGGGATGTATCCAGATCTGTGATATGTTGCCTTTTGGATAGACGACCATCTACTTGGTTTGGCTGGTGAGGGCTGCGTTGAAAAGCCTCATCCACTGCCAAAGGGTCAGCTGCAGCCGGAAGATATCGTGAGAATTGAACATACCAGCGTCTTGTATGCCGTGTTGCCAGCTTGCTTGACTAGAGCTTCTAGAACTTCATCCAAAGGCTCGGTAAAAGTATAGACCATGGACGAGAGCTTTGGATTCTTGACAAGTTTCTTTAGAAAACCCACTGCTTTCTCATCTTTGCCGACCATTGCAACCAAGAATATAGTCACAGCAGGCCCAAATTTGCCTGCCAGGCCATCGGCATCAGTCTTTGCCTTGTATATGACCTCTGCCATCTCGTTTTCTTTCTCCTTTGTTGGCTGTATACACGTTCAGCGCAATCCTGATTGTTGAGATAGTACAACCTACAGCTCCATCTGTGATGATGATTATGATCCGCGGTTTAATTCCTTGACCAGCAGTTCTCGCTCGGTCTTGAAGAGGGCGAATTATTTTCTTCCGAAGCATTGTTCCAAGTTTGGTCTCGCCGAGGAAACGTACCCCTGTAATCTGGTCGGCAAGCTTTTCATGGTCCGTGAGGTTGTCAAACTTCCCGTTGTCGTCGTCGCTGTGATTTAAAAACCGCAGGGATACGCCAGACGGCTCGATCATCGTCGCCCAGAAGGTGATGCTTTGGAGGGTCTCGTTCAAGGCGTCGATCCGGTCGCCAATCCGCATGGATCCGCTGTTGTCTGCTTGATTTAGCTTGAGACCATATTAAACGAAAGCAAGACGCCCACCGCATAGGAAGAAGATATCGTAGAAGGAGACCTTGGTCAGGTTCGCCACCTCCTTCGCGGTCAATCCATAGTTCATCTCAAGCTCTTTTTTCACCTTCTCGGCTCTTTCAGCGAGTGCTTGTTTCAACTCGTCGCTGAACCTGAACTGTCCGAGATTCTTGCTTAGAAAGTCCTCATAGTATGCCAGGAATTCCTTTGCGGTCTCGGGCTACAAGAAACGTTAACGCAATCCTATATCTGAAGGTATAGCAGGCATACCCCGTCTTGTGGCCCGTCGGGGGGTTGAAGGTCTCGCGGATACTTCGTCCAGGTCCCTCGAGGTCCCCCTGGTGGGCCTCGCCAACCCCGACGGGCTTCGTCTGATTTTGCTTCCAGTTCGAGAGCATCCCGGAGGTGCTTGACGAGCTTCTCCACGAGTTTCAAGGTCGGTCCCTTGTAGTCGGACTGGACAGCCTTGTATGCTTGGTCGCGAGCAACTGGAGAGAGGGCCAAGAACTCGCGCTTGATGTTCAGGGCCAGTTTGCCTTTGATGATAGTGATCATCTGAGGCCGGAGCCCGACTGCGATCAGCCGCTTCACCAGATAAGGGAGGATTTGCTCCGGACTGCGATTATGTGGTTCTGTCATTGTCGTCGTGGTGGTGTAGGGTATTCTCCCCAGAGTTGGGCGCGGTTGCTCTTAGATCTTGCTTCGACTTCCAGGAGCCTGGAAAAAGAGTTCCGCGGAGACTGCATGAAAGATGCAGCTAGTCTCATGACGGGCCTGCTGGTTTGGCAGATATCTGACTGCAGCCTTTCGGGAGGTCGCATTGCATTAGTACCATTCGCTGGCTCCTAGCGCTGACGCAGCTTCATACGAGACATACAGAATAAGGAATACCGTCCTCGCTAATGCAAATTTGCAATTTAGATTACGGCCTAATGGTTCATGATGTTCGCTTCTCCACCTTCTTCCCACCATCGTCGATTCGCACGTCTGTGTGCGAAATTACCTTCCCGGCAATCCGCACCCGAAAGCCTACGGTCCCCTGTTCATGCCCGAGAACAACTTCCAGGGTGAACGCGACCTCGTAGAACATCTCTTTATGGATCCAACCCGTAGCAAATTGGGTATAATCAACCCCCCTCAGGTCAGCGACGATGGTACCGATCTCCTCAATGTCTACAGCCCAAGGTTAGCGTCCACAACCAGCGGGAATTTGCCCATACTGACTCTGCTCCGTAAACCACTGTGGCGCTTCAGGTAAACTGCACGACTTTAGCGGAATTTCGAGATGCCTATCGCGATCTCGCCGCCAGCAAGAAAACTGGATCGGCTCGAAACTGCCCGGTTCGATGGTTACGCCCTGGATTTTGGTCAGTTTAGCTGCAGTATGGGATGAGGTGCAACACACATACGTACCCGATTAATAGACCACGACATGCAGTTTGACACCATATTCTGTTTGTAAAGAGGGTCAAAGCGGACGCCGCCAGGGGGACTCTCCCCATGCAGTCTAGAGTTGTATGTCTGCCTCGCAGTTGTTCCATAGTGTCGACGGCATTTCTTACGCACGACTGTTGCGCGCTCCACGCCTCGGATTACTGCGCCTTTGACGACGGCGCCCCAGCTTTGAGTTGCTCAAGTCAGTGATATATGCGTCTACACGGTGGGTACGCACCTGTGCTTCGGTCCGCCCATGCGGATGCGGTGCTCCAGACACCATTTGCGGAGTCGGCGGCGAAGGTATGGAGAGTCACTCAGACCTCCGATAGGAAGAAGATACTGGGGAATAGATTAAGTTTGGATGCAGAAGGAGAGAAGAAGAAACGTACGGTTACATCGGGGCCCGAACTCTTGCGAGCTGCGTGGACTTGTCCGGCAACCAGCTTGATGATCTGGTCCACTACCGGATCAAAGATCGTTTGCATGTCCTTGATACGTTAAACAAGACATTCTTCACACCCAGTTTCAATTGCATACCTTCTCGCTCAGAATTACTGCACTGTCGAAACTATCGTAGTGCTCGGGGTCTTCGACGTCCATGAACAGGCGGAGATGTCTCAACCGTGGACAGGGGGTGTCGAAGACCTGCTTATTCCGTTCAAAGTCATACATCATGAGGCTCCCTGAACTTGTCAAATGAGCCGGTAAGCTGTCGAATTTGTCTCCAAAACGGGCACTCAGAAGGTCGCGGAGGTTCCGGTCCAGGTTGATCGCACCGCATTTGCCGCCTGCGGTCGTTAGCCCTAACCGCACATGATGGATGTATATCCTTACCATCTCCGACATGGCATTCCTCGAGCTTCCACGGATCGTCACATACCACTTTGTACGTTGTTAGGTCCTGTTCAAGTCAGCGATCTAATTGCAACACGGTAGCATTTTATCCAGATACGTACGACGGTACCACCACCGCAGTCGCAGATCAAAACGCACGGCTCGCGTGCCTGAATTCTGTCTCCATATTGCGGCCACGAGTTGGTCAGCGTTGCCATTGCCGCAGCCTCTGGTTCAGAGATCAAAGTGACCTCGTCGACCTGGCGTGCTGCAAAGCCGCCCTCCTCAGCTGCCCACAGTGTCTTCAGCTGTGCCTGGTCGGACCAGATTGCGGGCATCGTGAAACAGTACTTGATCGGTGTCATATCAAGAAGGATATCGGGATACTCCTGCCTCAAGCTCTGCATGGTAAACTGGTATAGCTCACGGAAGAAGTCGGTAGTGACGTCCTCGACCGTCTTTCCTGGCGGGAGGCGCATCTCCTCCTCTTCTAGAGCGCGGCGCAAGTTCGGGTCATCAAACGGAGTCACTCTGGCTTTCTTATCGAGGAGTAACTTCATCCAAACGCAGCGTGGCGTGCCCGGTTTGATCAGATATCCCCAACAATTCGTTGCTCTGCCGCTCTCGTCGCGCTCGTACGCGATTTGCGTGGGAACTTTGGTAGCATTTTCAGTCTGGCCGCTGAGAGCGGGCCACTCTTGCACGGTGATGATATCGTCGTCATCCTCGTACACGGCTGACCAGGTGTAGCTAATCCCTGTGGCTGTTAGCAGGTATCGAGCCACTACACGGAGGCTTGGGGACGAACCGGTATACGTCGTCCCAAAGTCAATGCCAATGACAAGGTAGTGCGATTCTGTCTCCTCGGACTCGTCAATCGCCATGATCTCGATGGGTCAGATTCTTGGATTCAGCGTCTCCGATCGACTTCAGGTGCGGCACTTCTATTTGAGCCTGTTGCACTCTTTCCCTGGCGCTTGGTCAGTTGCAAATTCAGCCTTTAGCTGTAAATATGCACCGTATTTAGAGTTCGTCTTACAGTGACAGGAATACAGTTCCGTGAGACGGAATCCTGCTTTGGCTATCACATTGCAGCTGCACGTCACTTGCTCAGCCAGCCACTGAGCTGTCACCTCTCCGCAGCCATTTGAGGATCGAGACGTTAGATCAAGAGCCATTCGCAGGCTATGCATGAAGACTGCGATCAATCCCCCACCCTCGAAAAAGGGTAAACGGGGTGGCCGTCTTGATTCCGGCCATTCCGGTGTGACCGGGGGTCGCGAGCCAACCATCAGCCGATATCAACCACGCCTCCATCCCCAGCCTAGATTGAACAAATGCCCTTGTTGCTCTTGAGCCTCAAACCCCGCGTATTGAGCATTCCCAGGAATCCCGCAGCCATTCGCCCTGTTGTTTCGTTTGAAGCTGACGACGCTGAAACGCCACGTAGTCGTATGGTATGGTTGTATTTGGGGAAACGTTGTTTGCGTTACAAAACACCTGCCTCAACGCCAGAGTGCCCCTCTTATATCGATGGACTGCCTGCTGTGCATCACCGAAATGCTAAGAATGAGAAAAGTCTTTGCGGTCTAAAAATTACGACCACGAAATGGATCCCCTTTCGAGTGAACCAGAGCCGGCTCCCCGGCCGTCGCTGGTTCCTCTCAGCCCAGGCCCAAGCGAGAGTGGTAGGCCGCAACACAGAGGGCCAGTGTTGCTTGAAGAGGATCCGATCACTCACCATAGTGAGGGTTTGGATGCCCTTACTCGTGCTCCACCATCGCAGCTAGATGAGCATCGTCCGCGAGAACAATCAGGGCAGCATGATGTATTATTGTCACTCCTTCGGCGGAAACTCCACGAGCTTACAGACACTGTCGATGTGTTTGTTTCTAAGCTGGAGGAGCAGAGCGGTCGGGTCGAAGAACTGACAAAGCTGAACGCGGCATTGGAAAGCAATGTCAAGGAGCAGAAAGACGAGATAAGTCGAATAAAAGCGCAACTAGGCGACGCACAGAGTGAACGGATTCTATTCGAAGCTGAGAGCAAGAGGGCCGCTGAAGCAAAACTTGAGGAGAAAAGAAGAGAGTTCGCACGATTACTTGGCGACAAGGACAATGATATTGCCTCACTGCAGGGGAAACTTGATGAGTCCGTGAAGCAAGGGCAGGCTCGGGTTGAGGAAGGAAAACAGCAACTTGCCGTTACGAATACCGAACTGGGAGACCTCCGCGGCCAGATAAATACCCTAAAGGCGCAGCGCGAGAACCTCAAGAAAGATCTAGAGGCACAGACGAGTCGGGTTAACGCTCTCGAAACAGAGCGGCAACAGTTTGCAAAGGAAGCCGAAGAAACCAAACAGACCAGCCGAGAGAAGGAACCCGAGCAGAACCTGTCAAACGTCCGATCACAGCTGGTGGCATTGCAGGCGGAGAACACGGAACTCAGGGAAAAGGCGAAAAAGCGAGAGAGTCGCATTCACGGACTGAAGAAACGGGTACAAGAGGTAGAGGTGGAGCTGGCAAGCGCGTCCGAGCAAGCTGGTAAGGATCTGGACGCCGCACAAAGTCGCATCACCGAGCTGGAGAAGCAGTCCAGTACCCGGCAGCATGATCTCCAGGATAGTGAGACAGAGCAGTCCAGGTTGAGATCGGAGCTGTCGAATGCAAATGAGCAGATCGAGACACATGAGAGAGACTTGCTCAATGAACGACAAGCAAATGAGGTTCTTCAGAACCGGATAGCGCAGCTGGTTGAAGACGTGCGACAGAAAGAAGATGAGGCTTTGAAGATCCGAGAGCACATTACTACGGAAGAGGATGCTACGACGAGTCTGAGGGTCCAGAGGCTTAGCCAAGACCTCAAGACAGAGAAGTCTATGGTCAATCGTTTGCAAACGGAGTTGGGCGAGAGGGTGGTCGAAAATGAGAGGCTCAAACAGGCACTCGTGGACCTGGAGGGGCGGGCAGACGATGCCATGAAAGCCCGTGAGGAGGCGGAGCGGCAGCAATCCGTGTCTCAGACAGAGCGCGATGCAAAGCTTATGGCCGATATAGAGAGAATTCGGGCTGAGCTGCAGGACAAAGGCCGTCAAGTGTCCGATCTCGAGGCTCGGCGGGATGCGTCAATTGAATCCGATGCACGAACCAAGAGGGAGATCGAAGAGCTCCACGGAAAACTACGCGATGCTGAGCTTCGATACCGTGAGGAGAAGCGCGGCACAGAGAAGCTCCTATCGCAGAAGACCTTCCTGGAAAGTAAACAGACACAGCTCACTCAACAGGTCCATCGCCTGACCAGTGCTCGGCATCGGGCCCAGTCGGACGTTGTAAGAAATCTACAGCAGGAAATTGCTACGAGGGAGGAGGCCATCACTGGACTTGAAACTCAACTTCAGTTGCTCGGCACAAGACTCAAAGACATCCAGGGATTTGCATTCGAGCTGAAAAGAAATGCAGCGCGGCGGACGATAGACGACGGCTTCGTCCGAGATCGCCTTGAATATGAGTTCAGAGATGGTACGCGGCACTGGGCAAAGACATGGGGTGCGAATAAAGTTACCACTGACCTCCAGCAATCTGACATGGGCGAACTACGCGTGCAGCTGCAGAAGGTGGCGGAGGTGAGAACAGACGTGCGGCTGGTGGTGCAGCTGGAGGCCCTCGACCCTCGTCTGGTGGTGGATGCACTGCTATCGCGATATCTTGTGGATAATATCTTCCTGGAATCGTCTAACGCGGCTGGAGGACATGACGAGGTATCCATGGAAAGCGCCTTGTCTAAGTTCCTGATTGAACTATACAAGACTTTTATGCACGGTTCGCATGAGCGATTGCCTATAGCGTGCTGCTTGCTGACGTTTGAAAATAGTCGACGAGTCCAAGGCACATTCCTGGAGGTCACAGACTCTTGGATTGTTCAAAGAGTCTGAACTGGGATCCGTGGCAGAGGAAGACAGTCCCAGCAAAGGCGAGGGCACCAGAGATTGGTACGGCCTGGCGCAGCGATTCCTCCAAGGGCCCGTCCGATTTTTTCTCAAACCCGTCTCAAGCTCCGAGCACCAAGTCCAGGTCGAGCAGCTTGTCGAGCTGATGAGCGAAACTGCAGATCTCTCTCGCTACATTCGGCGGCAGTATACAGCGCTGCAGATCCGGGGATTCGAGCACTACCAAGGCCAGGCATTCCGTCACGACTCACCGGAGATGGAGCTGGATCGATATCATCGAATGGACCCTGATGATTCTCGTCGGGATGGCGACAGAATCCGCATGGTCGTTAAGCCGGGATTCTTCGCTCCAGGGCCAGCAAACGGGGAGCGCAAAGTATGGGCAAAAGCAGTGGTCCTCCTTACGTAGGCTTGTGGGAGACAAACCGGTAATTTTCAAATGCAAGATTTAAAGCGTACAGTAATCCCCGTATCATGAACAACAGGGGTCGTCGCGGCTAAGCAAACAAGGTTGACCCCCCCTCACCGTTGCCTGCTTTTCCGAGGATCTTTTGGTCTTTGGTTCGGTTCTGTATGAAAAGCTGGAAATACAGACTGATACATACTCTTAGACGTAATGTGTCACCTGTTCTTCATCAACCGCCTTCCTTGATAATGCCCGAAATCCTTCCCTAAGTTCATAGCTCTGCCCAAACTACACACATTAGACATGTCCGCATCGAAACCAACCCGCGGAGGTCCGTTGTCACGACAGAGGAACTTCTACTCTCCCTTGGACCTGCCAGACCAGGACGACGAGGAAGTGCTTCCGGATCCGCAAAGAGAAGAGGATGACGAGCAACCTCCGGCACAAGGGAATCGGTATGCACATCTGGCTTTGCCTCAACGTGCCCCCGAAAACCTCCCCACACCTTTATTGGAAGGATCGGTTTCCCCCGAGAAATGGACTGTGAAGACCAACAGACGTTTCCACATTCCCGGGGGGTTTGAGTCTGAGGAAGAAGGCAGTCTGGACGACTGGGGATCATCTGAGGACCTTGAGCCCGATCAGCACCTCGTAGTACGGCACAGTGAACCGGCTAGGGACCCTAGGCACAAAGACCAGGCAAACCCTCAATCAGAAGTCGAAAGTTTGGGAAAAGGGGTAGAACATCAGTCTCGGAGTCCGCTGCCACCAGCTCCCCGTCCCAGTTCCAGCTTGCAAGCCACGGCGCGGTCCGTAACACCGAAAACCCCTGCATTACCGGCGTCTGAGCCATCTCCCGGCATCGGGGAACAAAAAGAACCGTCAGAAGACTCACCTGCAAAGAGGGTTGTCGAGCGGAAGGATAGGGTCAGCGGTGCCACATTCGATAGAGAAGGCGACAGGGACGTGGTCACAACGTCGGCTCGTGAACTTCTCGAGGAAAAGTCCCTGGTCCAACCGAATCGTAGTGACGGCCGGGGCCAGAGTGGCCCCAGCGACGCGCAGCTCATTTCCCAATCGCGACGAGGCCGTTCACCGTACGGCGTTGAACGAACCGTGTCTAGTGCCCTGACTGATAGTCGTACTAGCCACCAGATATCCGGAAAAGAACTCCCGCAGGGCTATCAGCAGAAAGCATACAACCCTCCATCGCACGGTATGGCAAAAGAGCCCACAAGCCTTGAAGATACCATGCAACAACAAGGTCGTAGCGGTGGGAGGGAACGTCGAGCGGGCCTGGAGAGGTCCATCACTCCGTCTGATAGACCTGAGGCTGGGATGGAGGAGCCATCCCCCGAGGAAGATGCTCTGCCGCTACCAGGCCAAGCTTGCCGGCCTGACAGGGATCGGCCGCCGTCGAGAGATGCTAGACAACAGTCGATTAGAAAAATCACAGAGCTAGACGAAAACCAATCAAGAATCAATCGCCCCGCGCCACCGGCAGCACACGATGGTGTTGGGGGTGCGCCTGCAATTAATACCCCTCAACCTCCGGCAGGGGATACCAAAGATCGACGCAGCTCACAGTCTGACGCACGCCGGGATTCATACACAGGATTCGTATCTAGGCCACGCTCTGATAAAGACCCCTCCGGATTAAACTCCCGTCCGCCGTCCACGCGTCCCCAAGAAGACCAGCACAGCAACGTTTCCCAAACCACTGAGCACCGCAGAAAACACGGTCCGATGCAGCAAGATCGGGAGAGGCATGGTGCACCCATGCCTTTGGAATCGACGCCCGGGCCCGTAGATCACGCAGCTGGAGCAACTGCCAGTCACCCATCCAGACATGATCACGGAATCTCATCCCAACGCCCTTCCCAGCCGACTGTATACCCCTCCGAGTCGGAAACATCTCTACCGCGGGATGTGAAGGGTAGTCCCAGTGTTAATGCCACTCGCCCATCGGGGCGTCATCCTGACACGCTACCAATAAGGCCTCCCCAATCGAACGCAGGGCTCTTAACGCCTCAAACGGGTCACAACGACCGAGACAGGCACACGAATACAGATTCCGGGAGTCGGCCCCGGGGGATACTCGGAAAGCCCCAGCAGCCGCAAACCGCATCATCCGCCGGAAAGGCCCGCATGATGTCCGAAGACCAAAGCCCGCCCGCTCCCAGGCAGCGGGCTGGACATCAGGATAAACCGGCTTCTCAGCCACCCGAAAACATGGCTGCGGCTTCTGATTCTGATAGTCATCAAAAGACAACTGGGTCGACGTCATCCAGGGCTGCTACCAACGACGCCGACTCGCATGATGCTGGGCGACAGCAGCCCTCTCCTCCGCTTGGAGGCGACAAATCGGCGGGGAACCAAAGTTATCCACCTCACGGGGGACGGCAGCCTCAGATGCCTAATGCTCCCGTCAAGAAAGACCCGCAAGATCGCAGAGACCCTCCGTCTCAGAAACAGCAAGGGCATGAACGCGGCCAAGGAGTCCAGAAGCCCCGGGAAGACCAACAAAAATCCGATTCTATCCCCAACAATATACCCACGACTGATCCAGCTGAGACCCGGCCCTCTGCAGCCTCTAAGGTTGGTCCCAGGCCCAAGAACCCGGCACCAGGTGCCGCAGGTGCCGGATTTAACGAGAATCACGCCACAACGACCCCAGCAACAAAGCATCGCACCAAGAAAGATGCTCAGGAGACTGTTCCGCCGTCACAAAAGGGGACTCCGGAAAATACGACATCGGACACCGGTAGATCCATAGGGGACGAGCAACTCCAAGACCCGGTATCGACCGACCGTCCCGATCCAAATCACCGAGGAGACTTCGATTCTTCGGCCCCCGGTGCTGGTACCGAAGACACGGATTATGCAACCGTTGATGCCGATGGGAAAGGATATAATTTGTTAGAGGAAGACGCACGGCTGCAGGTGATAAGCGAGGAGATCTTCTCTACGATACTTGAAGGAGAGCTGTCAGAACTGTTAGCGAAAGCCCTAGGAGCCAGACGCCTGTCTGCGTTCTCGATACTTCCTACATGGCGACAGGACGAACTGTGCCGTGAGGCAGTGGAGCAGGCAACTGCAGAACTGTCGGAATTTGTCGATGCTGTCGTCAGTGCTCAGACGGACTCCTAGCTGTCCATGAGCTAGAGGAATTGGATATATAGAGTCGGCCAGTGACGGGTGGGCTGAGTGTGTATGCCATATAACAGAGGTCGTTGGTTCACGTTGCAAGTGTCTACAATATATTCTATACCTATCGTAATACCAAGGAGCAGTGCCTTCCTCTACGACCTTTCAAAGATTCTTCCGTATTGAAATACTACCGACTACCAACTCTGGAATAGTAGTCCTTTTGCCTCAGTGGTTAGCCTTTTGCAGCCCAGCGCAAGGTTCTGAGAAGGATTTATACGTCAGAGTCAGCTGACTATGCAGGCATGAAGGGGTGAGCAGCTCACCCCACCTATGTTGCTTTATTTAATTGCATTGCCTGTCAACTGAAGTAGCTCGTGTTGACTTAGGATAATCTATGTACCTTGTGCTAATAAGTCAAGCAATCAGATGACAGACGAAGTGGTGAGGAATCCAACTGTCCAAGTACGTCAACAACGTCCAGTGCCGTTCTGCACACAGCGGGGTCTGCTCAGGCTTCAGCCGCAGATTCCTTATTACAAGATATCTCACCCCATAAACTGAGACTCTTCGGCATACTACTACCTCTACACCGTCATGGCCAGTATTGACAGAGTGGCGATTATCGGCGCCGGTCTTTCAGGTCTAACTCTTGCTCTGGCCCTGCACAAGCAATCCATTCCCTGCACTCTGTACGAGGCTCGCGCATCCGCACTCAACATTGGCGGCGCCATTATGCTGTGTCCCAATGGTCTGAGGATCCTCGACTATCTGGGTGTGTACAAGCGCATCCGACCAGAAGGCTACGAGTTTGACAAGCTCTACTTCCGCTCCCCAGATGACCAGCCCATGGACACATACGAGTTTGGTGGAACTGAACAATACGGCTACCGCGCCATGCGCATTTATCGTCACATTCTTATCCAGGAACTGTCTGCTATGGTCCGCGAAGCTGGCATCCCCATTGAGTACCATAAGAAATTCGTCCGGGTGCTTGCAGAGACGGAAAAGGATGTCACCTGGGAATTTAGTGACGGCTCCACCGCAACAGCCACCTGCGTCGTGGGGGCCGATGGCATCCATTCCAGAGTCCGCAAATACCTCTATCCGGACCTCGAGCCAGCTTTTACGAAGATGGTCATCGTGACGGCCGCAGTACCAACAAGCCGGCTACAGGTCCCGACCAGCTACAACCTCCCAGTGACGATAATGAACAAACAACATGGGGCAGTCTTCATCGCTCCGCAGTTGGGAGATGGCTCTGAGGTGATGGTCGGCCGGCAGAAGCGCTCGGAGCAGCTGACCCGAGAGGGGTGGGACGAGCTTCTGAACAATAAGGAATGGTGCGTGGATTTCCTCCGCCAGGGTGCAGACGACTTCCCTGAGATCGTCCAGCGGGCTGTATCGGATCTAGCGCAGGAGAAGATCTTCCTATGGCCGCTCTCTATTGTTCCTAAGCTTGAAACGTGGACATCAAAACATTGCCGCGTGGTAATCGTAGGTGATGCCGCGCATGCGATTCCCCCCGCTGCTGGACAGGGTGTTAATCAGGCGTTTGAGGATGTTTTTACGTATTCGTTGGTGCTTGCACGGTCTGACAAGGATTCACTGGAGCGGTCACTGAAGGTCTGGCAGGAAAGACGACAAGAGCGGGTAGATAAGGTGCTTGCACTAAATGCGTATATGGATAGACGGAGGATGCCAACTTTGGGAGAAGAAAAGGAAGCAGAAGACGCGCCCCTCGACATGGAATCATTGTATAAGCCAGATTTCGTGGAAATGGTAGACGCGTGGCTCTCCAGGCATGACTCCCACTGACAATGATGTTCCAAAGGGTCTCGAATCATCTAGCATCGACAGAGAATCAATACCAATTGAATCTTATTTTATATTACCTAGTAGCAACAGTCCGTGGTGGGACCATGGTGATGACTAGAAAATACCTCAGTCCAGGGGGTCTTACACATACTAGAAAGCACTTAACAAGGGGCATAATAACACAGGTACAATAGCTTTGGCAACGTACAGTAAGGTTAGCTGTGAATAATTGATAGCTAGTCACTATTTGGGCACACTAGTGATCCCTTGATAGCTGCGGCTCTTTAAAGGTTACTGCAATTCATCCAGCTTCATCTATTTAGTAACAGACGGGGTACTAACAGACGGGGAAGATAATATTAAACCACCTACTTGGTCTTTCTGATGACCAGGCTCTGCTTCTTAAAACAACACTTACCTATAGTATTCAGACCTCAGGCTCCTATTAATCAGGCCAGCGCCTGTATGTCCAGTGAGTCCTCGCCTCTGATACTGCGCCACCACTCGCTTTGTCGTACAAGTTCTCCCTCTTCACCCCCTAGCAGAGACCAGTACTTTATCAGAAACCACTCCTTTGCCTCCCAGCTGCGGTTGTCCCATGGGGTACCAGTCGAAGCATACCCAGTAGAAGCATCTCGATCCTTCCTCCCAACGCCTGCCCCTCCCCAACACACTAAACCAGTAATGGCATCGCGGAGAAATTCATCCTCATCTACCTCTTGCTGGTGGAGGATGAGATTCTTCCGTAGCGTCCGAAAGGGGAGAACATCAATGTACGGAGGATGCTTGACAATGATTTGCTCAATACTTGGCCTCAAGTCTGGCTTGAGTGTCATGAATATCCTCTGCACCGTGCAGATCGTGTTTTCCTTGACCATGTCATCCGCTGATGCCCTAAGCGACCGATAGAATGGCGAGGGATATTCTTTAGCACACATCATCTCCTCTGTAATGCTAATATGCATCCTGAGAGTATCCATTGCGGCTAACGTACAGATTGTTTCCAGGCGAAGATGGCCGGCATATGGATCTGGTGTAGGTGTGGCCGGTCCAGTCCTGAGTATCCTGACCTCGGTAGAGCTGTACGGGCCGGGACGGTGCGTTTGTACCGTGAAATGTGGGCCGGAGCAATTACATTTGATGGTGGTGGTCATCCAGCATCGATCAATGCCGTCCTTGTGTTTATCAGGGATGAGAACGGAAGGATTAACGTGGGTTGGAGGAACCCATACATTCGGTGCCGACAAGGATGTTTCTGATGGTGGGAATTGTTTTGTGGAGTCTGAGATTGCTAGGGGTGATGGGGAGATATCAGAATGTGAGTGTTGTGCTGTGCAATCCCTAAGTATAGAATCCCAGGCGTTTGGCGACGATAGGGTATTGTCTGAGGGTGTCAGATGGGTTGAAGAGTTCCAGAAATTCAGTGCTGATGCAGTATGGTCTGACTCTGGAAGAAGCTGTTGGCAGTCCTTGGGAGTAGCCATCGATGAACCCGAAATCGACACGTCCCAGACATCATCACCTAGGATCGACTGGGATTGGATTTTGCCCGTCATCGGGGATCTCTGCGCCAGTGATGCTGCAAGCGTTTCAAGGTTCTCCAATCGCTCACGGAGCTTCTCTCCTAGAAAGAGTACTCTATTAGTAATTTCTTCCCCTATATCTTTCCCCATTTATCTATCTTTGGGGGATCCAAGCCGCACTCACGGTATCTACGCTGCGCTCGGATGTTCTGTTGCCGTCGTTTTTCAGGGTCGCGACGGACGGGTTTTCGCTTCTCTTTTCCCATGCTCTCGCTCCGTGCTTTCTCCTCCGTCATGTCTCGTAGCATCGTGTATATCGTTCTGTCGTGTGGATCTTTAGAGCAGATGGACGGATGGATGAGGTAGGCTGGTTGGGACGGTTGATGGGAAAGTGCGGAGTAAGTTGACTCGACTCCAAAGACATGGATGTGGTCGGCCTAGAATGCCTGTCTACGGCGGACGACAGCGCGAATGTGCTCCTTCTGGCAACTGGTCAGATTGTTTGTCAGATTGTTATTGTTACCCTGTCACAGCAGGATATTCGCTGATTAGGGTTGGAATGTTCTACTCTCAGTATCTATGGGGGTGGAACGGTAGCTCAGTCAGAATTGCATCGAGAGCTAATCCCGCACTTCTGGAAAAGAGCACAAGGAATATAGCATTCAAGTATATCGTTGTGCATCAATTAAAACAGGGCTCTGCTAGCAACCCAGCTGATAACGTAGCACAGCTCCTATAATGACACATTACACTATCCTTTTGTGATCTCGGCCCACTAGAAACGGAATCCTAAAGGGATGGTCCTATTGTCGGTTCGGCCCGCCAAAGTCAGCCATACGTCAGCCAAATCAGCCATATCAGCCATATATCAGCCATAACATAACTATATCGATTGGCTAACGTCAGCCAGATCTTCGGGCGGCCGCAATCCACCCGCATCCGTGTCCAACCATCTGCCCTGGTAGTTGCTTGCTGTGGAGATCGCCGTTGTATACACATCTTCTCCAAAATCACTAACGAAAGTGCAGCTGGCTTCACGGGTAGGTACGGATAGTTCCTGTTCCGCAAGATCTATGGGATGAATCGCGTCAGCCATGGAGTCAAGCCAGCAACGGCGACTAAAAGAGGCTGTTGCTTTATCTAGCGTTGACCTATCTTCTGCTCTCTCAATCTCCTATAACTATAGCTTGGTACATTCGCTGATGCCCATTGGCGCCGGTAAACCAGAACACCCTGCAAACATGAATGGAGACCATGAAGCCGGAAACGCCTCCAGTTCCAGTGTGGAGAAGAGGGAAGCGGAGGTTCATCAGCTGGCCAGACAGTTCACAGAGCAGAGCAACTATTCCACGGCGGGACAAAACCCCTTTGCTGCGGAGGCAGGATCGGCCCTGGACCCCAATGGTGAGCACTTCAATGCTCGGGCGTGGTGCAAGGCCATGCTGCAGATGCACGCCGGGGACAAGCAGGCACATCCGCTGCGAACCTTGGGGGTCGCCTTCAGCAATCTCAATGTGCATGGTTTCGGTTCCGACACTGATTACCAGAAAAGTGTCGGCAATGTCTGGTTAGAGGCGTTCAGCCTGGCAAGCAAAGCCCTCGGTCCAAAGCAGCGCCAAATTCAGATTTTGCAGAACATGGAAGGATTGGTGGAGGCGGGAGAGATGCTGGTGGTTCTTGGACCCCCTGGATCCGGATGCTCGACTTTCTTGAAGACCATTGCTGGAGAGACTTACGGCTTTCATGTTGATAAAATCTCAAACCTCAATTTCCAAGGCATGTCCGATTGAACTCAAGAGCAGGGTTCTTCCACTAATTCCCGTCAGGTGTGAGCGCAAAACAAATGGCGCACGAGTTCAGAGGAGAAGCCATCTACACCGCGGAGGTCGATGTCCACTTCCCCAAGCTCACTGTTGGAGATACCCTTTATTTCGCTGCGCGCGCCCGAGCACCACGGCACATTCCTGGAGGGGTGAATGCGACCCAGTATGCCAGCCACATGCGAGATGTGATCATGGCCATGTTTGGTATTAGCCATACGAAGAACACTATTGTGGGAAACGACTTCATTCGCGGTGTGTCTGGTGGCGAGCGCAAGCGGGTTAGTATCGCTGAAGCGTGCCTCAGCAATGCACCGCTGCAATGTTGGGACAATTCGACTCGTGGTCTCGATAGTGCGAATGCCATTGAGTTCTGCAAAACTTTGCGCATGCAGGCAGATATCAATGGCACCACAGCCTGTGTCTCTCTATACCAAGCTCCTCAGGCCGCTTACGACTATTTCGATAAGGCCCTGGTTCTATACGAAGGTCGTGAGATCTACTTTGGTCGCACATCCCTGGCGAAGCAGTACTTCCTTGATCTGGGCTTCGTCTGCCCTGACCGACAAACTGATGCTGACTTTCTCACCTCGATGACTAGTCACCTTGAGCGTGTTGTTCAGCCAGGTTATGAAGGCCGCGTACCTCGAACCCCTGATGAGTTCGCTGCACGATGGAAGGCCTCACCACAGCGAGCACAGCTTATGCAAGACATCAAGAGGTATAATGCAAAGTTCGCACTAGGTGGCGAATACCTGGATAAGTTAAAGCAATCTTGACGGGCTCAGCAAGCCAAGGCTCAGCGTGTATCGTCACCCTACACTCTTTCCTATGTACAACAGGTGAAGCTCTGCCTGTGGCGCGGGTATCAACGATTGAAGGCTGACCCCAGCGTCACAATCTCTTCGTTATTCGGGAATACTATCATATCCCTTGTTATCGCCAGCATATTCTACAACCTCAAGGCTGATACAAGTACCTTCTTTCAGCGCGGTGCTCTCCTCTTCTTTGCTGTGCTTATGAACGCCCTTGGTTGCGGCCTTGAAATGTTGACTCTATACGCGCAACGAGGGACCATAGAGAAGCACTCCCGATACGCTCTCTACCACCCATCGGCTGAAGCGTTGTCATCAATGATAATGGACTTGCCCTACAAGATTCTCAACGCGATTACATCTAATATAGTTCTATACTTCATGACCAACTTAAGGAGAGAACCCCGTGCTTTCTTCTTCTTTGTCTTCACCTCGTTCGTCCTGACTCTGACCATGTCCATGTTCTTCCGGTCTATGGCATCACTATCCAGATCCCTTGTCCAAGCTCTGCCCTTCTCCGTCGTTCTACTTCTCGGTCTCAGCATGTATACTGGGTTCGCGATCCCAACAGGGTATATGCTTGAATGGGCTCGCTGGATTGCGTATATCAATCCTATCAGCTATGGCTTTGAGTCCCTACTGATCAATGAGTTCCACAACCGCGACTTCCCGTGCATGAACTATGTCCCATCGGGTCCTGGCTATACAGATCTCGGGCTTACCAACCGTGTTTGCTCCACCGTCGGATCAGTGCCTGGACAACCCTTTGTCAATGGCGATGCTTACATTGAGTCAGCGTATAGCTATGCCGCCTCGCACAAATGGAGAAACATCGGGTTCATATTCGCCTACATGTTCCTGCTTGGGGCCGTCTATCTCGTTGCTGCTGACTTCATCACCGAGAAGAAGCCGAAGGGCGAAATCCTTGTTTTTCCTCGCGGACACAAAGCTCTGAAGAAGGGCAAGCCAGATGAAGATCTTGAAGGGGGTAGTGGCCGCAGCGTCATAGCGGAGAAGACTGGCTCAGATGGCCTTGCCATGATTGAACGCCAGACCGCGATCTTCCAGTGGAAGGATGTCTGCTTTGATCTCAAGATTGGAAAGGAGAATCGCAGGATTCTTGACCATGTGGACGGATGGGTCAAACCGGGAACGTTGACGGCGCTTATGGGTGTTTCCGGTGCTGGAAAGACCACGCTCTTGGATGTCCTGGCTACGCGCACCACTATGGGGATTATCAGTGGAGAAATGCTCGTTGATGGTCAACCGCGTGATGACGCCTTCCAGCGTAAGACCGGCTACGCTCAGCAACAAGATCTGCATTTGGGTACTGCTACAGTGCGCGAGGCACTTGAATTCTCTGCTCTTCTACGTCAGTCCGCTCACGTTCCTCGTCAAGAGAAGATTGACTATGTGACAGAAGTGATTAAGCTTCTTGACATGACCGAGTACGCCGATGCTGTTATTGGTGTGCCTGGTGAAGGTCTCAATGTTGAACAACGAAAACGTCTTACAATTGGAGTCGAACTCGCAGCGAAGCCGCAACTTCTGTAAGTTGTGACCTAAGGACCTAAGGCAAATTACTGACAAGGCGCGTTTTGCGTGGACAGCCTTTTCCTGGACGAACCGACCTCGGGACTTGATTCGCAGACATCCTGGGCGATCCTTGACCTTCTTGATAAGCTGAAGAAGAACGGCCAGGCCATTTGTAAGTGCCAGACCGTGCATTTATAGCTTACATTTAACGTGTTCCCAGTGTGCACCATCCATCAACCATCTGCCATGTTGTTCCAGCGCTTTGATCGTCTCCTCTTCCTTCAAGCTGGTGGTCGCACCGTCTACTTTGGAGAAGTCGGCCCGAACTCGCAAATACTGATTGACTACTTTGTCCGCAACGGTGGTCCTCCGTGTCCGTCAGCCGCCAATCCCGCCGAATGGATGCTCGACGTGATCGGTGCCGCTCCTGGATCTCACACTGACATCAACTGGTTCGAGACCTGGCGTATCTCCCCCGAATATGCACGAGTCCAAGAGCACCTTGCTGAACTGAAACACGAATGTCCCCAACAAACCAACCAGTTCCGCACCACATCCAGCCAAAAGCGCGAAGACCAAGCCAGCTACCGCGAATTCGCTGCTCCCTTCTGGGCCCAGCTCTGCGAAGTCCAAGTACGAGTCTTCCAGCAAATCTGGCGGTCACCCACCTACATCTACTCCAAGACCGCACTCTGCGTGGTATCCGCTCTCTTCGTCGGCTTCTCTCTCTTCCACACACCCAACACGATTCAAGGCCTGCAGAATCAAATGTTTGGCATCTTCATGCTACTTACCCTCTTCGGCCAACTCATCCAACAAATCATGCCGCACTTCGTCGCCCAGCGCGCGCTATACGAAGTCCGCGAACGACCCGCCAAGACCTACTCCTGGCAAGCCTTCATCATCTCCAACATCGTTGTTGAACTCCCCTGGAACTCGCTCATGTCCGTCCTTATGTTCCTGTGCTGGTACTACCCGATTGGTCTTTATCGCAACGCCGAACCAACAGACGCAGTGAACTTGCGGGGCACACAGATGTGGCTGATGGTCTGGACCTTCCTCCTCTTCTCGTCCACCTTTGCGCATTTTATGATCGCGGCGTTCGATGCCGCCGAGAACGCTGGAAACCTAGGGAACCTGCTCTTCCTGCTCTGTCTGCTCTTCTGCGGTGTTCTGGCGACGCCAGATCAGCTCCCCGGGTTCTGGATCTTCATGTATCGCCTTTCACCGTTTACGTACCTGGTCAGCGGGATGTTGTCTGTGGGCATATCGAATACGAACGTAACCTGCGCAGACAATGAGTATCTGCGCTTTGACCCTGTTAATGGGACGTGCCGCAAATACATGGATTCATACATGTCGAATATGGGTGGGTATCTGGAAGACGGGATGGCGACTTCTAACTGCAGCTTCTGCCCGATCAAGGAGACGAATGTGTTTCTTAGTAGTGTTTCGTCGAGTTACTCGGATATCTGGAGGAATTTTGGGCTGATGTGGGTATTTATTGTTTTTAATATCTTTGCAGCTTGTTTGTTGTACTGCTGGGTTCGTGTTCCAAGAGTCAAGAAAGCCAGTTGCTAAGACTGAATGAGCGTTGTTTCTTCATTGTCTTATCTGTTTTTTCTTGTTCTGTGGCCGCACTTCCTGGTGTGGCTATACTATAATATATATATATATTAATGCTATTCCGGTATCTAAATTCCATGAAATGGAGAAAAAAAATTTAGATTGCGTGTTTGGATCTGAATGATGAGCTATGACATTTAGGCACCAACTTATGGAATATGTTGTTGAAACCAAGCCCTCCGTGAGTGCTCAGTACCAGCGAGGACAAGAGAGCCCAGCTGTTGATCTGTAGCGGTTTAGGACCCGACTTGGGGATGAGTACTTTGTTGCGCAACGTAACGCATTTCGCTATCAAAGCCAAGGGATCTTGAACCTTCCCTAGTAATCCCCATGGGTAGGAGGATTATTCATGCTGGTGAGTTAAGATGTTAATCCGGATCCTCAACTGTCAGCTCCACACGCCCCTTCCTTTCATCACACACAACACTATAAAACTCGTCCCTGCGTCCCTTGCCCTTGACCCAATGCTTCACCTCTCGATCATCCATCCGATCCGCCTCCTCCAAAACCGCCACCGTCTCCTTCGAGTATACCTGTGAAACCGCCTGCCAGTGGTTTCCTAACAAAGAATGGCGCGTGTATCGCGCAAACAGCCCCGCAACGAAGACCACCACCACCCAGTGGCTCAGCAACAACCCCATCCCGACCCCGAACCCCGTCCAATGAGTCGGAAGCAGCGCCGCGTGCGAGAAGGCAGTCTTGGCGCGCCCGCTCTGCTCGAGTCGCAACAGCTTCTCGTAATAAACCATCTGACAGATGCGCGTGAGGAGCGCCTGCAGGGCCACGGCCGGGCTCTGCGTCTGGTTCAGCGTGTCCTGGAATAAACGGACATGCGTCTCGTGCGCGTTGAAATCAAGGGCGGTCGGGTACTGGGAGAGGATGACGCCCGGGTCGACGGTCTGGTTGCGATGTACCGGGGTCGGGTCGGTGCTCTGCGGGTTTCGCAGGCTGCTGGCGAGGGCCAGCGTGAAGGTCCAAGCGTTGGTCGCGTGAAGCATAGAGGAGGAGAAGGATGTCTCTGCATCGAATAAGAACTGCCAGTCCGAGCGGGGGGCAAGAGCGAGCACGCCTCGGTCGTTTAGTGGCTGTCGGGGGAAAACCGCACCCAGCTGGGTGCGCGTAGTTGCGGTGCTGTAGCGCTGCGCAGGCCAGTTCCAGGACATGGCAGGTTCCGATCCCTCCCAGTCGCTGTGCAGGTCCGCGATGAAAGTCTCCACTGCGAGATTGGCCATGCAGGCCGTCACCCGCAGCGCAGGGGAATCGGTCCCGTTTACGACCATCACCCACGGACTATTAGCGGTCTCGTTGTTCCCGACGCTGCGGACCTCCTGCTCCACGCCGATGCGGACAGCCGCCAAGGAGATGAGGTCTAGAAGCATGAACATCGTGGATGCTTCCGGATAGCCGACGATTGGGGTCCCGTTCAGAGTGATGGACGCGGGTGGCACCAGAGGCTCTTCCACCAAGACCTTCCAGTCCACCCCCACGTTCGGCCAGCACAAGCTCGTCTGTCCTTGCGCCCGGGTAGAGTAGTTCACCAAGACGGGCAACGCGCACGTAAACGCGACGTAGGATTGACTCTCCGTCCCCTGCAGCATCGGATACGTGCCGTTCGCGATGGCGATATGTCCGGAGAGACGCGGGTAGGCGGAGTAGAGCGCGTCGAGGCGAAGGTCACGCAGTGCAGGCTGCACACAGACGACCCGTTGATCGACGATTGGGGCTGGGCCGTGGAAATGGCGCAGTGATGTCCGCTGCGCCGCCTCTGTATAAGGCAGGAAGGCGCGGTACGTGTGGCCCGTATCGTGGTACTTAGGCCCAAGTACAAATGGGTCCGATTGCTCAGCATACGTCCAACCGGCCGCCGGAGGCATCGACCACCATGCTTCAATGGGTGCCATTTGAGTATCATTTAGGATTCGGATATTCGTCGCGTTGCTAGTTTCGGTAAATGCACCATTTCCGAAGTCAGCCACGAGAAGGGTGGAGAGAAACTGCACGGCCATGGTCACCGAGGCTTCAATGAAAATGAGGCCAACGATCACGGTTGAGAGCCCGGTTCCGCGAAACGGCAGACTTGGGATCCACAGCAGGTTAGTCGGGCTCCCACTGAGAGCTCGCGTGATGGAATAGAATGGCCCGTCCACCAGGGGAGTGCCGACCCGCTCCAGAATAATACCCGCAAACATCGCGGTCGCCACGCTGGCCTGTGTCGTGACCACCGTTCGTAGAATAGCCGTGCAGATGGTGACGATCCGCGTGGTCCAGCCTGCTTTGACGACCGCGATCCAAGTGCTGCTTGGCTCTCGCCCTGCGGCTGCTGCCATGGACTCGGTCCAAAGCCAGGCCAAAGGTAGGACGAACAAGACGAGCATGAGGGAGCCGAGACCCAAAATGAGGATGCCAACAATCCCCAACCGCGCCCACAGGGAGCTTTGCTTTTTCGGAAGGGCGGATTCACCTGGAGCCTGGTTGTGAGCGTTTTCAGGCGCCGCCAGAGGAGTATATGCAACCGCGCCACTGTCTTCAGGGCGCGCCATGGCAGGTCAGCAGTGGCATTCAAATATCAGAAATGAGAACCTAACGGAGTCCCAGAAGAAGGATCATCACATTGGGCGTTTTAAATAGTGGTCCAGGGAGGTGCCAAGCTTTTCCACAGCCTTGTCTATGCCGCTCCGTCGCAATTGCCGATACAAACGCCAATTCATTGTGATGGAAATGGTAAGCTGCACCTGCACCAAGCAGTAGTGTTCTGGTGTGGAGCCTGCGCTGCAGCGTCTGACAAATTAAGTCTGGTAATAGTGAGAGTGGCTTGACTAGGTACATGCCTAGGCGGACTGGCTGGCCCAGCCCCCAGCAGTTCGCATTTTGACTGTGAGAATGTCTATCCAATCTCTTTTTTCTGCAGTGCATCACCTATGGATTTACTAACCAGATTCTCTCTAATCATATAGTCGCTCTCTATTTAAGCCATAGCCTTTAAAAGGACTGCTGGAGGTTTGTTAAGGGATCTAGTGCATTAAAATTGCCCTCCACAGAGTGTTTTGCCAGTCATACTGGATAACGCCACCTGAGGTGGCAGCTGGCTTACTGACCACCACGTCACCAAGGCAAATGTCAGCAATTTTACGGGGAACCCCCTGCAATGCCGACCATCAATCTAAAACAGATATTTAGGTAGGTAGAAACCATGTATGACACTACAGTTGAAGCAGATACTGTTCTGTATACACTGTACGGTAGGGAGGCCACCACCACATTATTTCCTAAAAATGTAGACATTGTGATCAGTTTTTGGTTGGGGCAGTGAAGCATGGACCTCACCCAAGCATGATCTTTACAGTGCAAATCCATGCAACTGTATAATCATTATATGACAGTATTTGGAAGGCCATTCTAGGCTGAAGCGCATGCCGTGGATGTTGTTGGTGAATACTATTGCAACTGGTTATGTGTAGAGGAGGGGCAGATCAGCTCTATGAGGCTGGGTGTAAAGCTGCATTTTAGCCAGCGGCGTGCTCAGGCGCCGAAGTGAGTTGTACAAAGCATCTAGGTATTGTCTGATTAGCCATATCTTTAGGTAGCTGCAAGCCAGGTATAAAACAGCAATACACAGGCTCGAAAATGCACCCGTCAGATATCAACGCCACCCAGAGTTGTGTATTGAGGTTCACTGTCTTGTACAAAGCTCAATCAGGAACTGGTTAGAATCTAACAAGCAGTTGGATTTTATGGAGTAAGAGTCTGGGAGATAATTGCTGCTGCTTTTCCATCAGGAGTATTCAATACATGGACAGAATTTCAGACCTTGATACTGCATGCTGAGGAAATAATGCACCAAGAATGATAGCCATGGTGAGGAGTACTTTAAGGACAAATTATTCTGAGACGTGGAAATCTCAGAAAAATTCAAGGCAAAGCTTTTGAGAGTAGCTTTAATAAGGTTTAAAAGCAGAGTAAGACCCTGAGTTAGGTCATTGTAATAATATTGTGAGAGCACTAAGGGAATGCTCTCTATCAGGTGGTGGATAGTGTGGTAGTAGCAATGTCTTCATAGTTGAACTAATCACTGAGGTGCGAGCATCTCGCACCTCAGCGGGCGACGATATCTCCATGGGTCAGGTGTGTAGCACATGACCCCTGCAGCTCACTACATACTGGCGCGCTGCAGTAGTTAGAGTAACATATCTACTAGGAGAGAAATACCTATAGGGAAGGGGAACTCTATACAGACTAATGCTTCTGGTTAGAGTTCAGCCTCTGCATAGTAAGGTTTGTCCACTGGGAGGACAAGTCTACATATATACAAGCATCACTTAGAGTGAAACATTCACCTGAAGATCCACATGGGTCCCATGACAAAGGACATGGTTGCTATGCTATTTTTAGCGCGCCTTCATAACTGAAATTAACTGTGTTGATGTTCATAAGGATACCACCTTCAGCCTCTCACTTGTATTGATAATTAATATACTAGGAAGCAACCAGTTTATGAACAGTTCAGCCCAGCCACAGGAGTGGATTAGAGTGGTGTCAGGCACTGCAGAATCACTCACTTACCTTTATCACCTATCAGGCTATTACCTGACACTACACATGATTCTTATGTACATAAGCATATGTATGTAGTTATATACCATCCCGCCACCTCAAGCATGTGACTTTGGGCCCTCTTCAGAATTGAAGTCGTGCTCAAGAGGAGGGAATGTACTGGACAAAATTCTCTGTGAGATAGCAACTGCGCATAAGGCACAAATAGCCCTAGAAAGGGACTCCAAAGTGTGGTCTCTCAGACCAGGGTATTCACATCTTGAGTCACCCGCACAGAGTGTGATTGCCATACTTACTGAACTTATTTACCAGATGTTAACTTAACAACGACATGATGAAGTGACTGATACATTATTAGCATTCATTGGAAGTTGGACGGGGGGAAAAGCAGTCGGCCGCTGCAGCTTATGGCCTTCTGAGTAAGCAAATATGTGATGCAAACACGCCAAGACAAGAGTCTGTCCAAGACCTGGCGTCTCACTCCTCCTGCTTGACCTGCTCCTGTTCTGATCCTCTTAAATTCAAAATTGCTATATTCTTAACGTCAACGCAGTAGAAGTATACTCGTAAGAGAAAAGGCATATATTTCTTCGAATTGACCACAATCCACCGAAATCTATTTTTTTTATATGGGCGCAATCAAAGCACAGGGGGGTAGAATAATGATTAGAGACGCCAAGA